ATTCCTAGCCGAACACCACGCAGATAGACCTCTGAATAGCTTCGCAAATACAGGTACATCGATTTATATGCGATTCCCTATAGAAAACCAAGTACTTGCACTTCCACAACCTTGCCAGCGCGTCGACGGCCTTGCCAACGCGTTGATGGCCTTATTCCTAGCCGAACACCACGCAGATAGACCTCTGAATAGCTTCGTAAATACAGGTACATTGATTAATATGCGATTCTCTATAGAAAACCAAGTACCTGCACTTCCACAACCTTGCCAGCGCGTCGACGGCCTTGTCAACGCGTCGACGGCCTTGTCAACGCGTCGATGGCCTCATTCCTAGCCAAACACCACGCAGATAGACCTCTGAATAGCTTCGCAAATACAGGTACATCGATTTATATGCGATTCCCTATAGAAAATGAAGTACCTGTACTTCAACGGCCCTTTAACGCGTCTGCGCCTCCGCGGATAGACCTCCGAATAGCTTCGCAAATACAGGTACTTTGATTTGTATGCGATTCTCTATAGAAAACAAAGTACCAGCGCGTTGATGGTATATTCTCCTTCGCGCAAATAGACCTTATAGCTTTACAAGTGCAGGTACTTTGATTTGTATATAAATCTTTATAGAAAACTAAGTACCAGTACCTCGACGGCCACTGTTCTTCTTCGCGCGGCTGACTTAGTGAAATTTGAGATCTCCCAAGTCCCAACGAAGACCAGCCCCAGTAGGAGCGTTGTTACGAATTGTATGTACATTACCATACAAATTTGAACAGACTCCCTACTGGGAATGGCGGCCCTCGGGAGCGGTGGGGAACGTCGGTGGAATAAGACCAGCCGCAAAGCCACGGGGCGGTGCTAACGATATCAAGGAACGTTGCAGGTACAAAGGATTGTTGGTAAGTATGGCCGTGTAAGCCATGAAGGTGAATAGTGGTCTTGGATCAAGGTTGGTTTTTGTTTAGCTCACTGAAACAAGGATCCATCATCATGGCCATGTCTCCGGGCCAGGAACGTCGGAACTATAGCCAAGGAAGAAGCCCGAAGAACTAGGAACAACGATCTAGTTTCCCGGATGAAGCTTTCACCATAGGGTCAAGCCAGCTTGCTGCCTTTAGCATGAAACCGTATCACAAGCAAAAGCCCAGATGGCGCCCGGTCGACCTCAAAATATATAGGCAAAATAACGTTACTGAGTGGCTCGACTTTACAAAGATAGCGGATGCGTTTGGAAGCTCTGAGACACACCCTATTCTATTTGTTGCGGCCTACGACTGTTCTCTCTCTACCGACTTGAGATGGTAGACATCGGCGCCTAGAAACAAGGTCTTGGTCCAATTGATCGTTGTCGCCCAGAATTCCCTGAAACAACCCCGATGGATTCGAAGCGACGTCGTTTAGCCGCTATTGGCCGGTGATAGGGGCAAGCTATATTTAGACGTAGGCCTCTAATGGATAGCCTGACTTAAGCGCGTCATAGATATCGGCATGTCCTGTTGTTAACCTTAACCAAGAAGTCTCATCAACATTCAATAGACGTTCCAAATAAAGGCTATCCAGCCACCTAGCACATAGCAAGGCACCCTCAATTCATCTACAATGGCCCAGTTCTACGAAGTCTACATCGCCCGCTACCCCCTCGCCATGCAAGACCCCGACGTCCCAGACACCGGCACCCGCTACCACACCACCATCTTCGTCCAAACCAGTCCCGACGGCAGCGGCTCCCTGCACCAAGTCACCGGCGACATAACAGCCCCAGACGGAATGACGTACCTTGTCCAAGACAAGAGAGTGCAAGATCAGATACAGCTCCCGCATTCCCTGGAAAAACTGGGCGTCACGCTTGCAGCGACTTATCCGGAGCAGTGGGAGGAAGTGCTCGGAAGTGTACCGACGCCGCCGCAGCAGAAGGCGTTCAATGTGTTGACGATGAGGACGGAGCCGTTTAAGACTAAAGATCCGTTGACGTTTTATGAGCCGGGTGAGGAGAGGGGCCCATTGGTTAAGTGTACGGAGTGGACGATGGACCGGGCTATTCCGGCTTTGAGGAAGGCTGGGCTGCTTTTGGATGGGTAGGGAGACAGCGGAGTCTGAGAAGATATTTCTTGTATTTATTGGATAGGGTTCATTTGCCGTATGTAAAAAGCTTCTAGCTGCTAGTGGTGGTGCTTACTATAGCGATTGACAAAGCAGTCTTCATTACCAAGCAAATGTGCAGTTTTTCGCCACAGCCATATTACCGTGTTTTGCCTAGAAGTTTCCAAGGCATTGGAAATCATATCGAAGATGAAGTGGTCTGTATGCGTACTAATTACAGGGTAGAAATGAGGATAACGAAAGTCACGGCGCCAATTACACCGTATATGATGATGATGATGATGACTTGCCTGATGATGCGATGCGAAAGGTTCCCAGTAACTCCGGCCTCAAAATGAACGTCGACCCAAACACCAAAATGCCGTACCATAACTCCATACATCAGTTCCGGCCAGGGTCCAAGTCAAGATAATCGTCGACAACGTCGCGACCGTTGTATTCCTCCCATTCCAATTCCCACTCCCACGCCTGCTCGTCCTCGTCCTCGATCCACTCGATTTGGTCCGTGTCCCAATTATCATCCCATTCCCAGACCTCCTCCCAGTGCCACTGCTCGTTTGGGGCGTCATTGATGTCGTTGATGTGGCCATCCCACCCGGGCCAAAACATATCCATTAGTGCGTAGAATAGAATCATCCACTTGGAGAATGGGCGATGAGTCTGGCGCGAGTCAATTGTGTTGTGGTAGATACCTTGAAGATGGACTTACTAGGACGAAGTTCATGACGAGGTTGTAGAATCTATTGGGCTCGGCCATTTTGGGTCTAGAAACTGGCCTGCTTGGTTGTATTCGATGGAATCGGTCGTGTTAGGTTGGTGTTTGATGTAGAACGCTTGAAGATGAAGGATGGTTGCGGAGCGAGAGGTAGAATGGATGTTGGGGAAGGGGAGAGTTTAATAACGAGAATGGGGGCCAGGGACTGCCATTGCAGCCATATAATATCGTAAAAGCGAAGGACTTGGAAACAGAATGATTGCTGAGTTTGTGAATCTTGGATGATTCACTCCGTGGTGGGAGTTTGAAGTGGTGTCTGCCTCATTCACTCCTTCCCTTGCAACCGTTCCGTTTGCCTCAGGCCGCAAAGTGGATGCCTTACCGTACTGGTCCAGCACTTTCCTCCTCGTTCAACGTCCTCTTCCGCTCTTCAATACTCCGCATTTCATCATGATCCATTTTATCAGGCATATAGCCATTGCGACCCATTATTGGCTTCCGCTCCGACTACTCATTTTGCACTCCGGCATAGCCCGGACCATACTACGGACAGAGTCAGCTGCAATGAGGCTGCAGAGTGCAGACCAATCGCCGACCGCCAGGTGCAGGCCTGGGCGCACAGCCTTGTCGCGGTCGCTCTTATAAATCCCCATCAGCGCCCGCAGGCTGTCATCTTTCTCAGATCATACTTCCCTGCGCTACCGAGCAGCGGCCTAGGATCCATCACAAATGACTGCTCAAGCGAAGGACAAGAACGCTCGATCTAGCCGGGCCAAACCGACAACTGAAACCTTGAGCCGGCTAAGCCTCGCTCCAAACGCTGCGAGTCTTCGATTCAGATCTGGAGAGCAGTTGACTGTTAACGGCAACCTTGGACAACAACCTTGGAACGCGTTCGGGGGTTAGGGCCCGCACAAAATGGACCCTCTATCAGCGATTGGATTGGCATCGAATATCCTCCAGTTTATCGAATTTGGTACAAACTTATGCGGAAAGATCTACGAAGTCGCAGGCTCTATAACGGGCTTGACGGACGAGAATGCGCACTTGAGTGAGACGGTCGACGATCTGAAAAAGGTCACGGACGGCCTTTCCACCAGCCTTGAAGGCAACAACAAGCATGAGGTCGAGCTAGCCAAACTTGCTGCCCAGTGTAGGGACCTATCGGAGGAGATGATGGGGATTATCTCGAAGCTTAAACTCAAGAAAGGGGACCGTATGTGGCGTAGTGTCCGCGCGGCCTGGAAAAGCACCCTGAAGGAGAGAAAGATTGCTTCAATTGAAAGGAGGCTAGCAGAACATCGAGCGCAGATTGTTCTGCGCCTCAACATAATGCTATAGTAAGCTATCCTTCGCCCTGTGTCTGCGGTGACTGTCTCTGATTACATGCCAGCGATGAGCAGTCGCCGATTAAGGAACACCTGAAGCGGATTGAACAGCAAGCTATCAACTTGGGCAATCAACATGGTACGGAATTGAAAACGCAGCGTCATCAGCTGAAGGATATTATTCAACGGCTGGATACCTTTCGTATCGACAACGCTGATCCCCCGAGCTCGGCCGTATGCCTCAATGCCATACAAGACATGCGGGCATCGCTATCGTTATTAATATCGCGCGCCAATGAGATCCCGCGAGAAAATGATATCCTTCGTGCATTGTATTTCCCAAGCATGTTCCGACGAGACGACGCTATTGGTCCAGCAGTAGGGGATACATGCCGCTGGTTCGTCGGAGAGGACGATCAGTCGGATCAGAGCACAGATGAGGAAAGCACAGATGAGGAGAGTGATCATGACAGTGATCACACAAACTCCACTCACAGCCATGCCGAAAACACCCCGAAAGCCGTTTCACAGAGAATTACAGGCCTGGAAGAACACGAAATTGACAACCAGGGGCTGCAAGCCAGTCCTTCCATTGCGATTGGGGAACAAGGAGAGAATAATGATGACGATACTCAAAGCTTGGATAGCGATCTCGAAGGGATCTTGGAAGAGGAACGGTCATCACGAAAGGACGCTGCGAGCAGATTTCTGCATTTTCTACTTCACGATCACTCTGTCTTTTTCATATATGGAAAGGCAGGATCCGGAAAATCTACACTTATCAAATATCTCGCGGACTCTGGAAATGTCGCCGTGAGACAACGCCTGGACGAATGGGCTGAAGGGCGTCGCTTGATATTCATTTCTGCCTTTTTCTGGAGTGCTGGCGATCAGTTGCAAAGATCGCTTGAAGGACTCTACCGGTCAGTACTATTTCAAGCACTTAGTCAATGCCCGGAATTGACTACCAATCTGTTCGAAGGCGCACCCGGCTTCTCTGGCTGGCAGGAGGTCAGATTATCCCTGCTGAAAAAGATCATGGTCAAACTAATTCAGATTTTGGACCCAAAGAGGTATACGCTCTGTCTGTTTATTGATGGGCTGGATGAATACGAGGGCGACAGCCTTGATCAGACCGAGCTTGTCAGAAGCATCCAGGATTGGGGCCGTTCTGAGAACGTCAAGATTGTGTGCAGTGCCCGTCCTCATGAAGAATATATGCAACTTTTCACCAATCAGCAAAGAAGCATGCCACTGCACGACTACACGAAGGGGGATATACTGGAATATGCGATTACAAGTTTTCGGGGCTCCTCCGCATCATCTCACTGCCAGGAAGTCTCTAGCGTATTTGCTTTGGCTCAGGAAATAGTGACTCTTGCAGATGGGGTTTTTCTTTGGGCCTACTTGACTGTTAGATCGCTCAGCCAGAAGATGCATATTTACCCCATGGAGAAATTGCAAGAGATGCTGAGGGCCACACCCCGGAGCTTGGACAACTTTTTTGACCAGATGCTAGACAAGGTGGACCGGTTGACTTGGGCACGAACGGAAAAGTTTATGAGGCCCTTTATATACCGTACTAACTAGTAAAGCTATTAATTAAATACTATAAAAAAAAATAAAAAAAGAAGCAAGTTATTTATTAAAAGCTAGAGCTACCTAGGGGTTTATATAAATATTTTAAGCCTTTAAAAATTTATTAATAACCTAATTTTTTTACTAAAATAATAAGGCATTAAGCGCCTTACTTTTTTATACTAACATGGCATGTAAAAGTATTAATAAATAAGAACTTTATTAAATTTTACCTTTGGCTAATATACTTTTTTAACACTTATTAAATACTAGAAATAAGGCTAAAAATATTTATTAAACTAAGTATTTTAATAAATTTATAATATTATTATTTAATAAGTGGCTTAATAAGGCCATTTATAATTATTTAATTAATAAAAGTTTATTTAATTTTAAGGTTTTTATACTAAACTTTTTATTAAAGTCATAAGTTATAAATATTAATATGCTAAAGTTTTAATTAATACTAAATATTAAGGCTAGTAAAAATATTAATAATTTATTTATTATTATATTAAACTAAAAAATAGTGTTAAAAATTAAACTTTATTAAATTAAAAACCTAGTACTACTAGTAAGTTACTTTAAAAATTTTAAATAAAGTAAGTAGTTTTATTTTAATTATTAAAGTTATAACTAAGTACTGCTTTATAACTTTTTATTTAATTAAATTATTATATAACTTATAAATATAACCTATACTAAAAAAATAATTAAATTAATTAATAAAGGCTATATTAAAGTAGGCCTTATAAAAATTATATATCTTTAAAATAAGCTTATTTTTAAAGCTATTTAAACTAAAGTATTTAAGGGCTATAAAGCATATATTATAAAAATAAAAAATAAGTTAATTTATTATATATTAATAATAATCTACTAGATTAACCAGGTGTTTTAATAGTTAATTAATAATATAAAAAATATTTAAATAGGTAAGCGTGCTTGTATATTTAACTAAGCTAATTTTAAACCTTATTTTTTTAATTTATTAAGGTATAGTAGTACTAAAGTTTAAATAAAACTTATTAAAAAAAAAGGTGTTCCTGGAGGTTAAATTATTATATTTAAATAAAATTAATTTATAATTATTTTAATATAAAAGTCTTAATATAACTAAACCTTATACTTTTTTTTATTTTAAATAATTTAAACTTTTAAAAACTATTTTACTTTATTAAAATACTAGAGCTTATACTTTACTACTAGTTTTTTTTTAAAAGTAATTATAATAACTTGGCCTTTTTTAGTAAAAAGGTTTATAATAATAATATTATTTATATAAATAAAAAAAATTATAAACTTACTAATATAAAGGCACTTTTTTTTAAAAACTATAATAAATCTAAATTTTTATAATATTATAGCTAAATTAAGCTATTAAAAATATAAAAACTTTTAAAGTTTATAAATAGCCTTAAGGGCCTTTAATAACTTACCCTATTACTTATAGTTATTTAAAAAATAAAAATATATTATTTTTTAAGGGTAGTATTAAAAAACATGTTAATAGTATTTTTTTAGTTAAAATTAAAATTAAAAATAATTATAAGTATTATAAGAGCTTTAAAGGCCTTTACTAAGGCTATTACTACTTAATTTTTTTTAAAAAATTTTAGTTTTAAATTTTTATATATATAAATTTAGGCTTTAGCTTTAATAAAATAGCTATTAATATTAAATTTATAAGTAAAAACTTATAGTAAAAAAATTAGCTTATTTATTTTTACCTTTTATTTATTTATTACTTTTTATGCTTTTATTTTATAAAAAGCTTTTAGTTTAAGATTTATAGCCTTTAAAAACTTATTATAAAGTAAATAATTTTTAAGATTATTTTAGCACTTAAAAAAAAAGTAAATTATTTTAATAAAGCTATTTTTTTACAAGATTTTAATAAAAAATAAAAAAGGCAAATTAAATATAATTAAGGTTATTTAAATTATTTAAAAAAGCATTATTTAAATTTAAATTATATATATAATTATTAATATTATATTATTTATACCTACACTTAAATATTTTTAAAAAAAAAGCTAAAGTTACTAAAGTTTTACCCCTTAAGCACGCTAAGCTTAAAGGCTAAGTAAAAAAAAAAAGCTAGGCATGCTTATTTATTTTTTTTAAGTAACTATTTACTTATTAAATTAATAAAAAAATATTAAGGTGCTTAGGGGCATAAAATTTATTACTAGGGATTTTTTAAATAAGCTTTTAAAGCTATTTATAAGGCCAAGTTTTATATAAGCTTTTTATAATAATAAAATTTAAAAGTTATTTTAAAAGTTAGCAAGTATAAAAACCTATTTAACTAATTAAAGGCCTTTTTTTTACTAGTAGTATTTTTAATTTTACTAGTAATATTTTAAGCCTTATTTTTTACTTTATACTTACTATTATTATTAATACCTTTTTTTTTAAGATTTTTATTACCCGTGGTTTATTTATATTTAAAATACCCTTATTTTTTTTTTTATTTAAAAAATTTACTAAAATTAAGGTTAAGGTTAATTTTTTTAGTTTCACGGTTTTAAAAGGGAATATTAAAAATTTAGGCTAAAGGCTTTAGTAACTTAATTTTAATATTAATAATAAAAAAGGGATTTTTTAAATTATATAATCTAGACTTATTAAAAATAATATTTTTATAGGTATATATAAGTTACTTTTTAAGAAACTAGATTTACTAAATATTTAAGGTAATATAGCCTAGTAAGTATTTTAATAAAGCCTTTAATTTTATTTTATAAAAACTTTTTACCTAGGATTATTTTACCTAGGTAAAATAACCTAATATTTTAATACTAAAAATACAGGGTTTTTTATTAGTAAGTACTTTTTATAATATTTTTTAATTTAATAGCTTAATAAAAATTTAATTACTAATATAAGCTATTATTTTTATAACCTAGGGCTATATATTAAAAAGGATTTTTTTATAAAAAGCTATTATTTTTACTTTTTTAATTAATATACTACTAAAGCGCTTAGCTATACTATTTTAAAAAAAAGTATAAAAAATAAACTAGTTTTAAAGTATACCTTAAAATATAATAAAGTTAAAAATATTATTATTAAATATAGGCTTATAATTACTAAAAAAAACCTTAAAAATAATATTAAACTAGGTTTAAATAAGCTTGGTATATTACTTAATAATATTTTTATATTTACTTTTTTTTTAATAAATATAGGCCTAGTAAAACTTAGTATTTTTATTATAAAAGTAAGTTACTTACTTTTTTTTATTTATTACTTTTTTTATAAAAATTAGGTTAAAGTAAACTTAATTAAATAGTATAATAGCAGGATTTTTAGGCCTTTTAAATATTTATTAAAAAGCTTATTTATATTTATAAGTATTATATTACTAAAATAGTTAAAAATTAGTAATTTAAACTTTTTTAGTTATAGTTAATAAGTATTAAAATATTTTATTATTAATATAGCCTAGGCGCTAGTAAAAAGCTTTAAAAATTTTTTTAATATAAATTTTTTAAATTAAAATCTTAATTTTTTATTAAGTTAAAGTATTAGCCTTTTCTTACTTTAAGTTTTTTTAAACTTAACTATTTAAAGGCTAAATAAGTAATCTTTAAAATAAAATACTAGTTTATTATTCTTGGTAATTAAAGTATTAAAATTTTAAAAATATCTAGCTTTTTTAAAAGGCCTAGCTACTAGAATATTAATATAAAAACTAGGTATAAAGGCTACTTTACTAAAAGTAAAAGGTATTATTTTATTATTTAAAGCCTTAAAATAAAAAAGTACTAATTTTATACCTTAAATAATAATAATTATATTTCTTACTTAAATATTACCTTTTTTTAATTAATTAAAAAAGGTAAAATAATTAAAATTATTATAAATATAAATAAAGGCACTAGTATTAAAAATAAAGGTGTTTTTGTATTGAATTACTTTAAATACTTATAATAAGTATATAATTATAATATTTTTTTTATTATAGCTTAAGTAGTTAAAAAAGCTTTTTAAGCTTTTTTTTTTAATTTTTTTTTATTTTTAAAAATTTATTTATTCTTAGCCCTTACCTTTTAAAGTTTTTTATTATATTTATTATTTTTATTAAAAGCTTTACTAACTTTTTTATTTATATTTTTTTTAGGTTTATACCATAGCTTTTTATATAATTATATAAAGTACTAATACTACTTTATTACTTAAAAATAACTATATAAATAAAAAAGCTTGTTATTAATTAGTACTATTTTAAAAAAAATATTTAATTTTTTATTAAAAGTTATAAAGGCCACTATTTTAGTAAAGTTTTTAAAAAAGCTATTAGTTATAAAAAAATATTATTAATATTTAAATATAAATTAAAGGTAAAAAATTAAATTAGCATTTTTTTAATTTAATTAGTTAGTATTTTATTTTATATAAAAGTTTAAATACTTACTAATTATTTGTAGGAAGGTTATATTAACTATTTTATTTTTTAATTTAGGTTAATTAAAGTATTTAATTTTTTAGTAAGTATTTTTATAATTTTAAAGTTAATTACTAATCTTACCTTATTAAATTAAAGTGTTTAAGGCTATAAAATAATTACTAAATACCTTTAATTTAATTTTAAAATTAATTAAAGTAAACTATTACTTTAATTTAACTAAAACCTTTATAATAAGTTTATTTTTAATAAGTTATTAAATAAAAATAATAATAATTTTTTAAATAACTTTATTTATTTTTTAAACTTTAATATAATAATACTTAATATTAAGCTAGTATTTATTATATATTTTAAAAGCCTTTTTAGTTATATTTTTAAAAGGCAACTTAAAAAAAAGGGATTTTTTTTTTTTTAAAAAATATTTAAGTTAAAAAACTCTTAAACTCTTACTATTTAAGTAAAGTAAAAAATTTAATTATATTAAACTAGCTAGTTATCCTTAAACTTAAAAATAATTTTTATACTTATAATATTATTAATAAAGCTTATAATAATTCTTAAATTAAGTATAAAAATTAAAAATTAATTAATATTTATTTTAATTTAATAAAAAAAATAATTAATTATAAAAAGGCTTAGTATAGCTTTAGGGCATGTATTTAAAAATATAAATAATTTTAAAATATTTAAAAAAAATAAAAATTTAATAAGCTAAATTATTAAATTAATATTTAGGCTTATAATTATAAGGCCCTTTATATATTATATTAATTAATAAAGCTATTAATTAAATACTATAAAAAAAATAAAAAAAAAATAAGTTATTTATTAAAAGCTAAAGCTACCTAAAAGTTTATATAAATATTTTAAGCCTTTAAAAACTTATTAGTGGCCTAATTCCTTTATTAAAATAGTAAGGCGTTAAGCGCCTTACTTTTTTATACTAACGCGGCATGTGAAGGCGTTGACAAATGAGAACTCCACCAAACTCCACCTTTGGCTGACAAAGTTCCTCCTCCTCGCCGCACACAACCCGACTGGCCGTAGTCTCAATGCCCTTTCATTTTCCTGGACGGAGGATTTGGACAACCCACAATTTCCTTTTGAAAATTCGATGTGCTCTTATTCCAATATCGAAATCGAGGAGAGGTTAGAATCGGTGCAGAAGCAGCTCAGAGACCTGACTAAGGGAATGTTGGAGGTCCGACCATGGGAAAACATCGACAACATCGACTATTGGGATGCCAGTTCCACCCGTCATCCTTTCTTTGCCAGCAGAGTGGGATTTTTTCACCGTACTTTCCGTGACTACCTGCTGGCTCGATGGCATGATAAGATGCCCCCAAACTTTGAGACTTACGTGCGAATGGCTTTGGCAGAAATCAAGTTTTCTTGCTCGATCGACTTCCACCAGATATTCGGCTATTTCGGATGGCCTGGGTTCCCGATCCTGGACTACATCACGGATACCCTTATCTGGTTAGGACTAAAAGAGATATCCTTGCCAGACCAGTACTACGAGGAGATAGAGCGTGTCATTGATGGCTATGAGAAGCTCTTCAATTCCTCAACGCAGGGCCGAAAAAGATACAAAGAACACCCGTCAATGACTGGAATCATTCTACCAGTCATGATGTATGGTAGAAGCATCAGGGCTGACTCACTAAGCGAAGAAGCGAAGGCTAGGATACGTCGTCCCTTTTCGTTTCTTAGTTATCTGGCTTTGTATGCGCCAACGTCTCCATATTTTATACAGCGTATCATGGAGTTCCCGCAGCCCCAACGGCCGAATGATAACTTGGTTCATGCCTTCGCTACCTTGTCACACCATGACTCTGCATATACGGCAAAGCTCCTGCCGCATTTCCTAGAAAAGGGCGTGACGCCAAATTCGTTGTTAACTGTTTGGTTGGTGGAAAGAGACCAGACAGTAAAGCCATTGACTGTGCCCGCTTGGTTAACATTCTTGGTATCACGAGCCATGGGCTACTTTCATGTTACAACTTTCAAGAATCTATTTAGTGACGGGGACTGGCGACTGATGGAAACTTTTCTCAAGTCTGGAATGGATTCGGATATTATATTCCTCTTTGAGCCCCGGGGACACTATGATGAGGACAGGATGAGATATCTGGACCTATCGCAGCTGATAGAGTTCTGTCTTCCAGAGAACATACAATCCCTACGCATGTTGCTAGACCGTCCGACTTCGAGAATAGGGCAATGGTGGAACGGTGCCAGAAATATTGGTTCAATCTGGACCTCGCACCGACAGCCAGACTATGCCGGAGAGACGCGCACGCGGTATAGGCAGGCGACGGCTTCGGAACTCAATGAAGACATCAAGATCAAGGCTATCATGACGAGATTGCATAAGATCCATGATAACTTCGTCATACAATTGTATTAGGCAGGTTAGGACACGGACTTCCGAGTGGAGGGATTGCCGAGCTCGAGGGGTTTGCCGAGATGTCGCCCAATCACCCAGTCGTCCTTATCTTGGAGTTGGAGACATTCAACAAGTTTAAGAAGACAGATCCCAATTATCTCAAGATTTGGCATTTGACCAATCTCTTCGTTTAATCGTCCATCATGCAGCTCTTAGGTAAGCCCCTTTCAAGAGAAAGGAAATCAGTCACTAACTTGAACAAACTTGAACAGGCCAGAACAACGCCCTTCGCGACATCATCAACAAACACCGCCCGGACTTGGAGCCATACGAGTCCATATATCGCAAGATACACAGCTCCCCAGAACTCTCCGGCCAAGAAAGACAGACCTCCACACTCGTCGCAAACCACCTCCAGCATCTAGGCTATGAAGTCCACACCGACATCGGCGGATACGGTGTCGCAGGCGTCCTCCAAAATGGAAACGGCCCTACAGTCCTCCTCCGCGCAGACATGGACGCCCTCCCGCTAGAAGAGAAGACCGGACTCCCATATGCAAGCAATCGAACCGTTAAAAACAAAGCCGGCGCCAAAGTCCCCGTCATGCATGCTTGCGGCCATGATACCCACGTCACGGGGCTAATGGGCAGCGCGGAGCTCCTTATCGCTGCACGAGAACATTGGTTGGGGACTTTGGTCCTGATATTCCAGCCAGCAGAGGAAGAATTGTCTGGAGCCCAGGCGATGATCGACGACGGACTCTACGACAAGGTCCCGAAGCCGGACGTCGTCCTTGCGCAACACGTCATGCGCATGAAGGCCGGGACCGTTGGAATCCGGGCTGGCCGCCTTCTGACAGCATCAGATGCGTTCGATGTAAAGATCTACGGCCGCGGAGGACACGGCTCCTCGCCGCAGACATGCGTCGATCCTATTGTCATCGGCGCGGCGATTATCACTCGTCTCCAGACGATCGTTAGTCGGGAAATTACACCAGGTGAGCTTGCTATCGTTACCTGCGGAAGTATCAACGCAGGGCACGCGCCGAATATCATACCCGACGAATGCGACCTCCAACTCAGCGTGCGGTCTTACGACCCCAACGTCCGCGAACGTCTCAATACCGCCATCAAACGCATCATCGAAGCAGAATGCGACGCATCAGGGACGCCGCAGAAGCCAAGCATCAAGCACATTTTCACGGCACCAGCTACAATCAACGATGAAGCGACAGTCCGAACACTGCTGAAGACATTCGGGTCCTATTTCGGGAATAACCTTGTTGAAACTGAGCCTGCCGCTGCGAGCGAGGACTTTTCGATCCTGGCGACGGCCGTCGGGGCGCCGTATGTCATGTGGAACTTTGGGGGTGTTGATGAGCGGGTTTGGGATAATGCTGTGAAGGATGGGAAACTTGATGAGTTGCCGGGGAATCATTCGCCGTTCTTTGCGCCGGTTATTCAGCCGACGATTGGGACGGCGGTTGATGCGATGGCGGTTGGGGCGTTGACGTTTTTGAGGCAGAGTACTTGAAAGCCTGGGCTGGCTTCGGGTTGTGATGGCAGGATGAGCTTGCACTGGGACCTCGCCCTGAATTGGTGGACTCGCAATGGCCTTTTCTAGAACTAGTTTGATGTTGAATATGATGAAATGAAATAATGCATTGAATGATTTAGGTATTCGGCCCGAACCCAGCTGCTAATGACTCTATCACCTACCTGGCACATGGTTGCCCTGAGTCCCCTAATTCCCCGCAACACTGACAACAATCTCCTTAACTGCCCTTTACCTCACTGAAAACCTGCCAGTTGCCCCTGTTTATGAGTACCTAAGAGGTCACAGGTCTGCGAGCTCTTAGTCAGCATTTCTAACACCCGTTTAGGAGAGAAGAGTGCTTCCTACTCCCACACAGACATCAAGTAATCACGAATGCGACATGCCGCTGAACGATGACAGGCGCCAGCCTGAGAGGGCCAAGGATGCCGAGCAAAAGGCCTTAGCTAAAGTGAACGCGCTCGTAATGAGTGACTTGGTCTCGATGACCACCACATACCCATCAATGGACATGACAGCCCTTCTGGAGCACAAACTCAAGACCTATCCTACTCTTCGGAAAGTCTTCCGCGATGCTGCACTAAAGTCCTTGGAGTCTGCACCGAGTGACTCACAAACACCAAGCTCACCAGCCGACGTGAGAGAAGAGTACCGCATCCCGCCAGACGCCAAAGTGATACGTCCTTTGAAAAAGGCAGTTCTGCAGGATTCCCCGATGGAGACGCCGTATGTGAACGATAAAATAGAAGAGAAGGATCTGTCAACAGTCTTGGAACAACTCAACGAATCAATCGCCAGCAGCGAGATCATCTGGCAGCTAGGCTCAACCGCCGTGCTGGGCCTGACCTCGCAGCTGGTCCTGAAAACCGGGCACGGCATCGACATCGATCACATCTCCACGACGGACTACATCAAGCAACAGGCCCCGCGCCTCCCAATCCCAGAGATCCACGGCATTCTCCAGACGGCAGACGGCAACCGCACATTCACGCTGATGTCTCGCGTCGCCGGGAAACCGCTAGACGCATGCTGGCCATCCCTGGATACCGAGGCGAAGGCGTCGGTCCGCGAGCAACTAGACGTTATCTTCACGGACCTCAGGGCCATACGCCCGCCTCCTTCGCCACACGATCCCCGCGGTGTATTACTATTCGGCGGCGGGAATCTGGAGTCCAGGCGCTGCAAGGACGTGAGGAGACAGGTGCGTATTGCGGACGGACCCATTGCCAACGAAGCCGAGTTCAACGCTTTTATCACCCAGAGCCCGGCGCGCACGGAGAGCAGCTACATTGCCCTCGCGCGCTCGTATCTCACGGCTGATCATAAGGTCGTCATGACGCATGGGGATCTGCATCCGCGCAATATCATGGTAGACTTTGAGTATGGGCCTGTCGGGTCGGACTCGGGGTCAGAGGCTGAGGCTGACTCGGAGACGGGATCGGCGACGGTGACGTCGCGAACTCAACGTCCCAACGTCGTTGTTACAGGCGTGATCGATTGGGAGATGTGCGGCTGGTATCCGGGGTATTGGGAGTATGTCAAGGCGTTGAATACGATTTCGGTTGGGTGTGGGTTTGAGGATTGGGTTGCTTATTTGCCTGGGTGTATTGGGGTGTGGCCTCGGGAGCATGCGGTTGATTTGATGTTGAGTCGGTGGCATGGTTGAGTGCAAAGACTGAGAAGGAGGGCTATGGCTCTGCTTGGCGTTGGATTTGTTTAGATCCTTTGTGGATGTTTCACTGTCTATGGACCCTGCAGTTAATATCAAAGGGCGAATCATTAGATGGATAAGACTAACTTAGCGCATACTATCTGGATTAAGTACATCTCCAACACGCGTTATAAACTATAATAGCTCCTACTCGAGAAGAGGGACTGGAGAACGTTACCTCAAAGAGACTGCCTACTCCGCAACCCTCACAACAATCTTCCCCCTCGCCCTCCCACTAGCAAGCAGCTCATACGCCTCCTTCAGCCTCTCAAAGTCCCAAGCCTTATCCCCTTCCTTGATAATCCGTATCTTCTTATCCCTCACTAACTCCCCAACAGCAACAAGATCCTCCTTACTATTCGCCAACATAAGCGGCACAAGCCGCCGCCTCCCACCACCCAAACACCGCGGCGTAATCGCCCGCCAGAATGCAGTCATGATACTCGCCGCCCCAACCTGCACCCACGCCCCAGCCGGTTTGAGGAAATGGTGCGACTCAGCGTAGAGGTTCGCAGGGAGGCCGATGTGATCGATGACAAGGTCGAAGATCAACCCCTTGCCTTTCAGCGTCTCGGTTACATTCGTCTTCGTATAATCGAGAACCTCGTCCGCGCCAAGGCTAGTAAGGAGCTCGACATTCCGGCTCGAGCACGTCGTCGTAACATGGCACCCCAGCATCTTCGCAATCTGGATCGCGAACACCCCGCATCCGCCGCTGCCGCCGTTGATGAAGACTTTCGGGCTCTCGTTCTCGAACTCGGGTTTGGATAGGTCAAGATAATTCTTCAGACTCTGGTACGCCGTCCGCACAGAAACACCCAGACACGCTGCGTCCTCGGGACTAACGCCCTCCGGTAAGATTGCGACATCATTCGCGTCCGCGAGGATATACTCGCCCGCTGTGCCGAAAGTGCGGGGGCGCGCTAGACACCCGTAGACTTTATCGCCGGGTTTAAATTCCCCCTTGTGCTTGGGATGCACTGAGACAATTTCGCCGGCGAAATCGAGGCCCGGCGAGGCGGGCAGCGAGCAGACTAGTGTTCTGCCGCCGCTGAAGGGGATGCCTAGTTGCTGGGGGACCTTGTGGTCGGCGGGGTTGAGGGATGTGCTGTGGACTTTGATGAGGAGGTGGTTTGCGTAGCTGGGGGGTGGCGGGGAGCGGGTTGAGGTGTGCAGGGTGAGGTTGGCAATAACGCTTGGGTGTGTGCTGGTGTAGAGCCAGGCTTTCATTGTTGCGGGGATGGGTGGCTGTGACATTTTCGAGGATGAAGGGATGCTGTGGGGATGGTGGAGATGATGGCGTGGTTGAGGCTGATGCGCGGGATGGAGAGCCAGAAGCTAAGGAGATGATAATGAGGGGGGGAGGAAAGTATCCATGGATTGAGTTTGACAAGCTCGTGTTGACCGTTGACGGCGTTAGTGACGTTGATGAGTTGCTGTCGGCGGCCGAGATCGTGCATGGGGATCCGCGCCTAACTACCTCGGGTCTAGCGCTTGAGTGACCGCGAGCCTAACTGTAAAGAGCCTAGCCCTGCTGGCTTTTGTATAGCTTCATCTTTTGCTATGGGAAATCACCCTGGCGTTATCAAATATAAGAGCAGGTCGTTGGCCTTGGGCTAAGCCGGATATCTATCCACTCACCTCATTCCACAAGACAAGAGCCCTTTTACGGCATTCAATGAATTCCACTTGAGCATAAAGTCAAGACCTACTAGTATCTCTTTGAACATGTCTGAAAATCCTATCCAAAAGCAAAGGTTTCGTCCGCCTTCAGTCTACTAAGCTCTTGATATAAGAATGTTTATAGACAATCCAGCGAGTCGGGCTATATCAGCACCAAGCATACTTCTCGTTGAGCACCCAGTCGACCTCGTCTGTCGCGCCTTCACCAAACCAGTTCAGGCAAGGTATGCTATCCTTCTCCCTTTCCCTCTTCTCGAACTTCACGCCTACCGCCTGAATCATCTCCTCCAACCCTCTCGTCGGGCTCCATAACTTGACCTTCCCTAAGCCCCACTGGAAGGCTTCGGACTGAGCGGCATGAAGCACAGCCTTGACGTCTTTCGGTTCAGGAGAAGAGGATTCGGTAACGAGGCGGAGTATGTACAGCGTATTTGCGGATAATTCGTCACTGTCCGGATGCCGGTAGAAACGGTGCGTCCAAATCACCCATACCCTATTCCCTGCTGGCCCAGCTATCGCTCCTTTGACTCCTGGCTTCTTGCTCCCGCCGAAAAGCTTTTTGGCCCCGAATTCTTCCTTGCTATGGTGCCAGAGGACATGGTCGTAGTCAGGAATGATGGCAAGCCGGGTCGTTTCCCCACTAGGTGCTGAAGGATTCCTCAGCGATGCCCGGAGAACGTCTTCGTCTCTCCGGCAGAGCGCCTCTAAATCCTCCGCATGAAGCGGCCTAGCCTCGCAAATGACGTCTTGCGGCTGAAATTCCAGCTGAAGACTCGGAAAGGGCATCCAGCCTAGCCGCGCATAGAACTCGGGATTGATGTCGGAATACAGCACGCTGCCAACACATCTCGATTTTGAGGTTGTTTGCCAGCTTGGCAGGATGCGGCCTAGTTCCTTCAATAGTCTTGAGGCATAGCCTTGGCCTCGAAGCTCAGGGGCACAGAAGACGCTTGCGATGCCGTGCACGACACATTCTTCCGGGGTGTCTGCGTTGCTGATGAGAGCGCGTTTGCGAAAAGTCTCGCATGATGCGAGCACTGTTCTCCTTCCCGCGCTTTCATTTGGATCGTCATCAACCTCGCTATCCACCAGGATCCACTGTGTAATTCCGCCCTCCCGCGCGAGTGGGACCGTCAGCATGTACGCGTATTCTTCCATATACTGTGGGACGGTGAGAGCGTCTTTCCATAGTGCTGAGGTTTGGCCCCAGATGTGCTGGGACTCGGCGGGTGTTGGGTGGCCTAGCACCAGGGATGGCGAGGTGGAAGCGGGAAGTTGGGTCGTGTGCCCGGCCATGGGGATGGCAGAGACTGAGAGACCAGAAATAGAGAGTTTGGCGGCTGAGGCTATTACGTTTCTTTGGCTCAGGTGACGATGGGCGGCGTTGCTAGAGGGAGAAAGACCGCCACGAGCCGGGGTGCAAAAGCGGGGTTGGACGGGGTCTCAGCTCCCGTTGGGGGCCACCGCAGGGGTCAGGGGCAGGGTCCCAGTCGCCCATCCGGGGTACTTAATCTTCTCTCCAGCTACCTCGATTACTCTGTACCTGGGTACGACATCATCCCATACTCCACGGTATAAAGGTGCGATCCTCCTCGCTGAAATACTCGCCGTCCGCTAATAACATCTCGCAGAACTCCGCCTATCACACACCATTTGCCAACCTTAGCCCCGCTGGGCCAACCCCGGATTCTAGACGCTGATTGACTCGGCAACACATTCCTGTGCTCCGGTGCACGACTCATGTCACACAGCACTGGGCTTTGATCCATTTCCCAGTTTGAATCGAAAGCTGACTATTTACTCGGCTGGAGGAAAAGGAAAACGCCCGTCGCAGACCTGCAACTCCGTGTCCACGTCAGCGCCGAGTGCGTCCTTCCCTCGAGAACGGGTCTGGCAACAATCTTGGAACATAAACACAACATACCTGGGCAGCTCGTTGAGGTCACGGCTCATTCCTCTCATTCCTCGTCAACATGCCGTTCCTTCACAACAAGACCTCGTCCTCGACGAGCTCTACCTCTGCTCCTGCGCCCTCTTCAACTCAAGAGTCCAAACTCTCTCTCCGCTCCCTTTTCAATCGCAAGACGCGCGCTCCTCCTGGAACCCAGACGCACCCTCGAACTGCATCAAGAACCCATCAGGCAGCGGCAGCTACTCAGCAGCCCAATTCCCGCCCATCATCCCATCGCACCTCGTCAACATCAACAGCCTCAACCTACCAACCAGTCCCACAAGCGGACAGTACCTGGGAAGACATCGACCCCCCAGCATTCTCACCAACGGCGCCAAGAACACCGACGTCACCAACCTTCTCCCATTACTCATACCAAGCCACGCAAAACACATCAAGAAGCACGATGGACGCACACAGTGTCTCTCCACCGCCATCATCAACGTCGGAATCCATCCTCCCAAGTTATAACGACGTCAGCGGCGCCGTCGTCGTCGACTCCCACGGCTATCCGCGCTTCCTGACGCCTCAGGAGGAACAGGAGCGCAAGGCCGTATTGCAGCAGGCGGTTCGTGAACGGATGATGGGGTTGCCGCGCAGGACGGATTTCAGTTGGGAGGCGTCGGCGAGGCCTATTTTGCCGAGGTATCAGCCTCCTGCTGTGGCTTCCAAGGATTAGAATAGCCCGGCGAGGAGTAAAGGGTGTTACAATGCTGCTTCAATGAGGGAGGCAAGTGGTGGTTGCCCTTAGCAGCATTTATGAGATATGAGTAACGAAGTTATGAGGCGTTAGGGTACAGATTGGATAGGGAAACAACATAATAATGCACAGATTGCGTCAATAACGCTATTCTCCTTCTATACTACCAACCTCATGCGCAGACGTATATGTACAGCTCTCTAGATTTTCAACCCCCACCCATACTGCAATAACTCAACCCTCAAATACAAACTCAGCTCCTGAAAAGTCTGAGTCCACCCTCCGCAGCATCCTCCTCACTCTCCTCCCCATCACGCATCGCCTCATCCTCCTCCTCATCCCCACTTTCCTCCCTCAACAGCCCACTAGCACTACGCCCAAGCAGACTCGCAAAGAACTCGTCTCTAGCACGACGCGTCCACGTGCCCCTCTCCTCAGGCGCCATAAAATTCTGCAGCTTCTCATGCACATCAAAGCGCATCTTACGGCCCTTCGACGCCCGCGTATCAATCTCACGCTTGACCTTGTCCTTGCGCATTCCGGTGACCGGGTGAATCGCGCCGCCGTTGCGCGAGGGGAGGAGGTGCAGGGTATCCAGGCCGTTGGTTATGGCATCACTAGACGACATGCGCTGGCTGACGAGGTCGCGGAGGAGAGACTGGTAGAAGATCGTGTCGTCGTAGACCTCGACCTCGACGCCCTTTTCCGAGGCAGAGGCGGAGGTAGAGGTGTGTTTGGCGCGCTTGTTCGCGCGCAGATCGCCCGTTTCAGACGCGACGTGGGCGTCGAGCACCGCGGTGATGGTTTGCTGTGCGCCCGAGGACCCGATGAGTTTCGTCTTGGAATTTGCGAGCGTTGTGCCGGCCGCTGAGCCGCGGACTTTATTGGACCATTTGTCTAGGATTGCGCGGCGGTGCGTCAGCGAGGAGGATTCCAGCTCCGCCATGCGCTTCCACAGTGAGGAGGTTGGTGTGCCTGTTGTTGCGGGGGCGGGGCGCTTGCGCTTCTTGGACTCGTCGTGCGTCTGGGCGTCGACGAGGGTGAGGCGGAGTTCTTCGAGGGTTGACCATAATGTCAACGCGGCGGTCTCGGCGGACTTGAAGGCGTCGGTTTCGGTGTCGGTTTCGTCGAGGGGTTGGGGCTGTGTTGCGAGCTGGTTCGCTGCCGTGAGGCCCTTTTGTAGCTTGATGCGGGCGTTGAGGAGGGCGTCAAATGTTGCGCGTTGTTGCTTGACGGCGCGGCCTTTCACTGCGTCAGCTTTGGCGGCTTGGGAGATTGTCGCGGCGATGGTCTTTTGGTCTGTTGCCATTAGTTGGCGGAGTTGGGCGCGGTCGTCGGAGGGGTCGGCGTCGGCGCTGGCGAATTGGACACGGCGTTTGGGTTTTGCGGCTTCTTCGTCGGACTCTTCGTCAGATTCTTCTTCTTCGTCGTCGTCTTCGGATCCATCCTCGTCGTCATCCTCGTCGGAAACGTCCTCGTCTTCATCGGAGAATCCGTCCTCGTCGAAGCCTTCTTCGTCTTCGCTGTCGTCCGATTCCTCCATATCTACATCAACGTCCTTCCGGCCCTTTGTACTGGCGCCTTTGGATTTCCGCGGCTTCTCGTCTTCGCTTTCGCCGGAGATATCCTCGTCCTCGTCCTCCTCATGATCCTCATCACCTTCGAGTTCGTCGCTCTCATCATCACTACCCTCGTCGCTAGATCGCGCCGCAAACGGATCTTCGTCACTCTCGGCGTCAAGCGCATCTCTGCTCACCCGCGAGCCGGCATATTGTTTCCCTAATGACACCGGGTCCTCGTTGCGGAGTTTCGCTTTGCTGGTTTAATTAGCACGAAAGCTGTCCCAGATAATCAAGATGAGAGACGAACCCAACAGCCTGGTAATGCTCACGGCCAGCACTCGCATCCTTCACCTCAACATCTTCATCGCTTGAGTTTCCACCGCGCTCAATGTCCTCGGGGTCGTAGTCTGCTCAGAAAACAACGTTAACTGTGTAATGCAAATTAAGATTTTAATCAGCAGAATGCATACCCCTTGGCGTAAGATCCTCCAGATCAGCAATCTGCTCCGCTAACGATTTCGGCGCCATTTTGTGCTTGAAATTGGACGAGTTTGATCCGCAGAAATTATTTTTCTGCCGCGATAATATTTTCGACGATGCGGGAAGCGGTCAGTTCGCCGCTGGCCCACTTTGGCCTCCACAGCTCCTGGTTGGACGACCTGATTAAGCGGTGAGAGCTATCGCCGGCAATATCGCGTTCTCCGGCCTCAGGCTCCATATCTTTCTACTCCGCACATCAACTCAGCGCAACATGGCGACGCAAAGGAGGCTTTTCTCGACGTTTCGATGTCTTCGGCATGAGAATCCGCTGGTATACCCCTTATTCTAGCATCGTCTTGACCGCACCTGACGAATTGAGCAGGGCCTTCCGCGCTCCGGCACCCCGCCCTCGTTTCCCCGTCGCCGCGGCCTCCCCGAGAAGCGCAAGATCCGCGATGTGAAGAAGGTCATTGCAGTGTCGTCTGCCAAGGGCGGAGTTGGAAAATCTACTATCGCTGGTACATCTCGCATCCCTTTCCGGCCATATACCGGAAGCTATTAAGCGCATCGTCTAATAACTCATCCGCAGTCAACCTCGCCCTCGCCTTCGCCCGCCGCGGCATCCGCACCGGAATCCTCGACACAGATATCTTCGGTCCCTCGATACCAACGCTATTGAATCTCTCGGGGGAGCCAAGGTTGGATGAACGTACGTTACACTGACAGTACCCCCGATGAGCTCTCATGTGCTAACCCTACCTCTACCAACAGACGACCGCCTCCTCCCCCTAACAAACTACGGCCTAAAGTCCATGTCAATGGGCTATCTCCTCCCTCCGCCCCCCGAACCCACATCTCCCACACCAGACATCAACCGACAACCCATGGACACAACACCCATCTCCTGGCGCGGCCTCATGGTCACCAAAGCGATGCAGCAACTTTTGCACTCCGTCTCCTGGGGCCCTCTCGACGTTCTCTTCCTCGATCTTCCGCCCGGAACCGGCGACGTACAGCTAACAATCGGGCAAGAGATCATCCTCGACGGCGCGGTGATCGTCACAACGCCGCAAGACATTGCGCTTCGCGATGCAGTCCGGGGCTTCGGGATGTTCCAGCGCATGGATGTTCCGGTGCTCGGCATGGTGCGCAACATGGCTTTCTTCGCGTGCCCGGAGTGTGGGACGAAAACAAAGATCTTCTCCGCTGGTTTGCACAATCATAACCATGAACACGGCGATGCGGATTGGGGCGTGGTTGCCGAGTGTAAGCGGCTTGGGGTTGAGTTTCTAGGTGATATCCCGCTTGATGCGAGGGTTTGCGAGGATGCGGATCGGGGAATGCCGACTGTTGTTTCGGAGGAGGGGGATCGGAGTGTCCGGCGCGAGGCGTTTATGGGTGTTGCGGAGAAGGTTGCTAGAAAGGCTGGGGTTGAGTGGTAAAGGATTTCTCTTGTCAGTGTACTATATTTCGTGGCATTGTATAGTAGGTGCATATACCCGGTCGAAAATCAAGTTGTTATATATAATGATATAGAAACAGTGGATGTCATCACATATAGATGTACATGAGTGACAAAATATATCGCATGGGTATATATAGTATAGACACAAAGCATAAATCTCGATAAATGTCAGCATCTGACAAAAATCCAAGAACGCGCAAAAACAAGATAGGTATCAATAATACAGACAAACCCCCACCAGCGGTCACTCATCGGTCTACTTCTCAGCATCAACGCCATTCGTCAACGGCAGACTATCCACCGAGACATAAACGGAGTTCCCATCCGTCGACGGCCGGGGCCTCAGCACACCATCAGCATTCAGCACAGCACGCGTACTCGCCGCATCAACACGCCCCGTGTTCGTCGTGACAGCAAGACTCCGCTCGTCGCCACCAACCGTGCTCGCCGTATCATCAGTCACCGGGTCAGGGTCAGACTGGACGGTGACGCCGCTGCGGATGGTCGCTGATCCGCCCTGTGATGAGGCGCGGTGGTGGAGATCCTGCGTCTTAGGCTCCCCGGCTAGGGGGGAGTTTGTTGCTGGGATGGTGGCCGGGACGTGGAAGAGAGCTCGTGTACTCGCGTTCTCGGACTTGTCGGGGCCGTCGTAGTTGGGTAGGACGATGAGCGGGGCGAATGGTTTGTCTTGTGGGATGGGGGCTAGTTCAGGGGCCGAGTTCGAGTCATTGTCGGCCCCGGAGGGTTTCTTGGTGCCGTCGGCGTTGGCTTCGGCGTTGGGAGTAACGGGTGCCCTGAGGGTAGGAACTGTTGCGTTTTTCTCTGCCTCCGCAGAGTCCACTGGGAACGATGTGACTTTGTCGTTGTCGTTCTCGATAGACGCGCCTGCTCGTCCGGCGTCGACGCTCGCCCGGTTCGACCGCTGAGACCGGCTATCCATGTCCTTCTCGCGCTTGATCGTGCGCTTATCATGCTTGGTCGCGAACCGAGCCCACATGGTCATAGGATATGATGTCCTCAGACCCTTTGGCGGGAGCGCACCAGGCGAGAAGCGTCTCGCGGCCAGCGCGCTAGGCGGCGGGGTGTCGCCGTCGAAGTCCTGGAATCCGGACGCCAGACCAGCGAGGCGTAGCTGGTGGATGTGAGCCTTCTCCTTTGCGAACCTGGTGTCCCATTCTTCCTTTACTAGCATCCATTTCATTAGGAGGCCTGGATTGATCGTGCCTACGGATGAAGGAGGCAGGTTTAAAACCGCACAGTCGCGTGGAGGGGGAAGGGGGTAGATGTGCCCTCGCTTGTTGACTCGCTGGCGGATCATGCGGTCTTTGAATGGCGGCAGCGGATCGCCGGCTTTTCCCACGGCGTCGCTTGGTCGGTCGCGCGGTGCCTTGTCCCGGCCCTCGTTGTCGGATGTTTCAGGGCTCTCGGACTCGCTCGAGGAAATGGGCGAGACTTGGTCGTCGTTGATAATTTCGACTGTTGTGTCTTGGGCGCGCGCTAATGCCCACGCTCCGAATTGGGCAATTGAGCGGAACATGTATTTTGCTGGACGGGTAAAGCTGAGAATCGGAGCTACGTGGCAGAGATCATCCCAGACCTGAAGCTGGACGTATGTTCCGGGGTACTTGTCCACTTTCTCGCGCTTCGGGTCGAGGTCGGCCATAAAGTCATCGTTTGGTGGGTATGCTGTAGGATTGGCGGCTTTGTGGGCGACGTAGAACTGCTCATCTCGTAGCATTTCACCGCCGCCACTGATAATTTGGAGAGGGGGCAGTCCTCCGAGAGAAGGCTGGAAGATGGGTGACACGAGGGGATGAAAGAGAAGCTCGTTGGTGGTGTACATGTGGATTTGGTCCTTGACCTCGATGGTCTTGCCGTTCATGACAAAAGACGGAGGCCGCCGACCATGGCCCATTGTCGGTTTGGACGAGTCGACATCGAATGTATTCTCTTCTCCCGTGGTGGGTTCATCCTTCTCGCCCGTTGCCGCTGGGTTCTGCTTGAGTGCCTCATGGATCTCTCGGATCTCGTCTTCATTTGGTGGAGGCCATGCTATGGATGGCTTGTGCAAGAAGCCGTGGCCAGGGATATAGTCACCGGGATTTTCGGTTACGATACTAGGGAACGAATGTGTGAGGTCGACCCAAGGGGAGATCAGGATTGCGCCGGCCGGCAATGGCAGCCCTTGATCGCGGCAGATGACGAGCATCCTGCCACATATCAGCTGAGTCTTTCTGTAGACGGTTTAATCCAACTCACGAGAGAATCATTCCTCCGCCAGCTGAGTCTCCCGCGAAGATAATATCCTCGGGAGCATGGTCTCGTAGAAGGTAAAGATAAGAGGCCAACGAGTCGTGCAGCGGACAGGGGAACGGAAATTGCGGCGACAAGCGATAGTCGGCTTCATTTTGTTAGCTGGGACTAGAGATCCAACTTTTATAGAATTACTCACTGCGCCTGTTAGTAAAGTTAATCTCCATCATGAGGAAAGTACATACCGTGCAAAAACCCTCCCCTTTAGCTTCCGCGCATGCCGCTGCAGCTGGTACCGATGCGTCTGCACGCTCCCAAAATAGTACGCGCCACCATGGATATACAGCATGATGCGTCTGTTGTTCGAATCCTTTTTCCCCGCGCGTTTGCGCTCATTGTAGTCACTGTGCATCTCGATCCATTCGCCTCTCAGCTCTCCATTATTCTTATCTCCCGACGGACCGCGCCACTGCCACCACTTCTCACCCCCAACCTGTGCGACGCCATCTGGACCGAGTTGCTTGATTAGCAATGCCGCCGATTCCGACAAGAATTCTTCCGCGACAGTCACCCGTTCGATCCTCACCCAGTGCGGCGCGGGAACCCGCTGGCCGGTAAACTCCTGGATATACTCAATCGGACGCTTGGAGCTGAAGTTTATGAACTCGCGAATAACCGAGATTCCTTCGTCATAGGAGAGGTGAACGTGCGGCTTGTTGTGTAGGGTTTTTCGGTTCACGTACTGCTTGGTCAGTACTCTGGGGAAAACCGGGGACGCGCGGAATAGCAACGTACGTGGGAAAAGAGGGTCGAAACCACCGTCGGAGTGAGGGCGACCCCGATTGAAAGACTGCTCAAGGCCATGATGCTTCAATCGTACTCATTGCTGGGCATGGGGTAGGACAAAGCAGGGAGGGTTGAAGCGTTGAAGCGGGAAGGTCGTCAGGGGAATGACACAGACGATCATGGGCGAAGGCTGGAACGGTGGGGATAGCCGGTAGCCAAGTCGTTCGTCATCGAAAGGAACGATCGATTAGCGACAACGACCTCGTCATTATTTTCTGAAGCTGCGAGAAAAGAAAAGCGATTGGGGATGAGCCAAAGGGGGGCAGCATGTGATGTCATTTGCTCAGCCCCTGGATCCACCATCCACAGCCGAGGATAGGCGATACGACTCATCATCGAGGATTTTCTGTTGACGACAGTGACAAAGTGTAGATATCGGTCTGCGGATATTAATTCAGCTGAGTGTCTTCGTGGTATTGGTGGCCGTCGTGAGGAAAGTGTAGAAAAGTGCTACCTCGTATCTTCGGAAGGCAATACGAGGCTTTCAAGACCCTGAATCGCCAAGCCCCACAGTCAAACAAGCACTGACTCTCCGTCCACTGTCATCAACTCATCATTTTATCCAGGAGCAACGGTTGACGGCCCGATGAACGGCTACACAACAGAGCCGAGGTCTCCGGTCATGCACTTTTGGCAGTTATGTCCGCTGCCATCGTGAGTGGTCCGGGGTGTGACGGAGCCTGCCTGTGGCCCTCGTTACTCAATTACCCAAGCCATCGTGCTTCATGTTTAGACTTACGGATATGAGACCATGCATTTACTACACCACTAACGAGCCGCGTCCTCTGTCCAGTAGCTCCCTGGGATTGATATATATGTCCCATTAGTCCGGTTCAAGGCAAACCAGCGAAGAGCCCTAGACACAAGCTGGAGGGTGCCACATCATCGTTCGGGAAAAGGATCTATGAGGATCAAGTTTTGCTTGATCAGTGCGGGCTCAGGCATACCTCGGTTCATCGACGCTCCGGACTACAATAGCCGGTGGTATCAAGTTCCTCTGTATCCGGATCCCAATGCCATTCGGGATTTCGTTGCTCTCGGCTCTCCGAATAGCATGAGCCCAGCTCTTCTCGATTCCACTTGTCTGATGTCTCTTGGCGATACGCTGCCTCATAATCTCAATGTCAACCCCCACAAACCAAGTATCATGCACAAAATTCACAATTTCAGACCATGAAGCAATATTATATGACAAGTAATTCCCCTTCAGAGTTACCGTGCTTTGTTGAATGGTGCTGGATAGCATATAGATGTAGGAGCAAGACCGGTAAAGATTACTGCTTATTCTCTACTCCGTACGCCCTCAAGTCTGGATGGGATCGTGGTGGTACTTGCCGTCCAGGGCACGGGTCCCGCGGCTGTGGTGGCTTCCGCGTCCAATCTAGGGATCTCCTCTCATGAGACTTACGGCTCACAGCCTTTAGCTTCTTGGACAATAAACCACGCTTCACCTTACCGAAACCCTCATGGCTCTTGATGGCTGCAGTTAGTAAGCAGCCTTTCTTGGCACCTTCATCTCCAACTTCACGCGCACAGGCCAAGTGGTTTTCCAACCTCGACCATGAATCCCCGGACACGTTTTCCGACCAGTTATTAGCAAAACAATCTATATAACGTACCTGACTCTATCTCTATCCAAGGACTAATCATTGAATTCATAACTCTGACGACTAAATCGAATCTTGCTCATCTCGTGGCAAGATGGGCCTCCCCACGCTACCTGCCGAGATCTTTGACGAAATCATCCATGTGATAGCCCACGATTGGGACCATGGCCCATTCGCGGTAGTTGAAGACCAGGAATATGGCTCTGACATGTCTTGGTTTCTGAGTCTCCGACTCGTTGATAGCACGTAGTTCTCTATCATCTCATTATTGGAGCCCTCATACTAACAACGATCTAGAACGCTTTGATTATGTTGTCATGGATCAGTTCCTTATGGCAGCCAAGGGCCTGAACTTGATACTCTATAAGGGCTTACTTAGCATGGAGCCAGTGGGGTCCGCGCTGGCGATGGTGGAACGATTACTCCGGCTGCTCGCAAACAGCTGCTTGCAGAATACGACGAGGCGGAATCGTCGCTACATCTCCGCCAACGCAATTGCCGTAGGCACAAAGGCGGCTGTGAATTCGCTTGCGCAACCGGGTAGTCAGGATGGAGAGGACCCCGACACAATACGACGGATGTATTTTGACGCGTTAGTCGCCATTAATATGGTCCACATGCGGTTGAGACTCAGGAACCTGCTACAGGAGGACTACAGTGAAGAGGGTGTCCTCGAAGAAAAGAAGCAAGAGTCATCGACTGTCCTGGCGCTGGCGGCGGCGGCATATTTGGGTCGCATTGACCACATGGAGCGACTGATCGCAATGGGTGCAGACATCCAGGGCAATCCCAGCAATGAGTGGACCTGCCCGCCAGTTATGGCTGCTGCCCTTGGCGGACAGGTGAAGACCCTGGAACATATTAGTCGGTGTCGTATTGATCTTGCCGGTCAGACAGACCCAAACGGAAACGGCGCGCTCCACTTTGCGGCCATGGGCGGCCATACAGAGACAGTGAAGTATCTGATCAAGGCTGGGGCAGAACCCGATTCTCAAAACAAAAGCTCAGAGCGACCGATCAACTGGGCGGTTGGGGCGGGCCAGCTGCATATTTTCCGACAGCTACTAACAAGACAAGGGGCGCGTAAAATCGGAGAATGGAGCCCTGAACTTCTCTTCATTCGCGCTGCGAAAGGAGGTCATGGGCATATAGTTGCTGAACTATCGAAACGTTTAAGCAAGACGGTGCTGGAATGCATTCTCGTTGACGCTATGGAAAATGGAAGCACCCAAGTTCTACGGACATTAGTCGAAAGCATGTCCGACACCCGTCCAAAGATCAACATTAACTACCAAGGCAGTTTCGGACGTACACCTCTTACCTTCGCGGCTTTCTTCGGAGACATCAGACTAGTCGCGCTCCTACTTGCGCGCCGTGATGTCAAAAAAGCGCACATCGACGAAGAAGGCCATACCCCGCTAATAGTCGCAGCGCGCAACGACAACCTAGGGGCACTGTGTCTCCTGTTGGCGGACCCAGAGGCAACCGCTGATATGTGGCGCCAGAATATTTTTGGCCAAACAATGCTTTCTTTCGCTGCAAGATGGGGTCATCTGAATATAGTGGAGAGATTGCTGGACCCCGCGCTGGGCGTGCCAAAGGAGGTCGTCGGGCGGGCTATCCAGTTGGCCGTGCGAGAACTACCAGGACCGGAAGGCGTGCATACTTTAAACACGGACCGGATCCGCGATGGTGTGATGCTGATGAAGGACTATGCTGCTAAGAGGGGGTGGCTGCTAGAATCTTCATCTTTTTCATCTGAACGAGAGGAAGACGACAATGATGATCCATCCTAACACCTCAGGAGCTACGGCGCGGCATCCCACTATCCCTAGACCTTCCTATGAGTACGGAGGCGTGTTAGCACTAAGTTAGATATACGACTAAGGTATTCATTGCCCAGGTACCAAGCCGCGGTCCGCAACTCATAGAGTCGCATTAGAACATCTCCCGTGTACCAGCAAGGCGTGATATCGGATGTTTATGTAGGATAGTAGTGGTGGGAGTAGGATTCAAATCGACGACCAGTTTCGTACTGGCTCCACCTCAGCGGCCTGAAGAATGAAGAATACGGCGCGGCGGGGACTTGGATCGCATTGCATCTAGTTTCGACTCTGTATAGAGACGGTAGATGCAGAGTTCAGCCGCTGTATCCTAGATACTTACATACATCCGCTGTTGCCAGCGGACTCGGGCTTGATCCTGCAGTACTCCGTAGATGCACAGGTGAGCGGATCCAATTATCGGGCGCCGCGGGAACTTCTTGGCTTGGCGTTGGCGGAGCGGGAATCTCCAAGCCAAGCTTCGTCGCCATTTCTTCCGTGGCTGGATTTAGCTTAGCGCTAGTGATCACTGACCATCCAACTCCAACTCGCATCGCCAGAGCTCTGTTCTGAATGGGATAGTTTGGGGTACAGCGACGCTTGCACACGGCTTAATTGTTGTCTCACTATTGCTAAGTTTAACCCCTTCCAATTGTTCACAAACCTATTGTGTTGCTAACCCGAATCCACGCGCCAGAACCACAGTCCCCTTCCATGTCGTCGGTTATCCGGCTTCTCCCCTTCTCCCAAGGCAAATATACCCCCAAAATGGTTCGGAATGTCTCCCTGACTTCGATATTTGTGCGCAGGTCTCTATTGCTCGAGGTCTCCGCCTCCGCCTTCACCGCACTCCGCAGGAACGAGTTCAAGGCCATAACGGTCCCATTTAGACAATGAATCCCAGGGCCGCTGACGCTTTGACTTGATGACCAAGAAATCATTCGCAGCTATCTAAGTTTCAATTGTTGGGAATTACTACACTAGGTTCAAAGAGCGAGTTTCTCGAGAAGGTACGCAACTGTCCTGTCGCGGGCTCAATCGGCACGCCACGACCTCTACAACTCGCGCCATTCAACCTCAACAGACCCGCAACATGAACTATGCTTGCACGATCCACCTCAAGAATACGTGATAACAACCGGCGGCCTCCCACACGGTAACCGCTGCAGCCGCACCTCAACCGCCCTCCCACCCCTTGCTTCCCTCTTCACCCCCTTCTCCCCGCTCGCACTGCCCGCCAACCGTCCGCTGCCATAATACTCCGGATGCACCTTCATCGCCGTATCGCCATCCTCAAGGTCAACCTGGGCGTCGCACCAGAACTCATAGTTGTGGTACCCGACGACAACCGTGAAGAATTCGCCTGAGGAGGATCGAACCCGGAGCATGCCGGACGTGCCGCTGCCGTTCATGGTGAGGAAGAGACCCTGGTGCGGGTTTAGGGTGAGGTCTGGATCGTGCTCTGTCCATATTCCGCCGTTGGCGTAGTGCCAGATGGTTTTTTCGACGATTGTTAGGGTTTCGGGCGTGTTGTTTATTAGGGTGATTGGGTGGGTGTATGGCATTTTGCTAGGTTGCAGTGCTAAAGATAAGCTGGTTGCGTTGTAGAGCGTGGGGTTGCTGGTTGGGCGGTTTGTATATGCCTTTGAGGTGGGGGATCGCTTCTCTTAAAACCGTTGGATTGGATGATGGTAGTGGGGAGGAAGAGGGCATGCTCCGAGGTTTGGACTGAGGGCTGATGGAGACGTTATATACCTGCTCGAGCTGGAGAGCCTGTTTCAGTCTGCCACTGCACCTAGGTGCTGGGCATACATGCAGACGCACCGAACAGCAGCTGCCAAGGCGAGCAAAAACAACCAAGAGATGGGCTGGCTGAGCTTCATCGGAAACCCCGATCGTTCCGCGGAGATGCCACTGTGTTCCCGTTCATATGCACCAAGGCTCAGCTGATTGCGATTTGGCGCCTGGCCACTGGCCGCCATGGCCGCCTATCCCTGTGTGCATCTGCATCTGCGCAGTGGCTGGCTGAACCAGACCGGGACCTCAAAACCACATAACCTCTCGTGATCCTTACCCTCATGTCCACAACCGTGCTTGCAGCGACTCTCAGGGCAAATGCAAAGCAGCACAGCGCTTGGTTCCATACTCTATGCAGCCGAGTGCAGACGCCGGAAACTAGGTACTGTAGAGGGCCGAGCCCTTTGCATCCCCACGACGCAACGCACTCAAGAATCCAATCAAGTCTTAGAACACATCGTCCACTGCATCCCTACAGACCTCGGCCCCAGGTCGGAAGCTGTGGTATGCGGGGTACACCCAGCGCACTCTGCGCTTATGCAGTGGCTGGCTGGCTGGCCGTCCGTGTCAGCCAGGTCAGATCTGGGCCCTGGCTCAGCCAGGCACCACTCAATCAGTCTGTCTTCGTCGGGACATGAAAATAAGCCCCGGCCTGCGATATAAACACCACCCGACCACAATCCTTGGGAACCAAATCCAGGTACCATACATTGCGCCGCAAGGTACTCGACCTGGCTTTTTACTCGCCTGGTTGACCGCGTAGCATGGTGTATTTAGACGCCTTCTCACGCTCAGAAATGCCTCAAGATTCCAAATGCACTAGCAGGACAGTGTTAGCAATTTAGCAATACATTATAGCAAGCGATGAACTATGAGCAAATAACATACAAATTTGCGGACAGCAGCATAGGCAGTCAAGACGACCAGCATTCAGACATGGAAGCTTCGCAACGACCTCGACCTCGACCTCGACCTCGTAGCCGCCATCCACGGAAGGAGTAAAGACTTATTGAACTTTCGGTTCCCCTCTAATTTCACAACGGGTACACAGTTTTCTGCTGCTCCAGGGGAGAGGCTAACGTGCAGTCTGGGAATGTTTATAGGCGTGATCTCTACTTTCGTAGTATCGGTATAATTTCTCCTGTGCTATTGATGCCCGTTGCTGGGGATAAGAGGGTTAACGTTCTGCAAACCCCAGGGGTTGGAAAAAAAATTGATGTGCAGTGAGAGAGGGATCAGAGCCTATGAAAGCGCGATTATGGATAAAGACTACACTAAGGTGACAGTCTATAATGGCTCTCACAGTCTTGCCCATGCTCTTGGGCTTAGGCTAAGGCTTGGGTTTCGATGCAGGTGTCGCGTATTGGTATCCGGGGCCTAGACAGGCCTCGCAGGGTTATGACTTCGGCGGCAAGGCCTCAACAGGCCATGAACCATCATCAACAAACAATGACTCAAAGCTCCGCTCGCCAGGTCCAACAAGCTCTTTCCTTACCCCACCGCCGTCAGGGATAAAAACCTCGCAAGTCGTGCCATAGGGTACGGAAACCTGCAACTTGATCCTATACTTATCCTCTCCATCCGTGTCTTCAACCTCAACTTCCTCAGCAACCCACCTACACCTCACAGTTCCAAACGGACACACATGCTCAGCCGTCGCCTCGGAAAACGGCAAACCCCCAATAACCCCCGGCGAAACGCCGAATCGTTTCCAACCCGCCTCAACCCTCCTCAACCCCGCAACCCGCTCATACAGGAAACGCGCTATGGCCCCAAAAGCATAGTGGTTGAAGCTCGTCATCTCACCTTCATTAATACTTCCATCGGGGAGCATGCTATCCCAGCGCTCCCAGACCGTTGTCGCGCCCATGGTGACCGGGTACAGCCATGACGGACACTTTTCATTTAGGAGCATGCCGTATGCGACGTTCAGATGTCCGGTCTGCGCCAGTGCTTCGCAGATATATGGTGTCCCTGCGAAGCCCGTGCCGATACAGAACGAGTTCTTGCGGACGAGGTAGACGAGTCGATCTGCGGCGTGCGGGATTTGGGAGAGTTTGAGAAGGTTGAAGACGATTGCTAGAGCGTACGCTGTTTGGGAGTCGCTCACTAGCCGGCCGGTGGGTGTAATGTATTCGTTGCGGAACTCAGAGATGGCGGAGGCGTGCCAGGTGCTGAAGTGCGTGGTATCGGTTGGTTGGTCCAGGATATGGCTGATTTTAATCATGAGAGAGAGGCTGTGGATGAGGAAGGCGTTGGCGACGAGGCGGGCATCTGTGGAGCCTTTCCAGGGTGCTGAGGGGGGTGCAGAGGGGTCGAGCCAGTCCTGTACACCGCTTAAATTAGCATCCTACAACGACCAAGGGTAAGAAGGTAGATGGACGGAACATACACCGAGATTGAACACGCTGGTTTCCCACAGACTCGTCGCCCCGCTGCTATTCCTTGGGACCTTGCTCATCCACGTCACCATGCTATGATACTGCTGGGCAAGGATACTCTCGTCCCCTGTCTCCTCGTACAAAGCCCACGGCGCGAGAATCGTAACATCATGCCAGATTGCGCACGGAACGCGTCGGCACCATACAGGGTCAGGAAGCGTGGCATTGGGCGTGACCATAGCGGGCACGCCGCCGAGCACGATCTGGTCATGCTCAAGGTCGATGAGCCAGTTCTTGAGGAAGTTGAAGCAGTCATACAACAACACCGCCGTCGGCGCAAAGAGGGCTAGATCGCCGGACCAACCTAGTCGCTCGTCGCGCTGCGGACAGTCGGTGGGTACGGAGAGGAAGTTCCCGCGCATACTCCAAACGATATTTGAATATAGCTTGTTGACCAAGGGATGCGAGCAGCTGAATTCACCAGCGGGCCTCATGTCGCTGTGGCAGACGATTGCTCTTGTAGAATTGAATAGGCTGTCGCTGTCACCGGTCCAGCCGTCTACTTGAGCGTAGCGAAACCCGTGGAAGGTAAACCGAGGTGCATATTCCTCATCCAACGTGCCTCTGAGGATGTACTTGTCAATTGCTTTACAGATCCGAAGTGGCCTTGTACAGAGCTCGCCGTGTTCCAGCACTTCTGCGTGCGAAAGAGTAATTTTGTCACCGGGCATCCCATTGATGTTGCTCAAGTGCACATGCCCGACTAGGTTTTGCCCAAAGTCCAGAACGACTTTGCCAGACGGCGTAATAATCTTGGAAACTGGCTTGATCGCTTCAATGTGGCGGACTGGCTCTCCAAAGCCCGCGGTCAGTGTCACCGAGTCGGAAAGATCCAGGATCTCAAGCACTGGCTCCCACAGAGCATCATCGTTGTCTATTTCCGCAGAAGACGACCAGCCCGGGATTTCTTTCCGCGCATCATACTTCTCCCCATCATAGATCTCAGCTAGCCGAATTGGCCCCTTCGCAACCTTCCACGACCCATCCGAGAGCACCATCAGCACCTCCCCAGAATCAAGCGTGATCTCCATCTGCACCAGCAATGCCGTGTGCTCACCCCAGATATTGCGATGGCCGCCCTCGAATCCAATCCGTCCGCAGAACCAGCCTTCCGCAACACGTACACCGATACAGTTCGCGCCGGGCACGAGCATGCCTCCGACATTGTATGTTTGGTACTGCAGTCGTCCGTCGTATGCCGTCCATCCGGGCGCCATGAAGTGGTCACCGACTCGCTTTCCATTGATCTCGGCTTCGTAGACTCCCTGCGCGGTGATGTATAGCCGGGCTTTTATGATGGAACTCAAGGTGGAGATATCGAGATGGAACTCCTTGCGGTAGAGCTCCTCGGTATCAGGCCCGGGAGATGCATGTGGACCCCAGGGCGCCGCGATACGCTTGCAGTGCCAGTCGTTGCGACTCAGCAGTCCGACTTCTAGGTAAGTGTGGCAACTCCAGGCGGTGGCATTCTCAGCTTGATCCCATGCTCTTACGCGGACTGCGGCCCTTTGGCGCGATACAAGAGCCGGACTTGAATGTGGCCAGGGAACGAGGTACGACGCGGAAGAGGATAGCTTCGTGGTGGAGATGACAGTCAGCTTGGACGGCTCAGATACTTCGGATACTTCGAGTTCGTATGCGATTTGTTCGAAATCAGTCAGAATATCCTCATAGTTCCAGGAAATCCTTGGACAGATTTCCTCGACCCCGAGGGTGTTTGGGGCGTGGTAATGCTCGAAGCGGACGTTCGTGATTCGCGCCATTGCAAGATGTTGCAGGAAGTGGAAAAGAAGGTGAACTGATCTGACAGAAGATTATATTGCCTGGATCATGTCCTCGGGGTAGGTAACAGCGAGGTTGATGCATGCTAGTCCCCTCGGCCGAGCTTTAACCCAGGCAGGCACAATGTATTTATGCCACGACATCACTCAGTAAAAACAACCAGACGGACAATCCAGTTTCTCACAAACGGAACAATGGAGAACAGTAACGTCAACGTCAACGTCAACATGTTCGAGGCGCTCAAAGGCAACTCCCTTGGTTCGCCAGAGGAACCCCCCTACGACCCTCTCCCACCCATCGAAGACCTACCCCTCCCGTCAACCTTTCGCTGGGGCACTGCAACAGCAGCCTACCAGATTGAGGGTTCCCCAACTGCAGACGGCAAAGGGCCCTCGATCTGGGATACTTTCAGTCACCTCTCGCCGTCTCGAACGAACAACGAAAACGGGGATATCGCCTGCGACCACTATAACCGCGTTGAAGAGGATCTAGATCTCATGGCATCATACGGTATGGATGTTTACCGCTTCAGCATTGCCTGGACGAGAATAATACCGCTGGGTGGACGGAATGATCCCGTCAATGCACAGGGGATAGCATTCTACAACAAACTGATTGACGGTCTTCTTGCGCGGCGTATCGAGCCCATTGTCACGCTATACCACTGGGATGTCCCCGCTGCGCTGTACGAACGGTACGGTGCATTTCTGGACACAGCGGAGTTCGTGGCGGACTTCGAGACCTATGCACGAGTGTGCTTCGAGGCGTTTGGAGACCGGGTCCGAAAGTGGGTTACCTTCAACGAGCCGTATATTATTGCTATATTCGGACACCATTCGGGTGTTCTTGCCCCGGGACGCAGTACGGAGACGGGCGGTGATTCGTCAACGGAACCTTGGGTGGTTGGACATACCCTTATACTGTCTCATGCGGCAGTGGTGGGGTTGTATATCCGGGACTATGCGGGGGCCCAGAAGGGCGAGATCTCCATCGTGCTCAACGGGCACTGGTATGAGCCGTGGGATGCGTCGGATCCTGCTGACCGCGAGGCAGCGCAGCGACGACTCGAGTTCTACATTGCATGGTTTGGAGACCCTATCTTCCTGGGAAAAGATTACCCGTCAGCAATGAGGGCGCAGCTAGGCGACCGACTACCGCAGTTCACGGAGGAGGAACTAGCTCGGTTACGCCAGCTGGCATCGCGCCATACATTTTATGGGATGAACCATTACTCGACAAAATTCGCAAAGGCGCTACATGAACCTCCACCTTTGGATGACTGCACCGGCAATGTGGAGGAGCTGTCGACCAACAAAACAGGAAGGGCGGTTGGACCTGTTTCAGGAATGCCCTGGCTTCGCGTTGCTCCGCACGGATTCCGCAAATTGCTGGGTTGGATCTGGGCTCGCTATAAGCTGCCCATTATAGTTACCGAGAATGGATGTCCGGATCCAGGCGAGAGCCAAACGCCGGTGGAGCAGGCAATTGAAGACAAGTTCCGCATGACCTATCTAGGGCTTTACCTAGATACGATCTCACGGGCGATAACCGAAGACGGGGTCCAGGTTGAGGGGTACTATGTGTGGAGCTTGATGGATAACTTTGAGTGGTCTGCAGGGTACGGTCCTCGGTATGGAATCACCCACGTAGATTTCCAGACGTTGGTGCGAACACCGAAGCGCTCGGTTTGGTATCTCAAGCACACCTTTGAGGAGCGCAGGCGTGGGAGTCTGACGCGGAGCCATTGAAGCATCTCGTGCTTTTGGATTTAGGCAGATTGTTAGCAAATCATATGACTGGGGTTAATTCAATTTTCCGTATCGATATCATTCCACAGCCTGTACACTGGTAATAAAGCGAGGATCCAGATCGCAGGCGACGGTTCGACTGCAGCTACTGTAGGGCTGGGCTTCGCGTTTCTTCCCCGATTGGGTATAGTTTTCGATAGCCCCACGGCCAAGGCCTTTGCAAGTCTTGATTCTAGCTGTCAGCAGAGGGGAAGCATATGATAACAAAGGAAAGAGAGCAACCGATGTAGCCGTCGGCCTTTGACTCGGCTCTTGCTAGACCGAGGACCTTCCCCAGGTGAGTTCCCCAGATACCCACCCCCGCATTATCAGTCGAAGGGATGGACAGCTCTGGCCTCCTGTATCACCAAGGAGCACGCTAGTGTCAAACAGGTATGAATCACGAATTGAACTTTGTCGGCGATATCTACGATCTGTCACAAGATCAAGCAACCTCGGGGGTGTTTATGCCAGCGTGGCCGAGACTCGACTATAAGGATGCACAAGCAGGTCTTGCTCGCCATGTGCTGCGCTAACCACGCAACCTGACCTGCATTACCGCTCAAGATGGCAATCACGACGACCGGAGAGAAACCCCAACCTCGCCCAGTTGAGCTTGAGCATGTCGACACGCGGACTGCGCCTGGAAAGAGTGAGGCCGCTATCGAGGCAGCAAATAGAGGACAGCTTGTGACAGGCTATGAGCACCTCACCGTCTTCGAGACCATCAAAACATTCAAGCTTGCCACTCTGGTGTGCTTCGCAATGGCCTTTAGCGCTGCCACTGATGGGTATCAGATTGGGTAAGTTTGTAGCGCTTCTTTTTGGTCGAACTGTACTAACAGACACAGGATCAACGCGAGTATCATTGCCAACAAGGGATTTGTGGCTCAATTTGCAACGCAGACATCCGCGGATGGGTCTCCCGCTCTTGCTTCCCCGATCCTCAGCGGTTGGAGTTCCATCATGTCCTGCGGCCAAATTATTGGTATGACGAGCTTGCCCTTCTTGTCGAGCCGATATGGTCGTAAAGTCGGCATGTACTCGTACTGGCTTGTGCTGGTTGGCAGTGTAATTGCCGAGTCAGTAACCACGGTCTGGCAGGGCTGGCTAGTCGGCAAACTCCTTGCAGGAATTGGAGTCGGCTGCGTCCAGTCGAACGTTCCCACGTATATCTCCGAGGTGGCACCGGTTCGGATTCGCGGTACTTTGTTGATGGCTTACAGTTTGTGGTGGACGCTGGGTTCGTTCTTCGCCCAGGTCGCTCTGCAGCATCTCTCGCGCAGTGACCCCACGGATTTCCGAACCCCCATTTACACGCAATGGGCCCAACTCGGACTGATGTTGCTAATATATCTTGTGGTACCGGAGACCCCGGCATGGTGTGTAAACGCCGGAAAGCTGGATCGAGCCAAGAAAGAGCTCCTGAAGCTACATCGAGGAGTGGAAAACTATGATGTGGACCATCAGTTGCAGGTTTTGGTGATGTCCGCAGAACACGAACGCGCCTTGGCAGTCGAACAGCGCCGGGAACATTGGTATGAAATATTCCGCGGAACTAACGGACTGCGGACGGTCATCTCGTTGTGGACGAACATGTCGCAGCAATTCATTGGATTGACTCTGTTCGGAACGTTTGGGACGTACTTTTTCCAGCAAGCCGGTATCGACGATCCCTTCCGAGTCAAAGTCATTACCTCCTCAATCCAAATTGGCACAGTCCTTGTGCTAGTCACGGTTGTCGACTTCACGGGGCGTCGGCTGCTCGCTTGTAGCGGGACCACCCTGTCATGGCTGTCGTGCATTGCTATTGGGATCATCGGAGTGGCGCCGGAGGTAAAGGCGTCCACGTATATCTTCGTCATGTTTGCCTGTTTCTGGAGTGCGTCTTCCTTGTCTTGGTTTATGTTCCCCCCCGACTAACTACATTAGATGTCGGACTCGCCGCAAATGGCGCCACTGGCTGGGGCTACATCGGCGAAATCTCCTCCCAACGCCTGCGACCGTATACCGCCGGCTTCGGCGCTGCATCAACCTGCGTGATCGGAGTGATTATGAACGTTCTGGTGCCGTACATGACCAACGCGAATGAGTGGAACTGGGAGCTGAAGACGGGATGGTTCTATGCGGGGGTTGGTGCCCCTTTCGCACTTGGAATGTGGTTTCTGATCCCGGAGACTACCGGGTATGTCGGCCAGAATCGCAGCCAGAATATCGCTAATGCAATCTCAGACGATCCGCGGCGGAATTGGATGAGTTGTTTGAACGCAGGATCAAGCCGTGGAGGTTCCACAAAACGAGAACGGCAACACAACGCTTGGTTCAAGAGGAGGCCCACTAGGATAGCCATTGAGTGACAAAGAAAATGCTGCTAATATAATTGACTCTCAAAGAATGGGATTCAATTCTCATCTTGGAGAACGGAGACGAGAGTGGTCAAGAAGAAACCATGAGGGCCAGGGAGGATGGCGGATGGAGATTGGAGAGACATGAGATTGGTGGACAGTCGGAGTCCCGGAAACTGGGCTGACTAAGCGGGAACAGAAGCACGTGGTCGCCTCCCACTGGGTTGTCCGTTCCTTTTTCTCTCTCCCTTCTTGCCATCATCAGCTTAATGAATACAATTGCTACTATTTCAATTGTTCTTTGGCGTAGCTCGTGAGTGACTGAGCACTGCAGGTTTTTGATCCACATTTTCTCATACTACGTCCACCGCAAGCATCGCTCGATCAGTCGGTGATAGACAGTCTCCACAGAGCTCTACCAAATACATAGCCCATCCTTCAAACCACCAATACCTTGGAATAATACTCAAAACATGACCAAACAGTCCCAAGACAATTACAGCAGCCCGGTCTTGCTGGAGCAGCAAGTCGAAGTACAATGAATCCGTCTGAACTGGCCAGGCCATAACCGCACGCTCGTCGCCAGTCTCCAGCCAGATCTGCAGCATATGTAGGAGGCTACCGAGAGAGGTGCGAACGCATGATTCCAACAGGATCTCTGGCATGGTTCCCATGATCGACTGGATTCTGAAGGCCAATGCCGCCGCTTGCTGCTTTGCGGCCCCCGTCAGTTCCTGGTGATAACGACCTACGCGGAGTAGAGGGTGCAATGGGCCTTCTTCAATCCAAGGTCGGGCGCGGTCCACGACAGACGCCGACCCTCGGATGAGTTTGAATGATTCAACCACGTCAGTGATATCCTGGACTGGGGTTGGGCTCCGGGTCTTTCTGTGAGCTCCGACCACAAACACAGGCACCAGACAAGAGAAGCCGAAGAGAGCATGGCAATTGGCACGTGTGATGTTATCGAGAACTTGACCACACATTACCAAGGAGCTTCGATGGTGCGCCATGGCGGTATCGATGTATTTCTGTCGCCTGTCGTCGGATGCTGGTACGGCCTGCGCTCGGTGCAGTGCAGAAATAGCCAGGATACCGTGAAGGAGAAACGGATGTGACAGTCCCTCTTGGGGTATGACAGTGCGCAAAATCCCTTGCAGCGGCTCCGCACTCGCTAAAGATGCAGCGGTTGTCGTATGCCAACCATGTAACAGCTCCAACTCTTGGAGAGGGAGGGTATATGCGCATCGCTCCGTCGGAGGAGCTTCGGCAACCAGAGAGGGCGGGGGAGGAAGACTCTCATAGGCACATGGCAATTGCTTCCTATGACAAGAACTGCACACTGGACGTGCCTCGTCGCATTTGATCCGGCGCAGCTTGCATTGGGCACAACCATGATGTGATTTCGAGTGGGACCGGCGCAGTGGCATGATTTGGTAGGGCTGGTACTATCTCGAATCTATAATCTCCGGGGGATCTGCAGATTAAATCTCCCTAATGCGGGCTCGTATTCGTTCCTTGATGGGGGATGGTTTACGATGTGCTTTGGCCACTAGTCTGGCCACAGCCACGCTTGAAAAGCAGGACAGATCCTTCGAATGCTCTCTGAATTACTTTGCTGCTGAACTCGTGACAGATCTCGGGCAAGCAAACAGCGACCTGCATTCTTCAACGCGCTGGTTAGGCAGCCACCGCTCACAATGGCATGGTTTACGAAGGCTGAGATGCACAGGCAAACTGTGCCCCTGCGCAAGTCTTGGCACAATAACCACCAAGATGGCAGTAACTACACATATACAGCCCTTCTACCACGGTTATCGTCGAGTCCTTCTCAGTATACCACGCCGCTACACCGCTTGCTCAACATGGCAATTCTTTCTTTGGTTCTGACAGCCATCTTCTGGTTTTCCATCGCCTCCGGGAAGTCCACGCCCGAACCACCCGGCCCAGAACGCATTGAGATCATCGAACTTCCTCTGCCCCCAGTGGTTGGAAGTAATGCGACTGGTGCTTGCACGGTGGAAGTGAACCCGCACAAGACGGGCTGTATCGGGAGAGAATTTATTGACTTCCAATCAGGAGACTTTACTCCGGACGGGGACCATGTCGTGGTGAATCTCGAGTTTATTGGCGCCCCTGCTTCCCCGGATCCCGCCAACATCTACACCGGGGAGCAGTTGATTCTCGTCAAGACCGACGGCACTTTGTTCGCTAATGGCGACCCTTGGAAGTGCCTTACGTGCGGTGTTCCAGAAAGCAATGCCCAGTCTCTCGATCCTCAGAAAGACTATCCGCATGTTGCTCGAAGTGGAAAGAAAGCCCTATGGGGCCACAATATTATTGACTGCGGTGATTTCCTACTCGCCAGTGATGACTGCACTCCGGCCAACACTTTCATCTATCCCATCTTCTGGCCGAGCACGTTAGACGGCTCGGGCCCTGGAGGGGTGCCTCGTGAAATGCGATTACATCCTGACGATGTGCACATGGGATGGAGCTCATTCACTCCAGATGGCGGCCAAAATACATTTTTTGGGCGACTGGAATTCAACCCGAACCCTTTGACGGGCGCTCCGCTTGCCCCACGATATGACCTAGTCGACGTCAACTTGCTTGAAAATCCCTTTGGACCGTCGATCCTAGACCTGAATGAAAAAGGCGAGCTGGAGTTGCACTACGACGCCATCGGTGTTGGCGAGTTGCGAGGATTCAGCGGTTCTGGCGACGAGATTCTCTATATTGGTCCTACCCACGAAGCGAACAACCACGACATCTTTGCAGTGCATGTCACTACCGGCAAAGTCCGACGTTTGACGAGCCATCCGGAATACGCCGACCCTGTGTCCTTTTCGCACGACAACAAATGGTTCGTGGTGATGGACACCAGAGGCTCAAACCGCCAGATGTGGATGTCCGGAATGCGCGGCATCCCCCCATTGATCGATATCGTGACAGTGGCCGCCGCAGCATCCACGCGGAACAACCATCATCGACGCTTCTTTCAGCCTATCCTTATAGATAGCGAAGGGGACCGCGGCAGCTACTTCGGTCAACAAGTCAATGCGCACGGTGACGGGTCAGATGGAAGCCCCAACGACCCCAACTGGAACGGCCGCGCAGACCCTGCATTCTCTTATGACGGCACGCAAATTGTCTACTGGCAAGCTCTTGTGACAGCGCCAGCATGCGGCGGTGTCAACCCTCTTCCATGTCCCGAGTCCACAGCCCAGGGCGGCCGTACGTACCGCGTCATGCTCGCGCGGCTCAAAGACCGCGAACCCACAGTCCCGGAAACGATCTTCGACATCCCAGACTTCCTTCCATGGGCAACCCCATTTCCTCCCGGCTCGGAATTCCCAGTGCAATCGGGATTACCACAGGGTACATACACCCTCCGCGGCAAAGTCAGCGGCACAGCCAATGCAACTTTGATAGCAGACTCCACCTCCGTGATCCGGACGGTCTCAGTAGAGTACGACGATTACTCTGATGACGGCGAGCACATTATCAACGGCTTCGAGTCTGTCACTGGGACTCCAGACCCCACGAATCCATGGCTCAGCAATTTGAATTGGACCTCGGATCTCAAAGGCACTGGGGCTGTTACTGCGACTAAGAAGACAGGTCCAGACGGGTTTCAACTTTCTATCGATGTGATGCTCAATATCTTCAATGCGAATGGGACGCTGACGACGACGATTGATGGGGCTGTGTATGAGCAGCCTGCTAATGGGACATAGCGTCGCCCAATGAAAGCGACAGAATGAGAAGGACTTATGGGATAGATGGGAGAAGGTGATCTGCCCGAATTCTACTTATCTGGTCGCCGCATGGTCGAAATGTATCTTGTTGACTGATAATAAGAAGTGCATACATTTACGGGGTGTCCTGGCATCAGCAGTCTTCAATGCAAGCCGTTGTAGCCACTAACAAATGCACATCAAAGCATTCAGCGCCTTCACTCCCTAATCGCACTTTCTTGTCTGAAGCTTCCTCCTCGCTGCTCCTATTTTCGCCCCCGGGTAAACCCATCATTGCCGATATCCGTGCGGCACTGCAAGGCAATCCCGCCTGCTAGTCAGATTATGTTTGGCTTCTTACCAGCATTTGCCTCTGCCTAGGAAGCCCCAGCAAGCACAAACTCTTTTTAATCTCCTTTTCCGCCAATGCGTCTCGAGTGTATTCCCATTCCCTCGTTTCGAGGTCATATCCGCGCAGAACCCAAACGCGATCCTCATCCCCAGTGGCCCGCTTTTGCTTTTTCCGCGGCGGCATCTCGAGTCAGTCTTTTTCGACAGGGTAATTCGACTGTTCAACAGGGTTTTATGAAGCGGAACCCCGATTGGGAGCGGGTGCTAACATAATCAACCCGTCGCCGCTTCCTAATTAGGCTTAGCTTAGCGGCAGAATACTCCGCGCGGGCGCGCAGCGCTTTAAATTCTAACTTCTTGATGACATAGAGAGCGTTGTAGGTGAAGCCTGAGTCTCCTATTGGGTGGCTACCGGAGGCGCTATATATAAGGTCTGCAAGTCACGTGCAGCTAGTCCTAAATAAGTAAGCGTGAATACCTAAGGCACCAAGGCAGGAAGCGTCCAATATATCCCTTAACTAGTAAATATAATAAACTACTAATATATATAAAAAATTAAACCTGGTGGTTTTTCCTAATTAAAAAACGCATAAAGCTTATAGGTAAAGAAAAAAAAAACTATTTATTAACCTTTTATTAATTATTTTAATAAACTATACCCTAGTATATTTCTTGTGGCATGTTAGCCTAGTAACACGGGAAAAAAAAAGTATAAAAATATTTAAGGCCTATTATTAGCTAGTTTTATAAGGTATATACCTTTTAAAAAATTATTATTAGCTTACTAAATAAGCTATACACCTTTTATAAAAGTTATAGCGCGGGAAACAGCTTAGCACGGGGAATAAAAGTATAAAAATATTAAAAAGCTTATTATTAGCTAGTTATAAAATTATACACCCCTTATTATTTTAGTATCCTAGTAGGTTAAATTTAATATAAAAAATAGCTTAGCGCAGGAAATAGCTTAGCGCGGGGAATAAAAGTATAAAGATGTTAAAGGCTTGTTATTAGCTAATTATATAAGATATATACCCCTTATAAAGTTATTATTAGCTAGCTAATAAACTATACACCCCTTGTTATTTTAGTATTTTAGTAATTTGGATTTAGTATAAAAGGCGGTTTAATAAGTAAAAAAAAAATATAAAATTTAAATTTAGCGTGAGAAGCAGCCCGGTAACTAATAAAAAAATAATATTATTAAAATTTAGCTAATTAAGGCTAGAAAAGTTAAAACAAAGTATAAAAAAAAAGTATAAAATAAGGCTATAATAATATACCCCGCGTGAAGTAACCTTAAAAATATATAGTTATATATAACACCCTAGCTAGCCTATATTAAAATAAACTACCCCTGGGTTTATTTAAATGCCCTTAAATTACCCTTTGCCCGGGCCTATAAAAAAATTTAATTAGCTTATAAATAAAGCCCCTAGTTTACACCTAATAATAGCTAGCTTATAATAAGTATTAAAATAATAACATGCGGGGGGAATTACTACCTAGCTAGTTTATATTAAAACTACCCCCTGGATTTACCCTTTATCCAGGGTCTACACCTTAACATAGCTAAAAGTATTAAAGTAATAGCATGTAAGCAAGGTATAAATATAAATTATAAAGGGTGTGATTAGCTAGCTACAGGTAGCTAAATTATTAATATTAAATAATTAGTACTATAAAAAAATAATAAAAAAAAATAATTGGCTGTAGGCCAGGGGTATTAAAAAAGGCTTAAAAAAATTTTATATATTAAAAACCCGGGGTATTTTAGTGCTTTAAAAAGTTTTTGCTCTAGCTAATAAAAAAAAAAAAATATATAATTACTAAAGCGCTGGGACAAAGTAATAGCTTATAACCTAATAATATAAAGAGTGTTGTAGGTAAAGCCTAAGTCTCTTATTAGGTGGCTACTAAAGGCGCTATATATAAGGTCTGCGAGTCATGTGCAGCTAGTCCCAAACGGGTAAGCGTGGATGCCTGAGGCACCAAGGCAGGGAGCGTCCAACACTTCTTATATAAAATTTAGTGTTTAAACTACAGGCCAAACATGTATAAGTTTTAACTATTAAACTAGCACTTATACTAACTAATAAAAGGCCTAAAATTTAATTACACCTAGTATTAACTTTAAAACTCCCTTTAAAATAATACCTTCCCCGCGGCCCTGGCCCTGGCCACGGCTATTATTTTAACCTTTATAAATTTTTTTTTACTTTGCTTATACTAGCTCTAGTAGCTTTAGTTTTTTATTTTTATTATTATTATTAATAATAATAACTTTTTAATTAGGCGCTAGGGTAAGATTATTTATAATAACCTATTATATAACTTTTTAGCGCGCTACTTACCTTGCTAGCCTTTATTTTTATTACTTTGCCTAATTTTATTTTTAAATATTAGCCTTAATTTTTTTATAAAAAAATAAATATTTTTTATAACTATAGCTATAGCCTTTGCCTTACTAGCCTTACTAGCCTTAAGTTTAAATAATTAAATTTTATAATATAATTAATATATTAATTTTAGTATTAAGATCTAGCCTTAGCCATTACTATTAATAAAAGTAAATAACCTAAAGGCTAGTTTTAAAAAAGGCTTAAATAATATAAATATAAGGTAACCCCTTTACCCGTAAAGCTATTTTTATATACTTTTAAATTAATTTTTTATTAAGGCCCTTTAGTAAGTATTTATTATAGTGTTTAAGGACTCTTTATAAAGTAAATAAAAAAATTTTATTATTAATAGCTTAAAATAGTGGCTTATTATAAATTTAATACTTATAATATTTTTTTTTATAAATTCCTTATTAATAAGCTAATAACAAGTTATAATAACCTTTTTAATATTTTATATAAAAATAAGAATATTACTAAGCAAAGAATTTTAAGCTTTTAAAAAAATATAAGCGCTTTTATTTTATAAAGTTATTATTATACCTAAATACTTATAATTATTAGTATAATACTTAAAAAAGTGCTTAAAGTAAATACTGTTAAGCTATTTTTTTTTATATAGGTTAAAAAGTATTAGTATACCTTTTACTTTTTTTAAAGCTATTTTATTTAGTTTTTACCTTTTTAATAATAAGCTTATATATAATATTAAAAAGACCTAAAGCTATTTTCTCCTACTTTTTATTTACTTTTATTTATAAAAAATTATTTTTATTTTTATTATAATTTTTTCTTATAGTAAAAGTGCTAACTTTTAAATAAAATTACCTTTTTATTTAGGCCTTAATAGCTTTTTAAACATGCTACTAATATAATATAATATTAATATTTTAAAAAATAGGCTTTATATAGCTTAAAGCGCCTAAATTATAATTTATTATTATTATTAAGGGCTTAGGGGCCTTAAAATCTTAATAAATAATTTTTAAATAATTTAAAATAAAGCTATAAAAATTAATTAACTTATTAGTAAGCAGGCTAAAAATAATATAAAAGGTTTAATTTATTAAAGTTACTTCTATAATATTTAATAATAAAAGGCTAAAGTGGTTGGTCTTGTAAGTGTAATTTATAAAAATAATATAGGGAAATTAGTAAAATAACTTTATAAAAAACTTATATATAAAAAATAACTAAGTAAGCTATTTCTTTTTTTTATTATATTTTAGCTTTTAGTTTAAGTTATTTTTAAAGTTATTTATAAGTACCTAAAGTAAAGATCTACCTTTTAGCAAGGCTTAAAACTAGTAAAACTAATAGTTATATATATTATAAGGTAGGAAAACTAATAATAAGCTTTTTATATAAATTTACTTAATAATTTTAAATATACAGGTCCGCTAGGTAATTTATTAATTAATAAAGATTTTTTTTTATTTAAGCTCCGCCTAATAATATTAAACTTAAATAAATTTAAGTATAAAATTATAATTATAATAATTATTTTAAATAAAAAAATACTAAAGTTTATTATGCTTATAATAGCTTATTTAAATACTAAATTTATAATTAATTTTTATAAAACCGCGTGTTATACCCTGGGGGTTATATTTAAGATTATAAATATAATAAAAATAAATAGCTTTAACCTAGCTATATTTATCTTTATTAAATTATTTTTTAAAAATTATATATTAATAATCCCGGGCTTATTACTAGGCAGCTTTTAGTACTTAGGCTTTAAAAATATATAATTATTTAGGGGGTAAAGATAAAGGGCCGTTATTATTAAAATATTTAGTATTAAATTTAGTAGGGTTAATATTAAGGGCAGGAATATATTTAAAAATAAAGTTATTATTATTTTTAGGCTAGATTTCTAGTTTATTATTTTTAGTATTTATGGCTTAAATTTATATAAAATTATTATATAAATCTTAGCCCATGGTTTTTAATAAAAATCACCACTAATTACATAAGAAGTTAAGACGTGGCCGACTTAGCTTAAAAATAAAAAAACTAGCTATCTAGACCGCTTTTTAATTAGGATTCTGCTTTATAAAACCCTGTTGAACAGTCAAATTACCCTGTCAAAAAAGACTAACTCCGGCATCTCGTCTCCCTCGTCTTTTTCGTCGTCATCCCCCTTCTCAATGCTGTTGCTGTCATCAGTCCATCTCAATCCATCCTCTGCATCCCCCTCCAACCCCACCTCATCGAGACCAACTCCCGCAAGACCAAACTCCTCATCCACCCCATCAGCGCGATACTCAGCACCAACCTCAGTTACCATATTATCATCATCTCGAAAATACAAATCCCGCAGGATCCTCAACTACTTCATATCTGATTCCGAAATTACGGTGGACCGTGGACAATCCGTGATCCGAATCGCGCGGAGAATCGCAGCAACAGGCGCACCGCGCCATGGCACCGGTGCTAGAACTCCCGGGTCCTTTGGAACAAGTGCGGTTCCAACCCAGCTTTTCAGGAAGACCCGAGTATACAAGCCGACGGGCTTATTAGTGCAGGTAGCGTACTGCCGGGCAGTCGGGACGATTCGAGGACATTTCCCAGTGTCGAGGCAGCTGGCTTTCGCTTTCGCTTTCGCTCGACGAACTCGATCGTGCAGTTCGAAGCGGATGAAGAAGGATAGGTCGCCTGGGTAGAAGGTTAAGCCGGGATCGAGGGTGTTGCCGTAGCGGCTTTTGCAGTTTGGGCAGAGCGGGATGGCGTTGGATTTGCGGTGCAGGTGGAAGTTCAGCAGGCCGCGGTCGCGGAGGAGGCGGTTCCTACGTACATTATCGTCGTCGTCCGGGATGAGGAAGGTGTAATCGTCCGCTTCATCCCTGCACATGAAGCAAAAAGCGTCTTTGCCCCAGTATCTCAGCTCGGGCTTCGCTGCGCGCGCGGAGCTCTTTCTGGAAGGGATGCTCTCGGTCTCGGTTCTGCTGGAACTACGTGGGGAAGCTGTGGCCATGTCTGGATGCAGGTAGTAGGGATAGAGGTCACTTACTACTTCCGACTTCTTTGACCTCTGAGTCACGACAGGTAGGCATTGGCGTGGGAGTCTCCGGTCAAATTAGGGTTTCCGCAATCTCACGTGACTCCAGGCAGGGTCTTTCCTTTCTTGGTTCCTTAGCACCCCATTGGTGCGTCCTCCCCAGGTAGACATCCTGTGTTAGCCTTTTTGCTTGGCTCGGGACACTTATACGCCGATCCAATCTAGCCTAGGTAGGGAAAATCCAGCAAGATACCGAGAAGTATACTGTAGGGGTGATAGGGGACGAGCGTCGTGTTTGGATTCTGTGGGCGTTGATAAAGGTGCTCGTCCCCAACTGCAGCTGGAGGCCCGAAGAGACATACAAGTCTATCTAAACTATCATAACGAAGTCCATCTACTACGTCCCGCAGCATCGAGTGAGCCACAGCCTGTGGAATGGGAACACTGCAATGCAATTAATTTCTTCAGCAGCGAGTTAGGGCTGCCTCCCCAGGGCTCTTCGCATGCATAACTTTCTGTATTTCCACGCACAATACAGAGGCAAGACCCAAGTGCTTCATAAAGCCACATCAACTTCATCTCGGAGACTCGGTGGGGTTAAAGCTGCTGCTCGGGGCGTGGGTCTCCAGTCTCGGCCATTCGGGCCCACGGGCCCGGCATGTTTCCACTCCACTGCACACCCTGGGGCAGGTATACCGGCGTGAATATAAACCTCTACTCGCTTCCCAAATTCAAGTTCAATTGTCATCTGTCCCACACACAAAGCCAAATTATCTAATCATGCCACACATCGAAAAACTAACCCCGCTTGACGCGGCCATGCCGAGAACATACATCAGGGTGCTCCTGGTCTTCCACGCGGCGTCGCCATCGAGGTCAGTCACAGAGACACTGCAAGACGGCCTCGACAAGCTGAGCGAGCAGGTCCCCTGGCTATCGGGGCGGGTATTCGCTACCGAGGGCAGCAAAGGATGCGAGATTCGATATGAGGAAGGGGATAGGGCACCACTGCTTGTTGACAAGGGCACCATAGCGCGGGCGGCATTGGACGATACCCCACCGGAGGTCTGGCCTGTTTCTGGGAGTGTGCTTGAAGATGGTGCGCCCGTTTTTGCGGCGAGTATCTTTCGCTTCACGCCTTTGCCTGCAGGTGCAAACAACGAGCAAAGCGAGGAAACGGAAAGCAAAAGCGTAGGCTTATGCGTCTGCATCCATCACAACGCTGTTGATGCTACGGGCCTCACGGAGATCATAAAGCTGTGGGCGGAAAATGTTAAGAACGGATCGCTTGCTGTCTACCCATCGGCCGGGGGTAAAGAGAGGAGGCCAAGGCCCGTCCAGCTATCAGAAGCCCTCTCCCCAGACCTGGCAGACCTCGAGACCTCCGGGACTGGCACGGACGACCTCCTCGCCCTGCACCCCGAGTACTCAGCTCTCCCACCAGCTCTACCATCAGCACAGACGGAATGCACATCCAAGCTCTTCACCATCTCCACCCACTGGCTCAACACCCTCAAGCAACTCCTCCACAAACACACCCCAAAGCCACCAAGCACAAACACCCTCCTCTGCGCCCTCCTCTGGACAACCATCACGCGCGTCCGGAGCCGCCGCGATGGATCCCTAGGCACGAAGACAAGCCGCCTCGTAACGGCCGTGAATGGCCGATCGCGTCTAAACATGACCAGCCACAGTGAAAGTGAAAGTCAGCGGCCGTACCTCGGAAACGCCGTCCTCTACGCCCTAACCACATACCCAGCGGTGGATCTTGCCTCCTCAACATCCGACGCAGACCCGGACCCATGCGCGTACCCCATGCGCTCCCTAGCCGCCATCTGCGAACACATCTCAGCGTCCCAGGGCCCCAGCACCATTTCCAAGCGGCATATCGCGGAGGTCTACGCTCTGCATGAGAGTGCACGACCGTTGTTCCCGGGGTGGGACCTCTTTGGCTCGCGGGACGTCGTGGTGACCAGCTGGGCAGACCAGGGGCTGTACGAGGTCGATTTTGGAGAGGCGCTGGGGTGTCCCGGGGCTGTGAGGCTTCCGGGGTTAGAGGAGAGGGTTTTTGCGGATGGGGTTGTGCTTGTGTTGCCGCGATGCCGGGGGAAGGGGGAGGCGGAAAGGCTTGAGGTCTCGGTTATGTTGCGTCGGGATGATATGGTTGCGCTTGAGGGGGATAGTTTGTGGCAGACGCTTGTTTCGGTTTGAGGAGAAGAATGGAGTGGAGGGTTAGGGGGTGGGAAAACAGAGAGAAGGGAATCATAACTGTACAGAACTTAGATATAGAAGAAATGGATATATACAGGATGAAATGATAGAACAACTCCAAAACCACCGGCCAACAAACACCTACTACGCAAAATAACGAAAGTCACCTGCACCTGCGCCTTCTCCCGCACCTGAAAGTCCAAACTCCAGATCAAACCGATTCCCCAGAAACGGCTGCCCAGTGAACCAGTCGTCCAGGAGCTCAGTTGCAAACACCGAGTCCATATCCATGTCCACACCCAGATTTCCATCGTGATTTAGACTCGCGAAGACATCTTCGAATGTTTCGCGGTGCAGGTGGATGGCTGAATTGAATTCTGGGCCTGGACTGCTGTCTGTGTTGGATGGTTCAAGCATCCGCGAGGGCACGTGCATGTGCGTATCTTCTAGAGTTCCAACGGTAGAAAGCGATGACAGTCGTTCGGTGTCCCCGTCCATTAACCGCCCCGCAATCTGGGCAAACGTCGCACAAACCTGATACAACCTCTCCGAGCCCTTCGAAGCGCGGCGGAACGTCTCAAGGGTACCGACGACCTTGGAGAGGAGCTCGGCGCTCTCCGTATCCTTTGCGGCAATGGCGTGCAAAAATACCACGAGGAACGGCGTGAGGGACGAAAAAAGCAGGATCCAATTCACGTACTCGCCGTCCGAAAGGAGGCCCGAGTTCTGGTACTGCGGGAAGCAGGTGAGGTGCGCGAGGAGGCTGTTGCGTGCAGCGCTGAAGCACTCCGAGCTAATATGGTACCCTGCTCCTGATCCTGTTTTGGCGGACGAGGAGTGGTGAAGCAGTGTCAAGGTGGAGTAGAAGGAGATATCCCAGTTTCCTCGGGACATGGCGAAGACTTGTGGGTTGTTGATCCCGGTCGGGTTGATCTGGAATTCAGATTGTCAACTAGGTGGTCGTGCGCCGTGATATCCGCGGGAAATAACACACCTGTTTCAAATCGAGATACCACCGCTCCATATCCCCTGCAATCTCTCGGACAAGAGCTGCCCGTTCATCAGGTTCTGCAACAGCAGTGGCACTAGAATACAGGCTTGTGAATATTCGCTCCTGAAGCCCCGCCAGCCTAATCCCCATGATAAACGACTCATCCCACGCACGTAGCGCTGAGTCGGTGGAGACAAAAGGATGCCGTGTGTCGATTTGGGAGCTGTGCATGTTGTTCGACACGCGACCAAGGACGAGCGACATGTTCTTGTCAAAGACGTACACCGTCCAGAAAAGGCGTCGGATGCTCTCTGCCTTGGCAGATGGGATTTGTCGATAGGTGGATTCGCGGTGGTACCCGAGGGAGTGGCATTGCGTTGCGGCAGCGGAGGCGAGAGACCAGTACAGGGAGGGTTTGATTTCGCCCTGGGCTTTGACCATCTGGTTGAATTGGTTAATGATCATGGCGAGAGAGCCGAGAGGGAGTTGCTCACTCCCATAGTCAGAGCGAGGATGTGCTCGAAGCTCGGGACAACGAGAACCTCGTATGACTCAAGCGCCGTGACGAAGGTCTGCTCGCATTGGTCCAGGTAAGCAGGGAGATCGAACCTCTGACATAGGCTGTCTTTCATTGCGATGAGTTCTTTCAAGACAAAGAAAAAGACACCATGAGCACAGGCTATCTGCCCGATGGATGCCTGGCTCGTTGTTGAAGAATAGACTTTCCGGCAGAGACCCTCGACCAGCTGGAGATCGTTGATAGCATATGAGGAGAGGAAGATAGGGCGGCGGGCTAGTTCTGTTAGCTTATATACATCCCGCGAGAACTCATATACCTCTTATGTTGCGTAGTAAGCTAGTCACCAGCGTAACTGGAAGATGCTTGCCCGATGGCCCAGGTGCAGGTCGCGAGGCCGATGAGCGAAGAAAAAAGAGGCTCTCTGTGAGTTCGCGAGAATCATGGAGGGTGTTTTGGAGATAATCCACTGAAAATCCAATGTTTGGGTCAGCGTCTCCCGCTATAGACGCGGAGAGAACGGCGCTCGCTTGAAGGGACTGGTTTGCGAATGAAGAGGGGCCCTCGAAGAGACGCCCACCATGACCTCCTTCTTCTACAGGGCGAGCTCCAGCAGATGGGGCGCCTTCTTCAGCCTGCACTGATGTGCGCGGTAAAGACTCCACAGCGGCTAGCCTGGACTCGAGATCCCGGTATTGTCTATCCAGGCGTTCCACAAGGGCTTCACTGATTGTTGTCACTGGATAGAACTAGAACGGCTGGCGAGCGACATACAGGTTCGCTATCTTCTCCACCTGCAGCTGACCTTTTGTCCGCTCATTCGGATGACGGCATGTTATCTTCGATATTTGGCAGTTTGAACAGGGAACTGTACGGTCGCAACGGATCTAGTCGTACTTAGCGATTATTGGCTTCAAAAACTCGATCGGATGCGGCCTACCTTGCGGACCTTGCAACCCTCGCACTATGCCCCGCATGTTAGCAATTGGGCTGAGTCTAGATCGTCCGGAGACTTACCGCCCGCGGAACTGATGATAGTCGTTGCCGCCTGGCCTGGATCGTCTCCGGCGCGTTGGACGTCATCGTGGTTTGATTCAGTCGATGTTGGTGCGGAGGAGAGAACTCGGAGCCGCGCTGCCGACGGACCGAAAGCGAGTCATGTGACCCCTCGCCTGCTCACCAATGAGAGGCCATTATTCCTCGGGCCCGCGGCTCCGAACGGCCGCCCATAGATTCGTGGTTATTTCTAGGTGTGCGAGAGGGAATACGGTCTCATCTTCTCCAACATCCTCTTGATACCTCTTGATACCCCTTAATACCCACAGCAAATATGTCGGTCAGTCGAAGTACCCAGCCTCATCACACAAGCCACCCATTACTGACGGTCATCAGATGCCATCAGGGTATGTTTGCCTGCGATCTAGTCCACCGAAGACATTCATCTAACCCAGCTTCGTAGTGTCACGATCTCCGACGAAAGCATAAACGCCTACAAAGACCTCCTCTATAAGCGCGGCGCAGCCAAGCCAAAATTCATCATCTACAAGATCACCCCCGACGAACGCTCCCTCGTCGTAGACGAGAGCTGTCCCGAGAAGGAGTACGAGGCCTTCCTGCACAAGATCACGGCGGAGCCTGAACCCCGATATGCGGTATACGACGTCGAATATGACTTGAAAGAGGACGGGAAGAGGTATGACCGTGGTCTCGATAGGAAATATGGGTGGAGGACACTTTGCTAAAGCTGCAAGCTGCTCAGGGCCACGACGGTTTTCATTACTTGGATGCCGGGGGCAACATCTACTCGGGTAGGTTACCTTCTATCCCCTGCCATCTTACTTTGGAAGAAAGCCGTGATGGCTGACTCTCGTCATGGCTATCTAGTTGCGGATGCTCTATGCCTCGACCAAAGAGCAGCTCCGGCGAGCCCTCGACGTCAAGGTCTCGATTCACGCTGACGAACCGCATGACCTGGAATGGAAGAATGTGCTGAGCGTGGCGTGTGGAGGGCGATTATAAGGCTCTTTGTACCACTATGGGCATACTGAATAGAAGAGCATAAGCGACTGCATAGAACTATTCCATCCGCAGGTAGGGGCGGGCTGCTGATAGTCATTGATTATAAGGCTTGGAGGGCGATTTCCTGGATAGAACGAAAGGTAGAATATAAACCCGTTGTCATACAAACTTGCCAACCATACCTATATTTCAGACCTAATTCGCCCGCACCTTCAACCTACACATCAGCCCTGGCTTCTCCCAAAGAACATACGACTTCTGATCCACCCAGTTCGAACTCTCCTCGCAAAGCTCAAGATCAAAATTCCACAGCACACGCGCCAGGATAACGCGCATCTCAGCGAACGCAAGATTCCGCCCAAGGCAATTCCGCGGTCCAACGGAGAACGGCTGCAGTATGGCGCGGTTGTCGTTGTAAAATGGGGACGACGGGTCTTCTTTTGCGGCGGGGAGCCACCGCTCCGGGATGAATTGGTTGGGTTTATGGAAGTTCAGGGGTGAGATGTAGGCGGCCGATTGGTGGACGGAGACTTTTGTCTGTGGGATATGTTAATTATTTGTTTTTAAATGACGGTGGCACGAAGCAGGAGGAAAGGGAAGCATACCCTCGGCGGGATTTCATATCCCGAGATATTGATCGGTTCCACCGTCCACCGCTGCAGGCCCGTCGGCACAGGCGGGTACAGTCTGAACGCCTCCTCGAAGCAGGCAAGCATGTACGGCAGGTCGGCGGAGGCTTTCAACACCGTGATGTCTGATTCATTGACCATGACCTTGCGGACTTCGCGAACCACCTTCTCAAGCACGCCCGGCGTCCGCAGGATCCAGTACGTTGCACCGGAGAGCAAGGTAGCAGTCGTTTCACTGCCAGCAATAATAAGGATATTCGAATTAGCCACAATCTCGCTGTCCGTCAACGGCTTCGTCATGGCGTCCTTGTCATCCTCACCACGGCTCCGACTCCGCAGCATCGCATCCATAAAGTCGCTGCGGTTATACGAGCCCTTCTGCAGTCTCTTCTGCACTGTGATGCGCGAGTGCTCGGTCTGCTTCTTCCTGGCTTCAGTGAGACGCCGCGGGACGAGTGCCGAGACAACAGGCTTGAGCAGCGGGTACGCATCAAACACAAACATGATCGGGCCGGTCTTAAAGACGTCAAAAATCGTCCGCACCCAGTGGTGGTACTCGGAGCTATCGAGGCCGCCGAACGACTGCCCGAAGGCCAGGTCGCCGATGAGATCGAAGGTCGTCAGGTTATACCACTTAGCCATGTCCTCGGAGCGGTTCGACTCGGCGACGCCGCGCAGCCGTGATATCAGCTTGTCGACGTACGACTGCATCAGTGGCTCCTGGTCCGCCAGCGCCTTTGCAGAAAACGCGTGCGATAGCGTTCGCCGATAACGGCTGTGCTCTGCATCGTCGGCTGATGTTACGGCTTCGCGGCTTTGCGCGGAGTGTAGGACCTTTGGTAGTTGGGCGTGCTTCTGCTGCGGTGTGCTGCCGTTGCCGTAGATGTCTTTCCAGGCGTCCGGTGTGATGAAGGAGACTTCGTCGCGGCTGAAGCGGACAGCGGGCCCGTATTGTGCGTGGAAGCGCCTCATCTCGATGTCGAAGGTTCCGCGGACCCAGGATATGTAGCGCAGAGCAGGGAAGATGGTCCATAATTTTGGACCGGGGATGTAGCGGAGGGGGTGGAGGAGGAGGTATTTTGTTGCGACGAGGGCGATGTAGAGAGGAATGGCCGCAAGGGACCAGAGGAGAAGAGTTGATGGCATTGTGATTGTGCTCAGTGTAACTAAAACGAGGGAAGCACGGTTGGGTGGACGCGAGGCTGGGGTGGGACGGTCATATATAGATGGCTGGGCAGACATCCCCGGGTATATCCAGAATCTGGGACGGCGGCTAGTTGTGCAGCGTGGCTTTTCATAGCCTGATTTATGCATGTACACATGCCGATCAGCGGCATTGCCATCCCCAACTGCGTAATGGTGTAACAGGACATCACTTGGCACACCCGAGCAGAGGGTTTTGCATCGGGGTTCATAACTCCGTGGGATAAATCGTGCATCCATACCATTTCCCAGGCTCCAGACTTGGTTTAGGTCAGTTGACTGCCAGGGTAAGTTCGTTATCCTGCTCTTATGCAGTGCGCACCTGCCCCCCTGCTTCCCATAGGAACTCCAAGTCGTACAACGGTGGACATTGGCCCACTCGTGGACAGAAAGCGGAGGGTTTTGGATCGCTGTGCATAACTCCGATAGAAAATCGTGCATTCATACTATTTCCCAGACTCCATCGGTCTAGGTCAGCCGACTACCAGGGTAAGTTCGCTATCATGCTCTTGCGCAGTGCGCAGAGGCCCACCGCTCCCCAAAGGGACTCCAGGTCGTACAACGATGGATAATTGATAGATTCTTGATGCATATAGATAGGCGAGACTAGTTTGGTGCAACGGACGCGCCCGAGACCCAAAAGACGAAGGAGCTAGCTTGTGTTGGCGTCCTGAATTTGTGGCTGATGGTGCAGGTAGGTATCAGAGACGTGCTCTGCCAAGGACAGTGCGACTCAGTATACGCGTTTCTCCAAGTCGTTCGTCTCCCTCCAAAGGTCCACCTGCAAGGCCGGAATCTGCACACCCACAGCGTCACCACTGGCGTTCAAAGCAAAGACAAACTCGTCCAGCCCGCGACCTCCATATGTGAGCTTGTCGACATCCATCCATGACACACAAGTCGGAGTCCCATTATCCGCTAGCTCGGTTATATCCTGGAAGACTGCGCGGAAGGCCTGCCTTGAGCCAGGGCCGGAGTCGTCTATCAGCTGTGTTGGATACAACCTGATACTCAGACCCTTTGGTTTCGAGATTCCGAGCAGGGCAGCGAGGATCGCTCGGAAGTCGGTGCCGTTGCTGACGAACTCATTGATACATAGTCCGGGCAGCTCATCGTACGCCACGGTAATCGACGAATTGATCCCAGATGCCTGATACTCTCTCCCAAAATTCTGGGCTGCCTGCTCAGGAGCTGTAACCATTAACGCTTCGAGAACAACATCTTCAATTATATCTGCATGTGCGTTCAACTCCGCCGGAGTCTCAGTATCAGCGGAGAGAATCGCGAACCCGACCCCAAAATCATGGACTAAGCCGAGGTACGAGCTGTAGAGGCCTCCGTTTACTCCTTCGTTGCTCAAAACCGTGTAGACGTCGACCATGGACGTATTCGGGTACGAGCCGCCACTATAAATAACCCACGGAATACCGAGAGAGTTAGCGGGATTGGAAGTGTGCGAGACCGGTCTGAGCCAGCGGTTTGTGCGGGACTTGGTCAGAAGCGTCGAGTTTAAAATTGCTTGGCCGGCGATCGAGAGATCGGTAATTGTTGTGAAGAGGGATTTGATCTGGAAAGTTAGTGAAACCTCAGCAGGACGGGAGGGGTAGTGTTGGCTTACGCTTCGTCTCCTGCCTGGCGGCAGACCAACCACTGGCGTTCTTGGTAACAGGGATAATCCCGTTGCTTGAATCGAGTGGCGCAAACATTGTAGTTTGCGTCATGCCTAAGACGTCAAATACATATTGTTGGAGGACGTCGCTGAAGGGTTTACCAGCGATTCGTTCGATGATGTAGCCTAGGAGATGGAATGCCATATTAGAATAGCTCTGGGTTACACTGGGTGGCGCGACGAGAGGCTGGTTCGCCAGGTATTGGATAAACTCTGCAGGATCAGTATCCGGTACCACATATGCAGTACAAACAAAGTGAGTCATACCGCTGCTATCACACTTAATTCCATCGCCACAGCAAGGCTTGGGGGGTTCGTGGCGCGGAGGAAAACTGGCCTTAGCAGGACTCATTTGCAAAGTAAAATTGGTAGAGCAATCTGTTTATCGGGGATCAGGTATTGTCCTGAATCAGTTAATGGCGTACTTACAATCTCTCGCAAGCCCAGACATATGACTCGAACGCCGGCCAACAGTAACATCATCCCACAGGACATGTTCAATATCGTCCTGAGTACTCGTGCCATTGGCCAGCTCGGGAAGATATTTAGTAACAGGATCATTCAAAAGATGGTCTCCTCCCGAGAGAAGCAGGCACCACACAGTGAAGACCTCTGTAAGACCACCAATGCGGTAAATGCTATTTTCATCGGCGACACGAGAGCCAGCCGCAGAGCGGCTCAACGCGGGCGCTATATGATGATACTGCCAGAAGAAGGGTTCGTCTTGCGCGCTCCCAGAGTCAGCCGAGGATAGGGCGATGCTGAAGGTGGTATTCGGAGAGACATCCCCATGAGAACCGGTGTTTGTCGATACTAGCATGTCCAGCTCCCGTGTCAGGGCTTCCAGGGCACTCGCAATGGTCTTGTCGCTTGTGTCCAGAGTCCATGGCGGGAAGGCAGGGCCGAGCAGGGGACATGGAGTAAAGGAGAATGCTGAAGAAAAGAGCAGGAACACTGTTGATGCGCGAGAGATTGAGAATACCATATTGAGAAAGAATGCCGACTGAAGTGATCTGGTTTGAGAGTAAATAATGATGTTTTCTCGTCAGGATCGCTCTTCTATATGTACGATCGGGTCGGTGATGCTGAGGCCCCTGGCCGGTCGTCAGTATCGGCTCGGCGATAGACACTGCCACCGAGCCTAAGTTGGGGCCAATTGAAGCTCCTATTGAGGATCAAGAACAAATTCTGGAATGGAAGTTTCACAACATAGCTCTTGGATAAATGTCATACCCAATCGCCCATCATTTGCTCAATGGAAGGCGCATAAGAAAATCCAGCGAAAACTTGCGAAGCCGAAGTTTCGACTGGCAGCGAATCCCATAAAGAGCCATCGAGCTGTCCTGTGGCCCGCATAAGCCCGTTTATGTCAAAATCAATCAGGTCAGAATATAGCGTTTGCTGTTGCTGGAATGCGTCGGTGCGAGCGTGAGACATTTCTTCCTGTCTTTTATTGAGTTCCTCGACCCAGCGCCGGATCTGAACTACACGCTTTTCAAAGTTGAAGAAGATATCTCGCGCTCCGTTGGTATCTACGCTGGCAGTAGACAATGCCCCGGTTCTCGATTCCAGTTTTGACAAGGTACTGAGGAAAGAAGCTGTTTGGTCGGGCTTGTCGGCTGCGACAGTGTGTCGATAGGCAACGAGCAAGGCAACCCCCATCTGGACCCATTGTGTATTGTTGAACCCGACTTCTTCATTGGATGGGGAATCAATATATAGATTGAGAATTGATGTTGCTGAAACAATTGCCGACATTGACATTTCGTCTCTCAAGGAGAGGGAGACAGGGTCAAAAGTTGAATGCGGTTGAGAGTGTTGGCCGCTAATGTTGAGAGCTAGCTGGTACAAACAGAGCCCGGTGGCGTGGTACTGAATAGCAAGGAGAGCTCTGTACATGCCTCGGTTAGTATCATGAAACATTCTAGTGAATCAGAACATACGGCTTTCGTAGATATCGAAAGGCAAACGACGACGAAACACCTCCAGGTCGGAGTTGAGACTGGTGATGTAGAGCTCCGATCCCGATCCAGGCTTTTCTAAGTCTAGTGTGTGCTTTGAAGAGAGATTGTCGATTTTACCTGCGATGAATTGGAGCTGTATCACGTAGGTCATGTATTTGTCATGAAGATGCTCGTTGGCTTCGAGGAGTGCCTTGCAACATTCTTCGTAGTAGGGGAGGCGCGGAATAGTTGATATCTTCTGCACGAGCATCGCAACCCTAATGCGATATTAGCGGTATGTTAGCCAGTGCTAATCAATACCCACTCCAATAGCAGAACCACTTACGAAGCGGACAAGTAGTAACAGCCCAGGACAGCCCTCTGCTCATCTCTTCCCCAAGAAGGTCGTGTCAGTGTCTTGTCCTGCGAGTCATGTTGAGGCCCGAAGCGCAATCCCGTTTTCCACATCTTTGTCTGCGGCGGACGGTCTAAACGGAGATCAACGACGAGGCTCACAGCCAGGTGAAGAGATTGTGTATATCGCTGTGGTTTGGAGTGGTAGTGTGACCTGTCACTGTCAGGTTCATGATGTTAAATCAATGACAGCCGTACCATGCGAGGAAAACCAACAGCCCCTGAAGCAACTCAAACGAGACCTCTCCACCCACGACCATGCGCGATGCAACGAGGCTCTTGAACTCATGTCCCAACGCCCGCTGTAATGGCATGTTCTCGTACGAAGACGCCACGAGGATTGCTAAGAAAAGGAAAGGCTTCTTTTGACGGAGCTGCTTGGCGGATACAGCAGGGGGCACAGTTACAAAGCAGAAGTGAGGTAACATCTTGGTCTTGAAGTTGCTGAGATATCGTTCGGCCGTTTCCACGTCAAGGACGCCTCGACTGATGATATCTTTGATCGCCGACTCGCCATCGGATAAAGGCACGAAGTGTTCTGTATTGCCTAAACCCACTTGGTCGACAGTAGGCTCGTTAATTTTGGACTCCAGAGCTGCAATTCTCCTAAGTCACACTTCAGAACAAAATAAAATATCATCCGCAAACAGTGCTCAACGATCCTTTTGGAAGCCTTTGAATCGGCGACCAGTCTGGCGATAAAGACATTCTTTCCTTAAACGCCGGCATCTGCGTAGTACACATCAGACTATTCTTGTTTTTCGATAGAGTAGGGAGATTACCGTGTACATTCGCCAGCGTTGTCCGAATTTCGAACGCAGCGCACCTTAGAATCGGCGCAGCTCTGACATGTTTTGGAGACGGGAGGCATTGTAATGCGAGCCTCATCCGATCAAGCTCGAGACCAATCCCAAAAACAACAATTCAACTAAGCTCTGTGCTATAGCATCAAAGTGTATTGGAATCATACAAGACAAAACTTGGCCGGAGCGGGAGATGAGAAGATGGCCTGATGGGCAAGAGATGCCAACAGTTGCTGCGAGAACTGCGATGATTGGTCCACTACAAGGCGGCTGACTAAGCTGATGGGAAAGCGGTGCTGGCTGGCAGAACACCATCCGCTACTCTTTTTTCCACTCGGATACATCAACGTTGACTACTTCTCAATACTCTTGCAAGGCAGTGGATGTTGAGCCAGGAAAAGGACTCCTGTCGCTCATGTCAAAGCCTTTCCGGCTTCCCCGCCTTCGTTGAGCCGATAACAGTGACTGCCTATCGCTCGTGATCCAGCCGCCCACGCCCACGGTCCCGGGATGCGTCTTCCAATTGCCATGCAGACGGCGTTCTCCGTAGGATTGTTGCCGTGGCGCTGCAAGCTGCATTAGCGTGGGAAAAGACTTCCTCCATCACGAGGGGAATGCGGTCCGGCACCCGAAGGCCCGACCCTTGCAAATCCTCTCGCAGTCTCGAAGGATGAAGCTCACCAATCCGAGGAGTGAAGGGCAATCGCGAAGACCTTGGTGGGCAGCCATGAAGATTCCTGCCAATGAGTGTTGCTAGGCGTCCAGTCTCTAGCGCGGGCAACGAAGGAAAGGACCAAGGTCTACAAGGAAGATCCGTCCTCGCACGGTTCGCTCCATAGTGCAGCCTGTTGCGGATCGACGCAGCAGCATGCATGCCTGCGCACATCAGGGTAGATTATACCCGTGATTGCAAGCGCCTAATTTCCACCTGCACCATTCCTCACATCATCCCCAATGCCAAGGGTCTGGACCCGCGGGCCGCGTTCCTTCCGACACCTAGGCTTCGACGTCGAGTCTCTCCTCAGACGCAGCATTGCTGGAATCTACTGGTTCTCGCAATCAGAAAATAAACCCCTTTGTGGAGGAAGAAAGTACGCCACCAGCGTGCGAGTGGTGGCTGAAAGGTCTACCGTACAACCTGGAGACGTAGCTTTGCTTGCTCAGGATCTGGCCTGCTCCCGAGGTCGTCTGCACCAATCCCCGGAGTCACGCATTCGAGTATGCAAAAGGTAGATATCATGATCGCTCAACTAACGGTACAAAGGACAAGCACGAGCATGAAGAAATCAGAAAAGCCGCCCAGCGATGCGGTCGCACTTTCAAGGAATGTTTAGAGCCTACCCGACCCTATCGTGTCATATTGTCATTGTGTTCGTAACGCATGTCATCGTCGCTTACTGTACGAGCGGCATTGCGCAAGCATCGGCTACCACACCCAACGTATACGCGTCCATCCCCGGTCCAACGGACCTTGTTGAGAACCCCATCCACATCAGAATTCCACCCCCAACTGGTCCCGGCTGGATCCAGAGCCCGCCGCGCGTGACAAGAACCTGGTCCCGGTTTATCCGGACCTCTCGCGGGGGTATCTGGCTAGCCCTCAGTTCCTCCTCGGACTGGATCATATGCGATCCAGGGTAGATGTGAAACAGCCCGTTCTCCGCTCCCAGGCCTTCGCGAAGTGGCCTCCAGAGTGAAATACCGCTCTCGCGGCAGGGATGCGCCCGGTAAAGCGATCCTGGTCGGCCTAGCTTCCCGGGCGTCAAGGGGATGATCAATGGATATTGGACGTGGAGCGAGGTCATGGGTGCTCCCAGAATTGAGGCGAGCATCGGTTCCAGCTGTTCGCATTAGTAATCGTTCACCATACCGTGTCAACTTCGGGGACAATATTTTGGCTGCGCACATACATCGAAACCGCCACTCATAAATTCCCGCCATTCCTGCCTCTGCTGCCTTGAGTAAAGTCGCGAATTGAAATACTCCGGTCGCGGCTGTGGCATTGCGCGTGTGTCTTCGCTGGTTCGGCGGACGTGAGCGAAAAGGATAAAGCCACTGACCGAGTCCTGCACCGCACGCTTTAAACCGTCGAGATTAGCTGCGCTGGTGTAGAGCTGGTAGCCATCGGTCTCCATGTTGAGCGTGAGTCTGCAATTCGACCTCTTCAGTTGGGTGTCGTGTCCAGCAAGGTTCTCCCTTACTGCGGCTGCGGGGTTGGATGGATACGTAGGCAAGAAGGTTGGCAGGCGCTTATGCTTATAGGATCAGTTGAACGGCGGTGAGAGACCCCTCCAACCCGGCCGGCGCCTTATTGCTTTGTCCAAAGGACGCTTAATTGGCGAATGATAGACTAGCTCAGCGAGCCAGGATGCACTGATGTGACGGTTTGGCTGTTCTGCATTAGTGCGGCGCCAACAGCGGCCATACAAATGAAGTCGGGTCTGGCTTGTTGGGTTCCATCCCGGGCCTGGACGCGGCCTGAGGGGAGATCATGATTTTCCGATGCAATAAGTACCAAACTAAACCTGTCAGATCTGGAAGATCTACGGGGGATTCTGGAAAACCTGCCATCTGCCAACCGTACCAAGGTGCGGCCGCTGCTTCGGGAGGCTTCGCGGTCCGCCAGCCACCACGCCAAAATATATAACCGATGGAGAGAGGATAATTAGATGACCGCCGTGAGCGATGGCCAGGACAACCTCGCAACAAACCTCGCAAGTCAAGGAGAGTAGAGTAGAACAAGGATACTGATAAATCCATCAATTAGAGTTGACCGTTGTTTTCTTTCAAGCCCCGGCCGCATACCTAGTCATGTGACCGCCTCTATCTGCGTCCTAAGCTTCCTTCCAAGCCCGGTTTCCTTTAGCAACTCCACACTCTACGCACCGTACTCCGCACCCATTCTCCTCGCCATCCTGCCTCGCCCAGAGCACATCGAAAACCTCCCATCTCTCAGTCTTGGCCTGCCACGAGATCCTCGAATGTCACCACAGACAGGGATGCAGCGGTGCGACTTCCTGTCACTCTGCATTAGCCCGGCGCCTCGGCGATACAATGAGGCTCGTCCGGGATCCCTCGTTGTGTCCAACCCGGGCGGGGCTGACGTGAGACCAACAACCCGGGCGCCGGTGCCACTGCCAACCACTGCAACCAGGGATACGGCGGGGATGCTACGGTACTAGTCTGCCTCCGGCTTCATCGATCGCCTTCCTGCACGAGTTGCACGATAAAGAAATCCACCTTGAAGTCTGCATAATGAGCCGTGCTATTTAGCGAGATTACCCGAGGTCCCCGACGCCGGATAGGGAGATTCGGAGGAGCCCGAGGCGACATGTTAGTTCCACGAATGGATGGACCGTCGGCCGCTTTGAAAGAGTCGATGATCTGAAAGGGCTTTGGGCGCATATTCGTCACGCAGGATCACGAAGCGAATGCTTCCAAGGCGAAGAAGAAGAAGTTGGTTGGTCACTGGCTTCGAACCCATCAGTTGCATCTAGGTGCTAGGTAGGATGCGGCCGAGGTCGCGGCAATGATCAGGCAGGGCTCGTTTTTCAGACAATATGGCCCACTCATGCAGAACAGGTGTTCGTCCCAGTCGGTATCTCACTGTCTGCTTAACGCCTTGCCTTGTCTTTCCTCCATGACGGCCCCAGGTAGGTCCACGAGTTGTACAACAGACCAGTGGTATTTCTGCTGCAGCCAACCGGCTCTTGCATGGCTTCGCATACACGAGCGCATGGAGGAGAACGCTCGATGTGATGAGGCTGTCGGAATGTGCATTCACTTGGATATGGCAAGCTTCTTGGTGCGTCAACCGCATCAAAATCGGGTCTAGGATCGGTACAACAGCTCCAAAAGTGACGCCAAGCGGATCCTGCTGGTCGACTACAACATGACGTGCTTCAAAAAGCGCACGCAGAGTCAATTATACACCAAAGCGATTTTTACCCTGGAGACGGCACTTAGGATAAATCAGTACTCGAGCCTGAACTTGACCACCATAACAAGCTAAAAGTAAGTGTGGAGAGAGTGAAGGTTGAGCTGGTTCAAGTGGAGCGCAAGCTTCGTCTCCAACGTACCGAAATTAGCGTCGGCTACCTAAGACATCGTGTCGGGGAAGACGGACCGGCGGATATCTGGCTTGGGAGTTGGCCAGTACTTATCCTTAGTGGGTCCTAAGGAGTCGATGCCCTGCTTATCTTCGCCTGGGAGGAATTGCAAATGGCAAGCCCTCCGGAGTAGTATGGGGATATGGGGTTTCTACCTAGTGGTGGCTGGGATGCTCGCTCAGCCCATTTCCCCACCGCTGCTAACTAACCCTTTAAGTAATCCGTCTAAAATAGCGTCCAGCAACGTGGCAGAATGAAGTCTTCAACACGCTGAGGAGCTCTTACCTAGATCGAACAATGCCCGGACAATGGACACGTTTACACATTACCCTACCCCGGACTGGGCCAGAACCTGGAAGTCGCGGACGGGCTGCACTGGCTTCAAGTACTGCCATAATAACTCTTTACTCTTGGAACGACCGTGACTAACTGGTCATGACAGAGCTCGAAAGATAAAAGGTGATTAAACAAAACCACCCTGTCCCCGGTGCCACAAGGCCTCCCGAAAGTGCTCATACGAAGTGGAAAGCATATGGCCTGGTCAACCACTTCAGACATCACAACTACTCCAACGCGTGAGCGGCGGGCATTGAATTACTACTTTGAGCGAGCTGCCCCGGCCCCGGCGGGGAATTTGGACCACCAGTTCTGGACACATACAATTCCCAGAGAGTGCCGCTAGGAACCTGTTGTCTGGGACGCGATCAATTTCGCCAGCGAGCTATACGAGGATTTCAATCCGGTCCTCGGCCCGCCCATGGTTGTGAAGCGGAAGCCATTGCATCTGCGAGAAGTTTTATAGCAGCATTCTCTGGGCGATCACGCTCGATGCGAAGGTACATTCTGAGATCGCATGCAATACCGCGAGTCCCGACCTCGCCCTCATGGCCTGTGTCCTCTATCCCTGCACAGAATTGCTTTTGGGCGACCTCGCGAAAATGCTGAGACCCTACGAGCAGGACATTCAGCTGGTCCCTTATCTGGCAAAATCCCATCGAGGTCTATTTGCAAAGATTTCATTGCGCTGCTTATTACACTAGGAGCTGTTGTGTTCATAACGACGGCGTACTGCCCGCGGGGATGGACCGATTTACTAGCTCTGCCTATTGAAAGAACCCTCGAACTCAAATCTCTTGAGGACGACCAAACGGCACTTTTGAAGATAGTCGCAGACCCGGGGCGATGCTTGATCTGGTCGCTAAGTAACGCTCTCTGATCGCGCAATCGGAGCAATGAGATTTCGGCTTCTCCTATCTCACAAGTCTGCCTCATAGGTAGGTAGGTGCGATGTGCAGCAGGAACCGCAGTATGTCACGTACACGGCGCAATTCCAGTCAATCATCGAGCATGCAGGAATCGCAATTCAGTATTCTGCAGCGCGAAACAATGCCCAAGCAGGGCTTACCTTCAAGGCAGATGTCGGCCCGCCTCTATCTTCTATCGCGGTGGAGTGCCGGAACAGCGAAACACCTCTACCACGACAGGCAACCAAGGCCCCAGCTCGTTTCAATGTATGCCATGGGCGAAACTCGGCCAAACGATAATCATGATAGAGGACCGCGCGCTGCGCAAGGAGTCCGGGGCTACGGGTCGGACCACTTGCTCCTACAACACCACAAGTGGCCCGTCCCGCGACTGTGCCCCTCACGCACAATTGTAGGTGTCTACTGCTCCCGGTCCGATGGAGAACGCTACCGGAGCATTGTCGAAGAACATCGAGTGCATAAGTTTGGCGTCTTTGAAGGAAAAGACTATAAACTTGTCTTTAGGTTCATCCAAACGCATTGGGGTCTGATCAGCGGGGCAATGCTCCTGGTCGAGGACTTCTTGTGACGTTCCTAGCCTAGTACACCTTGTACTTCCAGTCAGCAAGGTCCCCAGAGACCTTGTATAGTGCCTTTTGGTTGTGTGTTATCTAGAAGGCTGGCTATATCCTTACGCCTCTCACCCGTGGCCTTTGGCTAGCCAGCCTTCTCCTCCCATCCTGCACTTTATAAGAGGCTTGTAAGGAATGACCAATTGTATCATGTTATAACTAGGACTATTAACCATAATGATATATTACTTATCAACTTCTAGGCCCGGAAGCTTAGAAAAGAAACCTTCAGGTAAAGAGCCTAACCAAATTGAATACCCAGGTAATATGTGTTATCTATCCCTTCCTGCTACCAGGCAGAGGGAAACCAGCCATAGGACTTCTAAAATGGTATGTGACCGCATTGCATTAGGCCTAGGGCTCCGGCAGTTTCCCAGGTGGCTACCACGCCAAGTCCTTGCTAATACTCCCAGCTGCTTCTAGTCGAAGACAATGCCATTGCCCTTTCACGCCCCGTGAATATTGAACCCTGCCTAAGTTACCCTACAGCGATGGACTTGATTGATGGTACAGATTTTGACAGGCCCGGGAATACAAGGAGGCCTGCATAGCCAGCACTAGGGTGCATTAGTCGCAGTGTGAAGAATAGTTAACATGCGGGTACTTGGGTCTTATAGAGAGAGAATTTGGAATTGTTGAGGGAGGCGGAGATTCAATCAACATGTCAGAGGTAGAGCCCTGGTTTACTACCTAGGTAGTGTTGCTACAATATCCACTGGATCTGGCGGGGCTTAGGTACGAAGTCACCGCGATCCAGCGCAAGGAATCCACCAGGGCGGTTCCCACTGGCGTCAAAGCTGGAGGCCATGAAGGGGAACCTCCAGGACCAGGAGGAGCTCACGGCTGCGTTCAAAGGGCAGGATGCTGTTCTCAGGTTCGTCTCTTTATCAATCGCCAACCAGCCCGTCTATCCATATCTATTCTGCTGCGATCACGGAGCGCAAGATGGTTCCAATGGTCTGGTGGCTAAAATCACGGGCGTGGAATTTGGGCCGCCTATCACGGACTCCCTGGCGCCTAACACATTGGTAGGGATGGAAGTTAGGTTAGATGCTTGGAGGCTGATCTGCCTTACATCGCTGGGACAGTTGCAGTGCAGCCCTAATAGGTATTAGGTAGATTCCCGGCGTCATTATATGATACTATAGGTAGGTATGGTAGGCACCGAAATCGTACCCTCTGCCATACTATACTTTTGGATCATGGGACCGGACCGAGAGCCCTATAACGGACCACGCCTCGTTGTGGCGACTGATATATTTCCTACGTATCAAATGCCAGGGCTGACTGACGGAGGAGAGAGTTAGATGTCACAGGAATAAACACCGACTACCTGGGTATGTGTGGACAGCTACAACCTCGCCCGATCCTCCACGCCCTCCCACGCCTCATCGAACCCCGTCGAGCGCACCCACATCTTCTCCTCGCCTTTGCCGTGGACGGAGTCAATAACTATAGCAAATCAGTCAATTAGCCCCATTGATATACAAATCATTGATAACTCACCCATATTCCCAATCCTCAACCAACTCTCCCCAGCAATCTTAAGTCCCAACTCCTCTTCTCTCCCTTGGTACTGCGTACAAACAGCCTCGCCGTTCTTCAGCGCCCGAATAAGTTTCACAAGGTGTCCGTCGTCATGCGTATGCCGGATACTCTGCTTGATAATGCTATCCCAGTCCTGGGTGACGGGATACGCCGTAATCTCATGCAGGTACAGCTCCGGCGCATTCCGGGAAACATACATGAGGAGATCCATGCGGCCCTTCCACTCGAGGAGGCGGAGTTTCGTTGGCGTGTCGAGGAAGGGCAATTCCAAAATCCTGGCGAAGAAGATGGACGAGTTGACGGTGTGTATGTAGAAGAAGTCGAATTTGGGCGTTTTGGTGGGCCGTTGCGCGGCGGATGTGAAATATACTATATCCATCCATACACGTTAGCAGTGACATCTCCTTGGTTTGAAGGGCATAGGAGGAAAAGGCCATACCCGAAACATCCAGCATCTCCGCGTACTTCTCGCGCATCTGCTCCTCGGAAACGGTATACTGCCTCGCAATCGCCACCATCTCGTCCCCAGCGCGCTTGAGAACCCCAGCGCGCAGCTTATTCCCATCGCCGAAGCGCACCGAACCCGCCAGTTTCGTGTTGCCCTTCGCCTCCTCCAGCAGCTGCAGCATCGTCTTCCCCCCTTTCCCCCCAACACCCCCCGCCGCCTTCTCCGCAGGAACCAAGAACCGCGGCCCCGTCCACTCATCATGAATCGCCGTCTGCGCCAGCGCCTCCGCGATAATCGCCGGCTGGTGGAACTCGATTCCGAAGCCTAGGTGGATGATCGGGTGCAGGAGGCCGCCGAAGAGCCGCGCCATCATGCTTTCGGCGTTCGCGTCGCGGCTGAAGAGGTATGTTTTTAGCACGGCCTCGATGCCATGCGACTCGATTTGCGTTTGGAAGAATTCGAGGAAGTGTGGGTAGTTCTTGTCGGCGCCGAGGGCTTCGCTGAAGGCTTTTTTGTCGGAGAGGCTTTCGACGATTGCTGGGGATGGGGGAAGGGCAGGGCGCTGGTAGGATGTGTTTCGGTCGTAGGCGGACTGGATTTCGGTTGGTGAGGCGCCGAGCGCGTACAGGGTTAGGATGTGGTGGGGGATGTGGTCTGTCATTAGTGAGTACGTTTTCCTTTAGTGGTGAAGTGGAGGACGGACTGTGGAAACCCATATCATTAAAGTACACATGGTGCTTCTCGAGATCTTCCTGCAGGACTGCACTCGCGGTCTTTGCGGCGGATTCGGTGATCCCCGTGCTCCAGACGCCTGTGTCGGAGTGCGGGGAGAGGAGGACTTTGCGTGCGGTGGCCATGTTGCTTCTTGGTGTTGGTGGTGCTGTTGAGAACCGGGCTGCGGGGAGGGATTTATACAGCGATGCTCTGGCTTTGGGGATGTGCAGGCCTCGAGCGAGTGTTCTTGGTAAGAGATGCATTGCTTGAGCAACCTTGAGGAACTAATCAGAGGCCATGAGATAATAAGGTAAGACCAGGCCTCATTACGTCATAATGTCGGGGTCGAATGCGGGGACAAAGTGCAGGTGCCTTGATTGCTAAGCATCCACCTGGTCATGGTCCTGCAGATGGTGGTCATGGGACATGTAGCATAATAAGCATGTTGTTCTAGAATGAGCATCGCATAAGCAGCGAGTCTAGAAGGTTGAGAGAGGGTGAGGGTGTTCGGCCAATCAGCCTCCGCCCTGCCCGCAATAACCCTAACTTACCAAGTTATATATAGAACAGGAGACGAGCATGATCTGTTTCCTAATGACTGAACTATGTATAGCTTTTAAGACTCAACAAGTCGTAGCACCATTCTAACTCTGAGAGTCGCACTGGCACCCACCACTCACCAATCAATTCCCTACCACCCAAACGCCTCCTCAAAGTACTCGATATCCCTGAATCCGCCCTTCATCACCTCGTACACCGTCTGCCGGCAATCATCCGCCATCTGCGCCGGTCCACAGGTCAGAACTGCCAGACGGGAAGAGTTGGCCTTGGCCTCCTCTGCTTCCCCAGCAACGATAGCCTGCACATTCGGACGGCCAGCGAGGAACTCCACTGTGCTCCTGGGCGAGACCTCCGCAACAGCTTCCTTGTTCGTCGTGCTACCAGGCGGCGTCTCAGAGCCAACGATCTCATGATCATCGCTGGACACATTGCTGCTCAACGAGGTCTTCTCCGTAGGAAGGACCGCAACGTCCGCCTCCTTCTCCCTCTCCTCCATTTTCAATAAAGGCACCGCCCCCTTAGAGCTCGTGCAATAGAACGTCGTCGAAACATCCCCACACCCAAGCAACCGGGCCAACTCACCACAAAACACCCTCTCAAACATCTCATCCGTCCGCGCCGACCAAACAAGCTTGATCCGCGTCGTGCGCGTCTTCCCACATTTCGAGCGCGACACATGCTCAATGAGATACGGCACCGCAGCCGCAATCCCCGTCCCGCCCACAACCATAAGCACCGTGTCGAATGCATGCAGCGGCGCAACATGCCCATACGGCCCTTCAAGGAGGAGTGTCGGGTGAATGACCCCCCCTGACTTTGACTTCCGGCACTGGTCGCGCAGCCGCCTTGTCCAGCCGTCGTAGGGCCGGATGTAGAAGATTAGCTTTGACGCTGCGCCGGCGACAGAGCCAGTGCCGGCGCCCTTTGTCCCTCGAGAAGGGATATATGCGCCCAGTGTGAACGGGTGGTTTTCCCATCCTTTCAGACTAACTGGCTGGTAGAGGTAGTAGTGCTGACCTGGGCGCGGCGTGATCGATGATGCGGGTGTGAGTTCCACCTTTATCAGATCGCTGTCTGCGAAGTACTGCGCTGTCGAGGACGTGCCGGTGCATTGTTTCCCGAACCGCACGTTTAGGTTGCAGTAGGCGAGTCGGAGGAGGCGGATGCTGCGGTCGAAGGCCCAGATTGCGACCATGGGCCAGAGGTAGCCGTTCCATTTTGTGCCGTCGAAGGAGGTGTGTCTGTATCACAAACAACAAATTAGGGTTGGAATTGAAGGAAGGAGAGGAGGTGGTATACCTGAAAAGAGCGTAGATGACGACAATCGCGAAGACGATATGCAGGATCAGGAAGGTTTCGTATCCCTTTGCTCGCAGGTAGGTCATGGACTGCACGAGCATGAAGGACATGAGGATCGTTGCCTGGACTCCCCGGCGTTACCAACTGCTTCATCCCCAAGACAACCCAAATCTGGGAAAAGAGTAGAGTACATACCACAACGCCCATGTACCAATACTCCTGCTTCCACACACTCTCCCAGCGCCCATCTGCCCACGAACCAGAATCAGCCAAGGTACCCCCTCACCTCCACGAAACCCTAAGATCCATGTGACATACCATAAACCGAAAACACAACACTATAATTCACCGAATGCACGATCGCGAGAACCGTGCACGCCCACGCCACATGGCGATGAAAGATATTGAAGCTCTGGGTGCTAAAGTCCGTCGCCCACAGGAAGACATTGTTGCGGCCGCCGAACAGCCACAGGAACGGGAGGCACGCGTACGAGAGGATCCCCGTGCGGTCGGACGAGCGCTGCCAGTTCTGCTGGAAGACGCTTGGGGTCCTGGCACACGCCCGCGTTAGAGCCGGGAGGGGGGATAGGTGAGATAGGGGATGGGAAAGGGGAAGGGGCGTTAACGTACTCGATATTCCCTCTGAAACTCTGGTAGTCGACGCACGAGAGGATGATGCAGAGGGCCCAGAAGCCGGAGACGATGAGCAGGTCGAGCCGCCGTGGGATGGTGTGGTGCCAGAGGACTTGCTGGTGGTTGTTTAGGAGGGGGGTGAAGGAGGCTGGGATGGCGATGTAGGTCTTGAGGTAGTGGAATGGCTTCCAGGTAGAGGTGGAGGGGGATGGGGCGCGGGTGCCGCTGGACTCGGCGTCGGAGCGAGAAAGAGAGGCATGGCGATGCGTCGAGATAAACGAGATGAACTTTGCGCCCATTGCGAGCACGAGGATCCCGCCCCAGTAGCCCATGATCCCCCATCCGAAGCGCTTGTCTTTGATGAGGGCGTAGTCGTGCGTCACCTGCTGCAATTAGCACCCAACTCAACCAGGTATAGGTAAAAGAAGGAGACACACATAACTCTTATAAGCCCTCTTATAATAACCCTCACTCAGGAGCACCACCTGATCAATCGTCCCCATAGCCGTAGTAGAGTTCATCTCCGGGTCAATGCTCGGCAGAGCCGCGATATACTCGTCCGTAACCTTACTCTCGATGTCCGTGAGATCCATAAGCGTAAGACTGTTCTTCTCGCATAGACCTTGCCAGTAGGGGATCGTGACGGCCAGCTGCGCCTTGTTGCACCATGCCTTCGCGCTCGCGTACATGGATGTCACTTCGACGGTGCTGTTGCAGGGGCCTGTCGAGGTGCCGCCGCCCCCGTGGCCGCGGCGGAGTAGACGCCGGCTACTTCCGTGGAGGGTGGACGTGGTGTCGGTGGTTGAAGAGGTGCCGTGCTCAGTCGACGAGGACGAAGACGAAGACGAGGACGAGGACGAGGACGTCGAATCAGACGCGCCATGGTCAGTGGAAGATGAAGATGAAGAAGAGGAAGAGGAAGACGAGTCCTGCCCACTCGACGACGACGAACTCCCATGCGAGCTACCGCCTGTATTCTGCTCGATTGTCACGCTCCCCTCAAAGGTATACCCCGAGAGCGTGGTGTAGATCGAATAGAAGCAGTACTCGTCGATGTTGTCCGCGGACATGGTCATGCCCTGCCCGGCCAGGACGGGGGCGGCCGAGCAGAGGGCGAGGAGGGCTGCTCGTCGCATTGCAAGTATGAGTTGGAAAGACGGAGGTGCTCGATTTCCAAAAGGTGTTGGGGGATGGTGGTATATAAGGGCAGTCGGGCTCGGTGAGCTATGAGAAGAATATCTTGCTGCTCGGATTTGAGCGGGGATGCGTTCGCAATTCATCAGGGCAAGACAAAGTCAGTCTCTACTCCACTTATAGTTGTAGTCGGAACATTGAGGGATCCATTCCATGGGTAGCTTCCCATATCAACCTTGTCTTCATGTGTCTTCTCGCTTCGACAACGTCTCCTCGTGGCGAACCAGACTTACTGCAAGTGGCGCTCTAGCATAGCATGGGAAGAGTACCATCCTCCCAAATAGAATACGAGTCAAATCCACCGCCGATAACGCAGGTCGTTGAGTGCAATGTAACCATAACCACTGCCCCCATCAACCAACATCTCCCTCCCAGTTCGCCATCCAGCGCCAAAAGCAGGGTGTCCTTGCGAGATATAGGTCCCCAGCGGAACTTCAACATCATACCACCCCATCCAGACCCAGCGCAAAGCTCTTGGCAGTGCCCTCTGTGTCCGGACACGCCGAGAACTCCCGCTGCCGGAAGTGTTGATTGGTAGGGCTGAAGAAATTGCAAGCGTGGCGGGGAAGTACTAGACCATGATCCTGCCGAGTCTTAGCTTGCTTGAGGGGTATTGGCTTGGGCTAAGCTCGGATGGGTCCGCTGGATGGGTGGAGGACGTGCCAACGTGGATTGTTTTGTATGGACATGTATTGACGGTACCATACCATGCGGGACGGGCCCCGAGAAGATTGAGTCGCGCAGGGCTGTTGGCTCAAGCTGAAATGAATGACTCGACCCTGGGCAGCAATAGCATGCAGCAGGGCATCGGGTCGTGGAGCCCTAAGTGGATCTCGGCCCGAACAGGTCGAGTTTGCGAACGGCTTGTCTTATCAATCAGCTGGCCCGGTGGGGTATACAAGACCAGACTGTCGAGCTTGAGCCATCCATGGTTCCAGTGAGTCATGGGGTGCAGAGTTTTCACGCTCACTTTAACCGGGGACAGGGATCAGGGGGAACCGTGAGGTAGTCGGGATGGAAGCGAAGAGAAGCCCAACATGCATTAACAAGAATCGTCCTGCATGTATCCATACCGGGGGCGTGGCTGAAGTGCCCGCTCCAAGCTGCAGGGAAATTACATATTACATGATGGATAAGATCTCACGGGCTCTTGGGGTCCATGTGGGATGGGATGCCGCTCGACAAGGGCTTCGATGGTAAACAAGGTTCGTGCTTCACAACAAGAGCCTGGAGCATCCAATAGATAGAAGCCATACCGGTACAGTAAAGAGAGAAGATATCTTTGCTCTGTGGCGCCTCTACGGAGAGGACTTGATTTCAGTTCTTGGCCACTCCACTGGTAAATGATTCATATTAAACGGCACTGGTATATACTACCCTCACACCAACAAACAAAAACCTCATTCCACCCAACAACTCCATCTCTACATGACAACCCTCCCCCCCTGAATCGGCGCAAGCCCATACCAAACAATACTCGCGAGCCCCACAAACGCCGCAACACAACTAAACACCAGCGCGACGATGCCCCTGGCCGTGAAGCCCGCCGGCAAGGGGGCGACTGCCTTATTCTCGCCGCTCAGGTCGAAGTAGTCCTCCGTGTTGCCGGCGGCATTACCCTGCGTGGGCGTCCCAGCCGCAGCGCAGACGTCGTAGTGGTTCTGCGGGATATCGAGGTTTTCCTGTAGATACATCGGCGCTTCGACCATGACGGCGGCCAGGCCGGCGTCCATGTGCCATTCGATGTGGCAGTGGAAGAACCAGACTCCTGCCCGATTCGGTTAGGAGGGATCAAGGGGGCAAGTGGGGAAGGGGAAGACGGACCAGGGTTATCAGCCTTGAATCTCACGACAAAGTTGCCCATCGGGCTGACGATGAGTGTATCGCGGCGGACGGGCGTGGAGGCGAACGTCACGTTGTCCGGGTTATAGTGGCCCTCGTTGTCGCCGCTGCGCCAGAGGACCTGGAAGGCATGGCCGTGCAGGTGGAACGGGTGTTTCCCGGTGTCGTCGTTGTTGAGGACGATGTCGACGATGTCGTCCTTTTTGAGCACGTAGGCGTGCGTGTCTGTGCCGTAGATTGTGGCGTTTGAGGCGGCGGAGCCGGTGCTCATGACGGAGTATAGCACGGGGACTTTGGGGGCGACGTAGGAGATGCCGTTGAAGAAGGCGCTGTTTGGGTGAGGATAGTTCTGTGAGATGGATAGTGGGGGGCTTACTAGTTGGCGCCGTCGCCGAGATTGTCCATGGTCAGGTCGAAGGTGATGGTCATGTCGGCGTCTGGGAGGGCTTCCACCCTGTCGTATGGGACGAGGGTGTAGTCGTCGAAGTAGTCGAAGTCGGCGACGTCTGCTGGGGCAGGTTTGTTGGCGGAATCGTCGTAGACTAGCCAGCCGGTGACGTTGTAGTTGAGGGTATCAGGCAGTGTGTCGAAGAGATCCTGAGCTGTTAGCTTCGTCTGGATGATGGGGAGGTAAACGTACAGTGTCCATGCTCCCAACCATGGCATAGTTCTTGTCGGTCTCATTCTTCATCGTAACGAGGAAGCTGTACCGCTGCGCCGAAGCAATATAGATCCGCTCAGCAGTCGCAGGCTCGGTCCAGACACCGTCCACCTCGACAATCTGCATCTCGTGGTCCTCGATCCAGAAGTACTGACTAGCGAACGCGCCAATGTTCGCCAGACGGAAGAGATACGTCTTGCCAGGCTCGACCGCAACCGTCAAGTTCTGCGTCTCGTTCATCAGTGCAGACTTGGGGACGGGCTCAGCACCAGTAGGGTTCTCGACGCTGATGAATTCCTTCAGCAGCTTGGGCATCTGGTCGTGGTACCAGTCCGACAGGGTGATGACATATTCGTGGTCGTATTTGCCAATGTACGGGTCGTTCTCGTCGTGGATGACAAGGGCTTGACGCCAGCCGTCCGGGTACTGGCCTTTGGTATGCGAGTGGTACCAGTATGTGCCAGATTGGTCAATCTATCCTCGTCAGCAGTGCCGCTAGATTGTAGGAGCGGCTTACAGTGAAGTTGTAAAGCATTGTCTCTCCCGGTGGGATGTTGCACTGCACCAGCCCAGGCGGCCCATCCATCTCCGTTGTGCCATTCTGGAAGAATCCGTGAAAGTGAACGCTCGTCGACTCGTTACCAAGTCCGTTGTAGACGTTGGCAACCACCCGGTCGCCCTTGGTGAAGTTGAGCAGCGGCAGCGGCCACTCGTTGTTGATTCCAATGACAGGACGCGGCTGCAGGCCGTCTGGGTTCGCAGTGACCCAGGTGATGTTCCAGTCGAAGTTGTGAGTCTTTGCAAAGGAGGTCGCCGTCAAGGCTGCCAGGGAAAGAAGGGACCGGAAATGCATGATGGTATGGGATTGCCCTTCGACAGAGATGAACCACAGCAAGTGAGGAAGAGAACGCTCCAGTTTATGTTATATACGAGATAGACAGGCCGATATGGTCCCGGGCTGCCCCAATGGCCGGTGGACATGTATTCTGGTTACACATTTGGCGCAATACGAGCTGATGGAGCCCTACCCACTCTGCCCACTCCGCCCAGAACAGTTATCTGATCCGAGTTTTAGACCCTTGGCAGCCTTCCGCTGGCCAGGGCCGGCTATACAGCGCTGTGACTCGTCGAAGAGATTGATATCAGCTGCTCGGCTGCAGAATCTGCGTCGGAGGGCTGCATTCCATTGGGTACCTACGTTCCGATGTGACAGTGCAGGGTGACAGTGGAGCAGGGCCGCTGCTTCCGGATCATGCTCTAGGGGAGGTTTGTTCTCTCTAGACCGACGTCGGAAAGAAGCGATGGTGGCACTGGGTATAAAGATGCTGAGAGCCCGTCCTCGGGACTGGGGACCACAGCGCATCCGACCAGAGCGTCGTACCTTATCATGGCGAACAACGTCTTTGCAGTGACCGGTACGTCAGCTTTCTCAATACCAGACACCTCTAACCTCCCCAGTCTTCTTCATCTGCTTCCGAGAATGTCTCGAAAGCAGCATCATCGTCTCCGTGCTCCTGGCCTTCCTCACCCAGACCCTGGGTGCTGAAGGAGACAAAGCCGCCCTTAAACGTCTACGCATACAGGTACGACCTTCATCTATCACCGCTTCTTAGCTAACCTTTCAGGTCTGGTGGGGTGTACTGCTCGGTCTCTTCCTGTGTCTGTGCATCGGTGCTGGCATGATTGGTGCCTTCTACGGCCTCGAGAAAGACACCTTCACCAACACGGAGGACATCTGGGAAGGTGTCTTTGGACTCATTGCGGCAATCATCATCTCCATCATGGGCGCTGGCTTGCTGCGTGTCAACAAGATGCGCGAGAAGTGGCGAGTCAAGCTCTCCAGGGCACTGGAGAAGAAGGAGAGAAGCGCGACCTTTATGGGAAGGCTCAAGCACTGGAGCGAGAAGTATGTCATGTTCATCCTGCCGTTCATCACTGTGCTCCGTGAGGGTCTGGAAGCTGTGGTGTATATTGGCGGCGTTGGGCTTGGACTGCCGGCGAGTTCGTTTCCTCTGGCCATCTTCTGCGGTCTGCTCGCTGGATGTGCGGTCGGTTATGCCTTGTACAAGTAAGTGTCTTCATCTCTTAACAGGCAGTACTAACAAGTGCAGGGGTGGAAGCTCGGCTCAGCTGCAATACTTCCTGATCATCTCCACCTGCTTCCTCTACCTCGTCGCGGCCGGTCTGTTCTCCCGAGCTGTGGGCTACTTTGAGGCCAACACCTGGAACCACATCATCGGAGGAGATGCGTCCGAGACCGGTTCCGGCCCTGGATCGTACGATATCCGACAGAGCGTGTGGCACGTCAACTGCTGCAACCCCGAGCTGAACGGTGGTGGCGGATGGGGTATCTTCAATGCCTTGTTCGGATGGACCAACTCGGCCACCTACGGCTCGGTCATCTCATACAATCTGTACTGGATTGTCATCATTCTGAGCTACCTGGCAATGCGGTTCCAGGAGCGGAATGGATATATCCCCGTGCTGACCAAGGTCGGAAAGGCGCTGAAGCTGGACAAGTTGAAGAAGAAGGAAGACCGAGGTGCCGGTGGTATGGAGACGGTCGAGACCAGGAAGGAGGTCAATGATGCGCCGGTTCAGGTCATTACCAGGACGTTGAGTGAGGCGTAGGCCACTGGCAGGCTACTCAAAGTTCATTTGTTGGTGGGTGGTGGATAAGATGAATGGGGGTTCGTCAATGGTTGTTGTGAAGTTCAAGCAAATGAGACCGCAGGATAGATTTGGGAGAATATAGTGAACGTAATTGATAGGAATCAAATGGGATGATTGGCTCAGTCCAGTCCGAGCAGTCAATGATGATGTCCATTGTGCCTTCCGTGCTTCCATCTTCGCTTATTCTCAATGACAAACGCTTCCACGCCCACCACCGGACTTTTATCGGAATTCAGACCATCGTTAGATATTCATCGATCCAGTCTTAGTCCTAACTGCATCTAGCAGGTGGAGCATCAGATAAGATGAATCATCGTCTCCACACATGGGAAAACTCCGAGTTCTCGGCCCTGCAGGGCGGAAACTCTTATAGCAGCCCCTCACTATCCAGTCCCTTGGCTGCAAGGCTTGATTATCTTCGTCTGACTCAGAACCTTAAGCTGGCAGACGCAATGGTCTTCCCCGGTAGAAGGAGCATCGGCTGCTATACCTGTCGCCAGCGCAAGGTCAAGGTACGTTCACCGCAAGGCGTCAGAGCGGACAAGACTCACATTGGCAGTGCGATGCAAAGCGGCCCGCATGCGACAGATGCACCAAGTTTGGCAGAACTTGCCCGGGATACCCTGACACATTCGCATTCAAGGCGTACGATGGCTCGTCGCATCGCATCGCTTCGACTTCGCGGTGGGTTGACCAGCCTCCGAGTACTGTCGGATCACCGGCCAGCCATGAACGCGAAGGATCTCACGTTGCAGATGCGCCTATATCTGCACCTGCGCCGGTACCTGCATCTTCTGCTGCGCCCGTGCCCGTGTCCGACCACAGCCCTGATGTATACATCTCCCACCTTGACAGCATTTCATCGCCTTCTTCCCCTCTCACATTTGTATCCATGAACATCCCTCAATCCATCTCCACATCACACAGCGATGACGTCCCTCTATCGTTCTTCATGCACACGCACGTCTTGATCGTCGACAAGTCCCCCTGCGGCGGACACCTCGCTTTCCTGCCGGAATTCTATCGCGAGAAGTCATCTGAGCCTTGTCTGCGACATTCCGTACTGAGCTTAGGTTGTCTGGCTTTGTTCAACTACCACCGGTCAAAGGACCTCTGGATCAAAGCGAGGAAGCATTACAGTGCAGCTCTCGCCGCTCTTGCTGCAGCCATTGATACGAAGGAGTCAGCAATCAGAGATGAGGTCTTTGCTAGTGCTCTGTTCTTGGGGATATTTACGGTATGATTTCTAGACCGGCTCTGATCGAGGCGAATGCTGACCGACTATAAAAGGATCTGAATGGCGAGCGGAGGACAAACTTGAACGATCACATCCCTGGAGTGTATGCTTTGATACAAGCCCGAGGCTCTGCCTGCTTGACAGGGAAGTACGGACGCCGACTGCTTGCTTGGGCATTTAACCAACTGGTACGTCGTGTCCTGTGATCATCGGATTTATATCTCATAATCGCAGCAAATCCAAGCAATCGCGAACAACGAACACGGCTATGCACATCTTCCTTCTCTCTTCGAAGACCTCCAGAGACCAGACAGCGTCTGTCAAGCCATCAAACTGGTCAGTCTGATATCTGGTTTCTGCCAATCGACCACGGATGCCACACGGGAACAGTTTACGCACCAACTGTGTTCATACACCACATCGCAGGATGTTGAGTACGTCTTCGACGAAATCGCAAACTGGGAAACCCGTCTCCCAGGTCACTGGAAACGCCAGCTCGAACATATGCGATACGACTCCGCATGGAACCAGGAACCATCGGGCCAGAACATATGGACGGCCTGCTTCATGGCGCTCATAAACTCGAGTATCCTGCTTTTCTACATCCAATGCCTCGACTACCTTCCAGCTCTCTTCCTCGCCGATTACGAGTACGAGGCCGAAGAACTAGACCCTCCCTTGTTACACCACGATATCTTCCAGCGCATCTGCGGAACGCTCAACGTGATCTGCTCCGCCGTCCGATATACAATCGGTGATTTGGATGCCTACGGCATTTTCCGACCATTCCACGACCTCAACCACGGAATCACGTACAATCTCATCTGGCCGATGTCGCTTGTCTCGCAGTGCCGATTCGCGTCGCCGGAACAGGCTCTCCTTTGCAGCGAGGCCCTGCACTATACACAATGGACAACAGGGCGGTCTTGACTGAAATCACTCTTGGCGGTACATACCGAAAAAACCATGGTTTGAAGCTCCCGAACCAACCCGTTACCCGTGCAGCCTCATCCAAGGCATAACCACGCCATTATCAGGCCGAGAGTTAGCCGATTGGGAGTCTACCTCACGGAGTATAGCCAGACGCCCGAGAGACCGCGCGGCTTGAGGATGAAATCATCATGTCATCTCGGTGCGCACCAAGGTTCGGGGCACGAGGTTTGATGAACAATCCGAGTCGTTCGGGCTTGGGGAGAAAAACCAGGCAGGGAGTCTGGGCCTCGGCGGAGATATCCCGATTCGGGGGCAGTTTGCGAAGAAGATCCACTTTTGATAATCTTATCGCCGAAGCCGGATCCACCCGTCGGCAGGAAGTGGAGCTTAGGGTTTTGGTGATTCGTGGTTCTGGCACCAACTATTCGGAACAGTGGTCGGGTCGAGGACCTTGGAGGCTGGCCTGGTAGTCTACTATGGTAGGCAAAATGGGAGTATGCTGAGATGCAGGAAGTAGACTTATGGATATGCGTGGAAATGCGATTGTTACATCTGCAACACATTCAAGTGATTAACTTACCAACCATTATACTGTCCACCTCACAAGTAACAATCTACCAACAAACCAGTAGCAGAATAACTACCATAGCTATCTCCCTCCATTACACTAAAATCATAAACTAAAATCATAAGAATCACCCCCAAACACCCCCCCAATACCCCTCCCCCCTCCACCCATCCTCAAACCTCTCACATCTCGGCCTCTCAAAGTCCATCACCCCCCCACTCGGCCAAATCGGGACCGCGCAGAACTCATCCCCCCTGCACCCGCGACACTCCTTCCAACCCGTCCAGTCGAGGTACGCCATCAGGTCGGTGATCGTGGCGTGCACGAGCTTGGTACCTTCTTCCTCTTCCTCGTCGTCGAGCTGGAGAAGGAAACTGTGGAGTTCGACGAGCGTGGAGCAGATGGTCGAGCTTATGCTGTACAGGGCTTTCTGTGCGAGCGGGGAAGTTGGGGAGGGGGGCGAGAGGAATTGCGTTGCGCAGAGGGTTGTTGTTTCCGCGGGAGACGAAGAGGTGAAGGGGAGTAGGATGCTGGCGATTTGGGCGGCGGCGCTGCTACCGGTACCGGTATTCCCGTGCTCTTGGTGCTTTCTCTTCATGTGGTGCTTGACTCTAGGCTTGTGTTTGCCCTCGTCTTTTCCCTCGGCCTTTGCTTTGGCCTTTCCGTCGTGCTTGTCCTCGTCCTTCGACTCGGTTTTGTTCTTTGAGTGGTGCTTGGCCTTGGTCTTTGGCTCGTGATCGTGCTCATGCTCATCCTGCGCTTCTGCTTCTGTCCCGTGATGCGTCTTGCTCTGGGCCTTACCCTCACCATTACCCCTGCGCTCGTATTTGCGCCCCGAGCCCTGCTTGGCCATTCGCTTGTGCTTGCCTGTCTTATCATCCCAATGCTTGTCGGGGTCGTTTGATTCGTCCTCCTCCGCCCTCATGGAGTGATGGTTTCTGGCGCCACGCCCGAGTAAACCGCGCAAGAGAGGACCGTACTTGTCGACGATAAGGTCCGCGATGGATTGCCAGTTGATGTTTGACTCGGTGACCTTGTGCTCGAGAACCAGGCTTGTCAGATTCTCCCGGATAGGCTCGAGAGACTCTGGTGGGAGATGCTGCAGCCGCGGGCCCTTGCCGGTTTCGATCTCTGCGGCATTGTCGGGGAATAAATCTAATTCGTAGATGGGGTTGAATGCGGTCACGAAATTGTCGTAGTTGACTTTGACCCTGTTGCCGCCGATACCGTTGAAGCGGGAGGTGATGGCCCGCAGCAACTCGGCTGGTTTGCCTCGGGGCTTGCCTTCTCTTTCCTTGCCCTTGTCATCCTTGGCTGAGAGTTTGCGGTCCTTGCTTCGTTTCTCAACAGGCATGACCCGCACCGGCGTCAAGTTCGCCTCGGGATCACAAAGGATGATCTCGAACCCAGCAGCCATACGGATAACCCCGTCAATGCGGCCCTGCCATTCATTCTTCGCGAGCTGGCAGACAGTCTTAGCACGCTGGTCCTCACCACTCACTCCGCCAGATATAGTGTCATTGAACATGATTCTGTCTTGAGAATCCAGCGTCCCGATACGTGATTTCCCAGCCGAGGTGCCATCGATATAGACAAGCCGCAGATCCTTCGCCGTAGTGTAGGTGTGCAGATAGCCGTTGACATCAGCAGGAGGCTCCGGCTCATCCTCACCCTCATCTGCAGTCATCGGCACTTGCTGTCCAGATTGATCCTGTACGCTATCCATCCGCTCCTGATGACGTCGGGAAGGCCTCGCGAAGACCATCGCGTGCTCCGGCTCAAACGCCATCCAGCCAATCCCCTTCAGGAGATCCGGGGATGCATTCCCGTGGTATAGCTTTGTGTCTTTCGGCACAGACGCAAGGAAGAAGGACATGCCGTTGTGGTGGAGGGAGGAGCCGAACTGCCGCATGCTGGCGTGGATGGCGTTGAAGATGTGGTTTGCATTTTGGAGGGGTGCTGGTTGGGTATCTGGACTGGAGGCCAAAGACGCTGTGAAGAAGAGAGAAAGATAGAAAATTGGAGGTTTCATGGTTGTGGTGATGTTCCAGGGCGTTGGGTGGTTCCCTGGACGAGGTAAGGCAGGGTGAGGTCAAACTCGACGTCCAGGTTCCGGCTCCGGGTGGGTACTAATAAGTTTCTAATCTGGACTGGCCGTTTTATCTCATCAGACTCGGCTATTTCGGTCTTCTCTGGCTGAATCCTCCAGTCGGAGTGGTGTGGATGGGGGGGTGGTCCTTAAGGCCGAGGGGGTGGAGCCAGCTCGGAGTTAGCCCTAACAGACTCCAGTGCACTCTTACGTCGCCTTGTCCGAGCCACGAGGGAGATCTGCAGGCACCCGTGAATATACTTTGGAAAGCAGTAAATGATTCAGGAGAGAGAGGATAATCTCCTAAGACCTCGGGGAAACCAAGATGGAACACGTTACGTAGACAGGCGACGTCGACACGGCAGTGATCAACATCCCAATCCAGCTCCAGCATGCGATGCCACAGCTATATAAACCGTTGATTCCACTCATAGTCTCTCCATACCATGACATAGATTGCATCAAACCATCATCATGGCAATCTTCCCTTCCAAGACATCGCGTCTCGCCCTCGCAGGCCTCACCCTCTCAAGCACCATCATTCCCGCGCACGCGCAGCTCTACAACAAAATCATCGAAACCGAGTACGGCCCCGTCCAAGGCTTCAAGTACTTCAACGCCTCAACCCTCGAAGAAAACTGGGGCGACGCCACCACAGGCGCCAACGTCGCGGCCTTCCTATCCATCCCCTTCGCCGCCGACACGGCCTACGAGAACCGCTGGAAGGCCCCTCAGCCCCGCGAGCCCTGGAACGAGACCCTCATCGCCGATACCTGGGGTCCCGGGTGTCCGACCTCCTATGCAACGGACTACAGCGAGGACTGTCTAAGCGTCAACGTCTGGACGGGCGCGAACTCCTCGGACGACAAGCTCCCCGTCATGATCTACAACCAGGGCAGCGACGAGCCGTCCAACAGCGCCGTGTACTACGGCGGCGGGGTCGCGCGCAAGGGCGTCGTAGCGGTGACGTTCAACCGCCGCGACGATGTGTTCGGGTATCTCGCGCACCCCGAGCTGAACGCTGAATCGGAGGCGGAGAACGGCCACGCCTCGTCCGGTAACTACGGCATCCTCGACTTCCTGGAGCTCCTGCACTGGGTGCAGCGCAACATCGCCAATTTCGGAGGGGACCCGGACCGCGTCACCATCGTCGGCCAGTCGTTCGGGTCCGCGCAGGTCTATCACGCCGTGAACAGCGGCTTGTTCAAGGGCTTGTTCCACGGCGCCATTGCCGAGAGTGGCGTGCGGTACCCCTACGACACCCTCCTCGCCGGCCTGGCAGACTCCTACGTCACCATGCCCAAGGCCCTGGAGAACGGGCTGAACTACACAGCCTCCCACAACGCCTCGTCCATCGCGGACCTACGCAAGCTGCCTCTCGAGTCGATCCTCAATGGCTCCAGCGACCGCGTGACAGACGATGACATCTGGTGGGTAACCGCACTATCATGCATGTATCCCCTGAAATTCAAGCCCGTGCTGGACGGGTACGTTCTCCCAGAGAAGTACATCGACAGCCTGCGCAACGGGCCGGCCAACGACGTCCCCTTCATAACAGGAAACAACAAAGACGAGAGCGGCGCCGCAACAAGCACAAACTACACCGCGGCCGAGTACAAGGAGTACACGGCTCTCAAGTACGGCAATCTCTCGACGGAATACCTCGCGCTGTACCCAGGCGCCAATACAAGCGAGGCCAGCCGCGCCTGGAACGCCGCAGCGCGCGACACAAGCCTCGTGTCGTCCTGGCTGTTCGCGAAAGACTGGGCCAAGTCCGCATCCAGCCCGTTCTACACGTACTACTGGGACCACGCCCCGCCCAGCCAGAGCCAAGGCGCATACCATGAGTCCGAGGTGTTCTACACGATGGACACGCTGTATGCGAACGGCGACGACCACGCGTGGACGTCGTACGACTACCACGTTGCCGAGATCATGAACAGCTACTGGGTGAACTTTGTCAAGACGGGCGACCCGAACCTCGGCGGGACGTATCCGTGGGATAACCTGACGTACTGGGCGCCTGTGGGCGATGGGGCGAACCAGACGGTTTTCCATGTTGGCGATGGGTTTGGGGAGACGAGGCTGGCGAAGCCGCGGCAGGTGGAGTTGCTGACGGAGTACTTTGCCAGGCAGACGCCGTTCTAGGGGAGCTGTGGGAGAGACTTGGTGGGTGGGGAATGGAAGGAGAAGATCTTGCATCCATGGATAGGAGAAGTCAGTCACGGTGGAATAGTATGGTAGGCTGGAGAGGATGTACGTAGATGAGATTGCCATTAACAAGTACCCCAATCTTATCCTCAGTAGCTGCTTTCCTTGAGGTGGTTCAAACATTGGATGGAAGACCTCCTTTGCTGGTCAATGTGATGACCTTGCCTTACCTCTCTAGATACCTAGAGCCGACTTACAAGGCACCCTTATCCGGTCATTGAATAAAGACAGGATGACTTTGTATACCGAGGGCACAGACCTTGGAATACGTAGTCTGATGCTGAAGCAACCAATATGGATGGCTATACCTCCTGCCCATACCGTCTGCCAGTTCGAAAAAAAATGGGATAAGCTGGCTGAGTGAAGGAAACATAGCTACTCCGATTGATACTCCGAGCACGACGCCGACCACTTCCCGGCCAGACTCGATTATAAATGATAATGTGCCTACCCCTCCCAGCAGACTGCCCTGACTGCGTGCAGGCTTGCCCTGCATCTGTCGCCGGTGATGACGGGGACCAACCAGCAGTACTACCATACCCTGGAATGACAAAGCCAAATCCCAGCTCCAGTGTCCCGAACGCCGTTCATATGTCTACTGAGATATACGGAGCTAGGTCTGACGAGTCGGGAAGGGCTGAGGTGCTCCTTGTCCATATACAGTCAGCTCGACAGTCTTCCGTACGGAGCTACCGAAATCGTGTACAGAAAGCCGCGGTGTATGTAATGAGCGTCTCATTGCAAGTGTATATATACTATGGATATATTATATACTCTATGCAGCGTATGTCCAGTCCAGCCCAGAAGGTGGCCGGGCTCAAGCAAGTATATACTCAACGGAAAGCCAATAAACCAATCAAGCAGGAATCGCAAAGCTCGAGCTCATGTCTCCTTTTCCTCCACCCAGCGTTAGAACGCCTCTCAGTCAACAACCATCCCTATCTTCGTCACGTCTTTCGCCGTTCCTGGAACCCAGGAAGCACAGCAAGTCGACGAGGGTCTAGACGTAGCTAACCGTAACCGAGTCGCTCGAAACCGACACATCGGTAAGAACACTGCGCCCCTGCTGGATATCAATCAGCGTCGCGCCGCTGGGCCCAACCGTCCGTCCATTCTGCGTCGCCTCAGCGCTCGTGAAGGTCACGGTGCCAAAGTCCGCAAAGGGGACGAGCTCGCCGTTGCTCTCGAAGTCCTCAACGATCCACTCGGCATTGTACTCGCACAGGTCGCCGTCCACACCGCCGGTAAAGGTATGCGTGACGGATTGCCCGGTGGACAGGTTCTCGACGGTGGCAGTGCCGGCCGTCAGGGTCGTCGCGTCAACCGTCACGCGGATCGTGTCGCCGGCGCTGATGGAGATGCCGGAGAAATCGTACGCGTAGTCCGGGTACCACTCGTACCAGGCGTCGAAGCTGACGGAAGACCCCTGGATGCAGAAGTCGACGCCCGTCTGGAGGATCGCGGTCCCGCAGGTGTCGCCGTCGATGCCGACCCAGGCGGAGGCGCAGTACTGCGAGTAGCGGTTTGCGCCGGTGGGGAGGGACGGCGTCGGGACGGTGAACTCGCCCGTCACGGCGGTGTAGCCTGTGCCGATGAGGACGGCGCCGGCCCAGTTGGAGCTGTACTCGACTTGGGTTTCGTTGGTGAGGGTGAGCAGCTCGGTGGTGTCGACCTTGTAGGGCGGGTGCGAGGCGCGGTTGGAGGGGCCGCGGGCGCGCAGGGCACGGGCTTCGCGGCGGGCTTCGGTGAGGGGGGCGGCGAGGGCCGAGGTGGCCATGAGGATGGAGGAGAGGGTGGTGGTCGAGAGCTTCATCTTGCTGGATGGGTGGTTGGTTGCTTGGTGGCTTGGATTGTAGAGGAGGTTGAGGAGCTGCTTGTGATGCTGTACAAGGTGGGAGACGAGCCCGTATTTATAGACGAGACGAGGGCGTCGTTGGCATGTCCTGGCTCTTCTCTTCTCGCGTGTTCGACCGTTGATATCGCAACATGGCGTATACGCGTATGTCTTCCTGCTGCATGTCTTGAAGCGATGCTACCCTCATCTACCCCGCGACCAGTAGGGTGCGAGAAAAAGCAATTCGGCACGGGAGAGCATCCAGATTAATCAACTAGACAGACGTTAGCACAGGAACCATGCAACATTCTTAGATGACCCCTGGAGCACGAAAGATAACGGGACTGGCGGTGGTGGGATTGGCTGCCGCAGTCTGTGCCCTAACTTGCAAACCTCGAGTGCGTCGGAACGCATACTTGCGAATTCTGACGATGCATATGTCCGCAAACGAGCTGCAAGGGCAACAATAAGAGGATCATTATGCTTTGGTGGCTTCGTGAAGAAGGGAATCCCAGAAAGGAGAGGGCAGTCGAAAGAGGGGAAGGACAACCAGGATGGCACCGAACGATAACAAATGGACAAGCTTCAGCAAGCTTCAGTCAAGCCTCTTAGCGAATGATAAGCAGCCTGGGCACTTTGGGGGAGGAGACTAAGTCAAGCCATGTAACCCTGCAGATGAGTTGGAGTCGCTCTTATCGCGGCCTCCCTGCCATCGTCTCCGGCTTCTTAGTCTCTTCGCGTTGTCCTCAAAGAAAGTGAAAACATATAGTTTCTTTTATGAGATCAGTGGGTGAGTCAGTCAATTGTCAGTCTCTGTATTGATAAGCTAAACTTCATAGCGTGAAGACACTGTAGAAATACGAATCATGCATGGTCATACTCCACACCCGTTGCCACATACATAGCCCTAAGAATAACCAGAGCGAGCTAGTCAGATCCAGCAGTATCATAAACATCGGACGAGTAGGCGCTCACCGGCACTTCGGTGCCTTCAGAAGAATCATCCGACACATCCGCTCCTTCACAGAACTCCCCATCCAAGCGTACTTCGCCATCCTCACCGACCTGGTGCCGCAGGAGCATAGCCATCATTTCTTCACCACACCACACATTTCTCTCGGCGGCAGTCAGCACGTTCATAGAGAAAGTGTCAATGTTGCCTCGGTCGAGAAGGAGAGCCAGTATCTCCAAGCCCCACAATGAGTTGCCCACCGCTGCGATAAGAACGTCTTCTGTGATCATGGCCTCAACGTCCTCGCCTCCATGGTCAAGCAGGAGAGCCGTCACCTCATACCCGCAGTGCGTATTGCACGCCGCCTTGATAAGAGTGCCGTTTGTAACCGGAAAGATGTCGTCCTCAACCCCGATTTCAAGCAGAAGTCGAAGCGCCCTTGCACCACAGTGCCAGCTGCCTGCTATGGCGTCCAGGAGAGCCTCCGTAATGCCAAAGGGAAGCCCTGCAGGCCAGCGTTTGAGAAGCTCCTCCAACATGTTGATACCCGCGCCGGTGGCTGCTATCATCACTGCTTCAGTGACCTCGAGATCAGGATCGCGATCAAATAGCAAGTAAATGATATTGGGGCCATCAGGGTTTGCCGCTGCAGCCAAGAGGACCCTTTCGGAGATACGAATGTCTTGCCCCCAATAATCAAGCAACAAAGTCATCGCTTCGAGCCCGTGCACTGGATTCCCGGCAGCCGCCTCAAGGACAGCGTCGGTGATCAGGATAGACTGGTCCTGCAACCCATCTAGTAAAGATCTCTCCAGGCACCACTCCACTTTACCAGCTGCGGCTATGAGCACCTTTTCCGTGATACGTGCTCCAGTGTCTACCATGAGCGAGATCTTTTCTGAGTCATGAACAGCACGGATCATGATCTCCTCTGTGAACTGGATATCCGAGTCAGAGAGTTCCAGCAGACGCGCAAAATACTCGTCATCGCATTCTGGGCTGCTCGCTGCAGCTTCCAAAACAGCGTCAGTGATCGGAAGGTTTCCGCCGTGAATCCGCATAAACAGGTCGATGAGCTCTGGGCTGTTCTCGCTCTCCACTGTTGCTAGCAGGACTTTTTCGCTGACGAGAAGTGGACCTATGTTATGGTCTTGCAGGAAGGTCAGAATCTCCACGCCAAAGTCGTCGTTGTACACCGCTGATATGATGAGATCTTCAGTAGCCACAATCTTCCGGCCATCACGGAGCAGAAGAGTTATCAACCGCAGGCCGTGACGAGGATTTCCAGCCGCTGCTTCAAGAAGAGCTGGCGTCGTCGATATGGCCCCGTCGTAGATCAATAAAAGGTTCACTATCTCGTGCCCTAGTTGCAGGTTTTCTGCAGCCGCAATCACAATCTCCTGTGTGATTGGGACAGTATCTTGATGTTCAAGGATAAGCGCCAGCAGATCGTCACCAGACTCGGTGTTCTCGACTGCTGCTTTCAAGACTGCGGCATTGATGTTCACTTCTTTGCTTCGATCATCCGCGTACTCGAGCAAGAGCCTCATAATCTTCAAGCCCTGTGGCTCATTCCGTGCTGCGACTTGGAGAGTTGATGCCGTGATATCAACAAAGCGCCCGCAGGATTGAGAATATCGAAGCAGGAGGGCCAGATTATCTTGACCACAAATTTCATTCCGTGCTGCAGCCTCCAGCACCGCTTCCGAAATCGTAATTGCCTGACCTTGTACTCTCAAGTAATCAAGCAACAAAGTCATCTGATCAGATTCCACTGTTTCTGCCGCAGCTTTCAGGGCAGCTTCGATGATTGATAGAGTCCGGTCGGCGCGTTTGAACTTGAGATATTCGGAAAGGACACTCGTCTCATTGACTGCGCCAATATCCGAATGCTGAAAGTTGTATTTCTTTTCCAACGCCTCCAAATACGGCAGCCCTGTATAGCAAGTCAGTATTTTTTACGTACATATAGACAACACACTCACTGTCATTCTGCATCCTGATGTATTCATCACTCGCTTTGAGTGAAATGGGCTCCAACTGTGCACTCGGGCGAATGATGCCCTTCTCGTCAAGGATAGCGTCCAAGGTATCGGCAGGATGACGAAGGACAGTAGCAAACATCCCACATGCAGCTTTGTCGTCAATTTGAAGGCAGCGTACCAGTGCTTCAGGCAGCTCTGTTGCGTAGCAGATAGAACGTTGCTTCCTATCCCTGGGAACATATAGTCGAAATGCACCCCCGACTTCCTCAAAGTGTAGGCGTCCTTCATGCCCAACTTCCGTCATTAACCCATCGTTCATGCCAAAGTACCGCCGAAACCCTGTTGCAGTATACACCGTAGCATGAGAAAACAGCTTGCGGATTGTATCCTCGGGATGCAGAGACCTTGGGCTACCGTATTGTAATGTGCAACTGCGTCTCCTGTTAGTATGTGGATGAGAAATAGGCAGCTCAAAGCTTACCGGAAGAGCGACTCCGCCTTCTGTCGCAGTTCCTCTGTAAGCTCTGCTGATTCCTCAGCACCACTGACTGTAAGTGTCTTTTCCACGATCTGGCCCGAGACAAAACGTTTCTCGAGGCCGAGGGCTGAAAGGAATCGTCGTGAACGGCGTACATCCTCTGCTCCGAAATCGAGGACTGGGACGGCAGGGTCAAGTTGGAGACGATCATCGTCGCTTATAAAAAATGGCTCATCCACTGTGACATATGTGATACGCGTAGCTCTGTTTCGAACCGGTAGAAATTTGACAAATTTGAGCGGCTCAACGTCTTGAGCGGTGGGTCCAAGGCTGCTGAGCTCCTTGATAACCACCAACATCTCGTTGCGGTTGATGTTTCCCATGGTAATAGAGCGGATCTCATCAACGTAAGTGGAAATAGCTGGTGCCGACACTTGCAGTCCATCGACAAATAGGCGGTCCAGATTCGGATAGATGTCGCGGATACCGTGCTTCCCACCAATGTATGGACAGGCACTCCATACGCAGAGACTCGGTGGACGCCAAATCGTGTCGCGTGAGGAATAGATAAGCTTGCTAGTTTCAAAGCGGTCTCTGGACGGTATAAGCTTCTGGGCAGTTGGAATTGGGCTTCGCTTACCGAATGGTTCTCCAACCGTGGTCGTCCTGGGAACCTTCCATGATGTTCCTGTAGATCTCATTTAGAAACTCTTGAGACACTGTCAACTCTTTCTGGAGACGTGACAGCTTTGATAGGCACGTCGCCCAGTCCGCACCGTCACTATTCAGCACCCTTCTAAAGAGTTGCTCGACCTTTGGGTTAAGGGCGTATTCAACATGGGACGCCAAAACATGTTTGTTGTCGAGTATGCCCACGTCCCAGGCGCAGTCGGCTATTCGAACCAATTGATCGTCTGGACCCGACCGGGGTATGTAGACAAGGTCGATAGTTGGGGCATGTTCCCTATATTGTGTAAGCAGATAAAATTGTAGGGTGCAACGAAAAGGTGCAGGTGCCAGATACTTACCAAAATGCCTCGAAAGCATCCTCGGCCAGTATCTCGTATAACTTGAAGAAACCCTCTTTCGCATGCTGTCTAGGAAGCACGCGAGACAGCTCTTTGGCACTTGCAATTAGGAACTTCGACGTGATTGTCGTAACAACCCCGAACCGGCTGAGAAACTCCCAATCGAAACGATCTTCGCACTTCCAATCGAAAGATATTGTCAAGAAGGGAAACCTGTTCGTCAAGTGCTCGCCAGACCATAGACTCCTCTGTTCCGACGTTCCCAAAAAGCTTTCGGCAAGAGTCTCGGTGCCACATTCCACAGGAACCCTGGCGTGTTTAATCACGGACACAGTTTCCGGCGCCGCGTTGGCTAATTCCTCCTTGTACACTTCCCAATGTTCCTTCAAGATCTCAATCATGAGCTCGGGAGCGTATCCGACGATATAAAGGAGTACTTCGGCCGGCTGCGCGGGTGAACCCTGAGTTTGTAGCCTTGGGGCGTATCGGATTGGTCCTACTTCCGCCAACCATCTGGCCCATGCCGCATCGGGCTGAAACTGGGTGGTGTAGTCAGGGTGTAAGAACTGAATATGGGGATGCTCTTGGTCCGGAAAGCGACTTTGGATGTACTGCAGAACTGCACTCATTCCGTACTTGTCCTCGGTTTTGAAGTATACGTCTTCGTCTCGCAGCCACTCGTTGAACTCTCGACGCGGCATTGCGAGCAGCTTGCCATCGACGTCATAAAGAAGGATGCATTGAGCATTAAGCAGTTTCTGATCTGTAGCAGCCAAGAACATATATCGAAGATTGCGTATTGCTTGGTCAAGTGTGGGAACGAGGATCGTGGTATTCCATTCGCAAATCTGTTCAATCACGAAGGCTGGTCCTGCTTGCTTGACGCCCAGCTGCGCGAATAGCTGCTTCCGTGGGCCATCCACCACACTCGCTATCGGCACGGAGTTCAGAGGGTCTGGTATGCGGTTCCCGCTGATATCATGCGGAAAGTAGATATCGAGCTTCTTGGGACTTTCCAGTCGTAAGAGACTTGACCGTGTTCCACTGGTTATCGGAACAACACAGAGTTGTTCTACTTCCATCGCCACGGGATCCGTTGGAGGATACATCCACGACAGCAGAAGAGATGCCACCCTATTATGCCAATCATTGTCCAGTTGTTTATCGTACAGATACCTCGGGCGAACACCTTCAAGGTATGGATAGAGTCTGTCCAGCAGTTGACGCGTGGAGACGGGCTGGAGACCGAACGGCTTGAGAATCTCGTGGTACTCGGCGTACTGAGGAGCAAGATAGAAATCCTCCGCAGAGTCTTCAATCAATGGATTCCCATGGCAATCACAGCACTCGGGCGCCAAGTATCGGACCTTTTCTTGGGACTTTAGCGCACCTTTTGCGGTTTTGAAGACATGAAGGCGCTTCAGTTCTTTCTGGACGCTCTCGAAGAAGACGCACCAATGCGGGTCTATGGCATCCACTTTCGGAAGGAAGAGAGGCCAAAAGCGCTCAACATCCGTTCTAGAGCAGAGTCGCTCTAGTGCAGGGCAAAAAACCTTCGGGAGCTGGTGCAACAAACTGTCGTTCCAAGGACAGACCGCGAAATCTAGCTTGTTATCCTCGGTCTCAAAATCGGACTGAACGAGAAAGTTCAACCCGACTTTACGCAGAGGCAGACCGGCATAAACGCAAGGTTGTTCATCGATTTTCTGCTCATCGAGAGGGAATGCCAAAACCATGTCCACTTCCTTGGGAAGGCTTCCCTCCCCTGCACTAGCCGTCACTTGTTTCCTAAAGGTAATGTAGTTGTGCTCTGTCGCAATACCATCCTGAGTGACGGTCAACTTGAGACTCGAGCCTTCAAGGCATTGGTGGAACGTCTTCGATATCATGCCCTCTGCGCTGCTGAAGTACGAAAATCGCACGGTTTTAATTGTGGATAGGAAGGCGATGATGGCGTGTGGAAGGCCATTCAGCCTAGCTCCGAATCCCTGATACTGGTCCGAATATATATGAGACAAAGTAAACCGAGTCCGCACGAAGTCTGGAAGAGCCTGGTGGGGTTCGTTGACGGGCGTAGCCATTCCCGGATCATGCTCTCCCTCGCGGTGTCGAATCGAAAAGCAGAATTGGCCTGACTGAATCTGCACTTTCTGAGCAATCCTAAACGCGGACCTGAAGACATTCCCTTTCTCATCTGTCTTTCCCTTCTTCCGGCTCTTCCCTGCGCTCCATATCGCCCGGATATCGCTTTCCTCGAGCCCATCGCTGTTGGAGTCCACGGTTATACGGTTTTGGTTGAAGCGGAAAATGAGGAAAGGCTCTTCTCTCTGAGAGGTGGCCTCTGAGTAAGAACTATTTTCGGCATGCTGAATAAACTCATAGATAAATCTGTTGTCGATGATGCGCGATCTCGCAGTGGTCTCCGAGAGCTCGGCGGGGATGTTGGAGAGGCCGCCAGTCTGTTTGTAGATCTCGGAAACGATCTCTCGTGCTCGCTCTTCGGTGAGCACCATGGCTGCGTTGGGAGTGAAAGGTGGGATTGGAGTTGGGAGAATCAAGGTGTCTGGGATTCATGGTGTTCGCAGGTTGGGCGCTTTCCACCCTTGAGGCTGTGGAGTTCCTTCCTCGTCTGCGGCAGTTAGAAGCGACAACCACAGATCCTCAGCGTTCTAGTTGAAGTGTTAGTGTTACGCCTGAGCACTACTGGATTAGAGGATACGAGCTTGTGTTTTTGGAACTTATTTTCTTCTTGCGGCAAGCACTAGTTTCAATTTGATGACATACCTCAAAATCAAATGAGCGTAGCATAGCAAACATGTACAGTGACAAAAGACTATACAATATCTATGGTTTGCTCATTGTACAAATCCAATCCCAGAAATCGCAGCAATGCGTGTGCTTCAATGTTACTATCACCGGAACCGCGCTCCTCTGAATCTCTAAGTGACCATATTTCCTCTCGTGCGCGTAGCTGGCTCTCAAATTCGGACGCGCTCCAAAGATGATCTGGGGCGAGGTGCGGCCGTCGTTCTTGCTGCATCTCCTCCTCCTGTTGGACAGTGGAGCCATGCACGGCGAGGAATTTCTCGTAATTGCTCATCCATTTGCGGGATAACTGCGAGCCCGGGAACAAAACCCACTCATCCTCAAGTAAGCTGGCCGTGTATTTGAAAACTCTGAGCAGCTGCTCGGTTACTTGAGCCCATTTCTGGATCTCCGGTAGGTGGGACTGTAGGTGGCCCAAGATCGGAGACCATTGGAGTTGTGGTGCGGGTTGCGCTGTGTCGGTCGGATGAAGGAATGACCAGCAGAATTGTGAGAGATCCCAGAAGTAGGCGGTTGAAAAATCTCTTCCAGAACTTGTGAGAGATGAAAGGTCAGGCCCCTTTAAATCTATTCTATCCTCTCCTGTTCGTTCGTCTGTGCGTAGCTGATTGACTTTGGCAAGGAATTGCCAGATGGCCGATTGATCACGAAACATCCAGCCGAGTTCCTGATTCCACTTATACCAATCTACCCGTAGGCTTTTCTCGACTCTTTGAATGGTTGTGTGAGGGAGCATCAAAAAGCTTAGCGCCCTGGTTCGGATAGTAGTAGCAGTGGGTAAACCTTTGTACGATTGATGTGTCGGCTCCAGCCTGGAATATAACTGCTGAAGTGAGTGATCGTCTTCGGGTGTCAGTGCTGACACGCTTAGCTGTAGTGAAGGTCCCAGTCGTCGTTGCCGCCGGTACCAGCAGACGAAAAGCTTGGAGGAAGGGGCCTGGATAGAGAGAACACAAGCTGCAATCAGGGTATAGACGCGGCTTGTTATCTCCCTAAGAATGACAGGGTACCTGTACCCATTCAAGAGAAACAGACTATCGGACTCGTGGATCTCATAGTTCTGATGAGGAATCGAAATGATAAAGGCGCCTCTGCAATTGGCTGGCAGTTGGATGTGAGTATACTCTCGAACCAAATTCTTGTCACCTGCTATCGTGCAAAACTTGAAACCTTGGAGCTGCATTGTTCCCGTAGACGAGCTCACCTTGATGTCGCCACCAGAATTACTTAGACCTCCGAACTTGACACGAATTGCGCCATCCAATAAGGAATCGTCTTGATCGGTCCGGATGCCAGCTCGTAGGAAGGTGTCGAGCGATGGCCGTGACATGCTCTGGGACCAATCAGGAACCCATGATGGCAGATCAAAGCACTTATTCTTCTGTCCTGCCAGTGCAAGTACGTCCACTGTGCTTGGATGTTTGACAAAGTATGCCGCAATGCCGACATATACACTCTCCGTCGGTAGCCGGTAATCGGGAACAATAGGCTTATTAGCCATTAAACCAAGAAGCGCAAATACTTTATCTCGTGGATCGGTGCATTGATACGTCGATCCTTCCACCAAGACGTTCAAAAGGTCTTTCGCGGTGAACGGATACCACTTCGAATCTCTGAGAAGCCAAGATGGTACGCCTAGCTCAGAAGCGTAACAGAATGAGCGTTGTGGCCACCGTGCAGAGACACCACCACAGACAAATTCCAACTCGCGTGCCATGAGCGTCTCTTGAAGTACCCAAAGCCGTGAGAAGTATGGCAGGTCAAGCAACTTCAAAAAGCTGCTTCGGGCGTCCTTGCTTAAAGTCGAATAGTAGTCTGTTTTTGTTGGGTGGAATATCGTATTCTTGAGAAAGCTCAACGCGTAGTCAACATCGGGGTGTTCGTCCCCAACGTACGCCAGTACTTTCGTCGCTCTCAAGAATACCTCGCGCAGGATACGAACCTGGCTATTTTTCTCTTCCAATCGTGCTTGATCAATGCACAAAGCATCTACCCACAGCAATCTATCCGCCCTCCGATGTCTCAACTGCCGAAGGGCCTTGCCGCAGGTTCTAGGCACATAAAAAACATCCCAGTAACTCCCTAGATAAACCGGACAGGATTCGCACGGGTCAGCGGGGTCATGGACGGAGGTATACGACAAAGCTTCGTACAGCGGGAGAGGGATTTGGTTGATGCGCACAGTTTTAAAATCTGCGTGGATAGGCTCGTTGTCGGAGCCAGGCCTCAGCCGCAGGAGGCGCACACTGTCTTCGGACGGAAGCTCTGGTAGCAACGACTTCTGCGACTGTAATTCTGACAGGCCATTCCGACTGTGTCTATGGCCAAGTTGACCCTCTTCCTCAGATTCCCAGTCGCTGTAGGTGACAATCGATGGCCATGAGAGGTTCATCCGCTTCCGGTTTTGGAGCTCGGGTGGCGGCTGTGGTACGACGAGCTGCTCTTCTAAGGAGGGGATCGCAAAGCAGTAAGTACAGTAAGGAATGCCGCTGGCAGCAGATACATCTGGCCGTTGGCAGCCAGACTCATGCCAACGGTGCATTTTATTCGACGCGAATGAAGAGAGATCGAAGGACGGCGGGGTGAGCAAGTGCCTAGGTCTGAGGCTGAGACCGATCTGCAGGCAGACAAAAGAGCCGCAGGCGGTCTGCGTCTGACTCATAAACTACCCAAGGTAGTGGGAGGAGCTATATCTATTGATGAGCTATAAAATATGTTCATTTCGAGTTGGCGGCTATACTTCAGATATAGAACGACCAAGGTTTGAGGCTGTCCCAACCCATGGTAGTTATTGTAGCCTAAGGCAGCAATCGTATCTAGATCCTATTTGGACAGTTGATTCAAGGGCAAAATTTCAGTATTACAGGAAAACTAGGGTCATCACTTTATTGAACTTGTAAAGAAGATAAGCCCGCCTAGCTGATTAGTGACGTACCTAGGTACTTGATTTAATAGCCCTTGGCGGTTGGGCGCAGATATATATCTTCCCCGCATCTCAACCCCGAAGTTTCCCCGGACTTAGGTTATCATCATCAGCTGCCGAGATTATAAATGATCCAGGAAGATGTGATGTTCTTCCTGATATCCTATTCAATTTGTCAATATATCCCGTCGCGTTCCACATCGATGACGAAGCATGGCCGATACTGACCAGGATCGACATCCTCCCCACTTATAACACCGGCCATGCCTGCTACAGACGTCCTTCGCCGCTGGAAAAGACCAAAGCTCACCATGTATCTCTCTATCGGATTAATTCTAGGAACTATCTTGTTAGCTAGTACGACGCTCTCCATATCCCCCCCTAACGACCATGTCAGCTATCACCCCACGCGGCCTGTCAACATGACGGTTTTCTGCCGGTATTATGTAAGCTAGGCGGTAGAGGAACATCCTTAGCTAGCTCGATCGTCAAGATCCTAGGAATATTATTATCTTTTACTTTAAAAAAACCTCTGCCTTTATAATAATAGCATGTCTAAGTTAATTAACCACTAGAAACTAGAAACTGTATAATTATTTATTATTCCTGGGCTTTTTTATTTAATATATTTATATACCTTATTTTTATTAGTGTTTAACTAACGCCTAGTAAGCTCCACTGTACTAGGACTTTTATTAGTTAATTACCTTATTAATTTATTATTTTACCCTTTATAAATTTACTATTTAAGATTTACTTTTTTTTCTTGGTCTCCTAAACTTCTTTAAGTTTTTTTTTTTTTTTTTTCTTTCTTTCCAAGCTTTTTCTTTATTATTAATAGTTTCACGCTCTTTAACACTATTATAAGGTGCTTTTTTTTTTTACCAAAGCTTTTTATAAATTCTATCTTTTATTACTGCTTTTATAACCCCGCTCTTAATACCTTTCTTATAATAGTTTAAATTAATAGTTAGCATAACTAATATTTAGCCAAAGGTTAGCCAAGCTTGCTTACTAACTAAACACTTTTAAAAAAATAAAACATGCTTTTATTATTAATTTTAACCGTATTATAAAATACTTAATTTTTTTTTTATTAAGTGTTTTAACACTTTTTTATTTATTTGGCTTACCCTGTACCCTCTTAAATAGGATTTTAATTAATTTATACTTAATAAGAAAATAAAAAAATTTTTACGCATAGTTAAAAGTAAAAGGCTTAATATAAAAAAGGAGTTTTTAAGCTGGGTTAACAAGAATCTAGTAAATAAAATTAAAATAATGCTTTAACCTATAAACCTACTAGGTAAAATATACTTTTACTTAGCCTTTAAAATTACTAAACTAAAAATTTCTATATAACTACTTTCTTGTACTTTTAAAAATAATATTATAAAAAATACTAAACCTAAAACTGCTAGACCTGCCATAAAACACGTGAATACTAAATAAATTATTAATATTAAAGCTAATTATAGTCTAAGCTTAAATACCTTACTAAAAACTATATAAGTAAAAGAATCCTAGTTTAGTATTAAATTTAATAATTTTAAAAATAAAATAGCTAGTTATACTGCCTTAAAGCTAAAGGCAGGCCCTTTTTAAAAAAAAAATATTAAGTTAAAAGCTACCTTGGGCCAGCAATTTTTTTAAGCTTTTAAAAACTTAAAATTAAAATCTACCTTGCTTAGTAAGCAACCCATATAAATATAAATTATAAAAATATTTAATTAATCTTTTTCCTGGATTATTTAGCTAACTACTATAACTATAATAACTATATTTACTAATATTACCTTAGCTTGGATTCTAACAGCTGTTTAAATAATAAATACTAGTATTAACTAAATTAATATTATAATATAGTAAAGTAATAACTACTTAATAAAGTTAAAAAATTAGCTAAATAAACTATAACAAGTATAAAACAGGCAGAACCAAGAAGCAAAGCTAAATTATTAAATTAATAAATTACTAGGTTAGCTAGCTGGAAACCAGCCAGCTGGAAATAATAAAAATAACTAAAACATAATTAATAAAAATAGTAATAAAAGCGGCGGAATTCCTCCGGGACCTCCTGGAGAAGAGCTAAATAATTTAAATAATAAAAAAAATCTAAATCTAGGAAACCCCGGCGGTTAAAGGCATTTAAATATTAAAATACTATTTTATTAATAGCCTGTTAATCTAGTTATGTTTTATAGTAATTAAAAAATAAAAAAGATTAGCTTTTTTTATTTTAATTTAAAAAAAAATATAGCTATTAAGTTAGAAGGTTCCTGTATATTTTATAAGAATATTTATATATTTATAAACTAGCTTTATAATATAATTATATATAAGAAAAAACCTATAGTAAAGGCTAACCTAACTACTTGCTTTTATAAATTTACGCTTAATTAATATATATTATAACTTTTAAATATTAAAAAGCTTGGTTTTTAAAAGGGCGTTATAAAAAAAGAATAAATTTTTTTATTAATTAAGTATTTTAAGCTAAACCTACATGCTTTTTTTATAAAGCTTTAAAAAATAAAGTATAGCTTTGCTAATATAAAAATTAAAAGCTTACCTAAATCCTATGCTTAAAAGGTTATTAGGTATTATTATAGCTTTAATATTTATAATAAGGCTAATTAAATTTTAATAATCTAGTTTTATTTAAATCCCTTTTTATATTAGCATATTCCCAAGCTAAATAAATAAATTATACTAAACGCGTTTTTTTAAATTTTAGAGTTTAAAAAGTTCTTGTGGTAGGACTTGCTCGCGAAATATAATAAAAAAAAGTCTTTTTATTTATTTACTTTTTTAAAGTAAAACTATGACTTATACTAGGATTATCCTACCCATGGCTTTAAATTTAGGCCTTATAAATAATAAGCTAACTTTAGACCTAGCCCTGCGTGTCAAGGTCGGCCACCCCGACGGCATCTAATACTGCCGTCGGGCACCGCCCTGACCCCTTTCCTTTATTAAGAATATAGTTAGCCTTTAGAGAACCATTAATAAATTAATAAATCCTTTTTTAAAGTATTTCCTAATAATAATAGTAGCATGTCCAAGGACATGACCAGTTAAGTAAACTTAATAACTTAATTAGGCATGCTAATTAAGGTTGGGCCAGCAGACGCTAACTAAGAAATTCTTAGTATTTAAAAAGCCTATAAATTTTTTTCTCTTGTTCTTCACCATTATCCCTTATTTAATTTATTTTATTATTTACTTATTTATTTAATTATTTTATATCAAGCTAAATAAGCTCCTAAACTCCTAAAAGTTATTTATATCTAGTAGTTAGCTAACAGCGTTTCTTTTTTTTTTTTAAACTTTTTTTTTTTTTAACTAACTAACAAATTTAATAAATTTGCTTTCTTAATTCTTTTTTTATAACTTGTTCTTTTAGTTCTTATAAACTTGTTTTTTTTACTTCTTAAATAATAATTAATAATCCTGGATAACATAAAGGGGGCCTAGACTAACTAGGATAATACCTTGGTAATATTAGCATATTAGTTAAAGATTTTTTAGTAGGTTAGACAGCAGTTCACGAGAGAGTTTAATTAAAAAATAGTATTTTTTATTAACTTTATAATATATTACACGGCTATTTTATTTTTTACTTAGTATGTTTACCCCCTGGCATGGGATATTAACTAGTTAGTTTTTTACTAGGCTATAAAAGATTTACTATCTCTTGGTTAAAAAATAAAAAATACACAGGTTAGTAAATAAAAAGCTTGGAAAATTATACACCCCGCGCTTATAAATTTATTCTTGCTAAAGCTAAAGTAATTTTTAGGCTATATATAAGTAAACTTATTAACGCGTGCTAATAATATTATTACTTTAGAACTAACCTCCGGGCTAGAATTAACTAGGCAAAAACAAACCTTTATAATTAAAAATTATAATTTAATAGTCACGTAACCACTTGTTAGTAATACCAGCTAGCTAACTAACTCTAGTACTAGCAAACATCCCATATACCTAATTTTTACCTTTATTATTAATATTTCTTTGTTCTCCGGGCTGTTTACAGGTTTATTTGCTTTTTTAGTTATTACTTTTTAGCCTGGCTTGTTTGCCCTTTTAGCTACCGGCCCTATAAATTTATTTATATTTTTTATTAAATTAACTAGGTAATAGCTAAACATGTTAGCAGCACATAGCCTAGCTAGCTAATAAACTTGTTTAACTAGCTAATATTTATAGCATTGCTTAAAGTAAGTAGCTATAAAGCTAATTACTAAACCTAGGCGTTTTATAAAGCTAAAGCTAACTACTAAACCTAAACGCCCCCTTGTTTTACTAATTATAAAAAAAAATAATATAATTAATATTAATATTAATGCTAACACTAGTTTTTAAATTTATAATATAAATTCCCGCGCAAATTTAGATTCTTAATAGCCTTAATATTTTTAATAATCTTAATAGCCTTTTAATCCCGGCTTATAACAGGTAACTCTTAATCCTAGCCTATAATAAGTAAATTAATAACCTTTTAATCCTGGCCTTTAATAAGTAAATCACTAACCTTTTAATTTGGGTCCCCGACAGGTAAATAAGAACTTTAAATTAATTTTATAATAAGAATTAAATAGCTATTTAAAAAT